CGTTATTTGTATCCCTTGGTCGTCAATCTCGTGCTCGATGCGAGGTCGCAGGCGCGCGGCGATCTTAATCTTGTGTGTGCCAGACATGTGTTCCCGAAGACGCGGCCTAGATTTGAAGAGGATTTGAGGAACTTTGATTGCAAAGAAGTGTTGTCGACAGTGCAGAAAAGGATGTCAACCATAACGCGTGTACACGTGATTATCACGTGATGAACCGAGCCATAAATCTCCACCAAACTTGAAAGCTGTACTAACGCATATGCATCATGAGTTAAATCTCTACATACAGCCTTCTCTACTAGTACAGGTAAAAACGGAACGGACATAACATCGTGTTCACTATCATTCAAGATCTTACGGGACCGCCAATCATAGCAGGCACACGGTGAGCATACCAGCTCGGCCTCGTTCCTCGGCCAGCCGACATGCTCACCGCGACAAGAAGCAGCCTGAGGGTCCAGTACTTTGAGGCACGGACAACAAAAGTCGGATTTGGGTAACTTTTCATCGTGCAGATGATAGACAACAGAAGGATGTTTTGTGAAAAACGTGGAGCACCGTAGACCGTCTGCGGTAGATAAATAAGCAATCATAGTTGTAAGTATGACGGGGAGAACGCTCACCTACTTTCGCACTTTGATTCAGAGTTTCAGTTTTCAAATAAAGGATGATGTCATTTATTTTCTACAGGACCCTCTCCCACTAAAGTGGGTGTCGAGGAACGAGGTAATTAATGTAGCTAGAAGCATATGGGTTTGTCTGTCAGAACATCAGAATGGCGTGTTCGAACTTCCGTATCAAGAAGTTTAGTTATTTGCGCTGGCGTGCTCGGATCCGTCGATGCCCATGGCATACGAACGTACGAATGAGTATAGATCTCGGTGAAATGTCACCTAGCCTGTGTATTGAGAGTGGGCTCTCGGTCTTGAAAATATACTTGAGACAGATGATTTTTATGCCCCCATGGCCAAGGCACACCAGCAAGTCAAAAGAGGGGACCGGCGCTTGCGTGCCGCTATGATATGTATATAATATTACTGTTACTGAGCATCGTACACTATTAAGCAAAGGCAGCGGTCAAGAACTCCTCAATCTCTTTCTTGTGCTGGGCCTGTTGGTGTGGGTTAGAGCGGGTAGACGATCAAAGACCCAATTACTCACTTTACTACCTGTAGCGACAGAGCTCGTCGGCTGTCTTCCTGCGTAGTACGGATATTTGCCTTTGTGGTACTGTGTCTCGTTGGCGGCAGTCAGAATACGAGGTCCAACGTAAGTCCACGGCCCATTGTTCAATGGCTCCTCCTACGTACGAGTTAGCTGGAGTACCAGGAGTTGACACAAAGGTTTACCTGACACCAAAGTATATCTGCATTGGGATACTTGTCAAGATGAGGAGTGATCTGTAAACGTTGGTGAACACTGCAGGCGACCTGACGAATCTAACTCACGAGATCGTAGGGGAAGGGCGAGATCTGCTCAATGCGGCTGATGACTACATCTTTAATGCCCTTGGCATCACGCTCCTGGAGGAGGGTCTGGTATACTTGACCTAATCCCATTTTGAGTTCACTCGACAACTAAACAAACGATGTAACATACCGGTGCAGAGGATGTGACGTCTCACTTCCTCAGCAGGTACTAGGTGTTCAGGATGGGAATCGGGAATATAGCGTTCGAAGTGGGTGTCGCCAACCATCTCCGAAAGATCCGAACGAGCATTGGGATGGCGCAGAAGTGATTTAGAAAAGAAGATAATGAGTGGTTTGCGGAAGTCGCGGTGAATTTGACGACGAAGAACATGGAACTACAAGAAACTTAGTGGGGTGCTCACAAAGCTGAAGGGCAGAACTTACATAATTAGCGGGAGTACTAAGGTAACCCATTAGATCAGTGGCGTCATGAGGGTTAGAGAAATACACATACGTCGGATACACGACTTGCATATTGCAATCTTGATGTTGCCTCTCGACTTTCTCCGGTGTAGGGAAGACGTTGGGGTGGTCGTCGCAGAGTTGGAGGAAGCGTTCAATCCTTCCACTTGAATGCTCAGGACCTTGACCATCGTACCCGTGTGGCAAGCTCATGACAAGGCCGGAGCGCTGCAACCATTTCCGTTCGCCAGAGGCGATGAATTGATCAATGATGCACTGGGCATTATTGGCAAAGTCGCCAAATTGCGCCTCCCACATAGTGAGAGAGCTCGGCGAAACTAATGAGTAGCCTAATTCAAATCCGAGAGTCCCGTATTCGGATAACTGACGAGTTGCATACGACAAACCGAGCTTGATTTGAACCGAGGTCATTCAGAGGGATATACTGCTGTTCATTCTTCTGATCATGGATGACAGCGTGCCGCTGAGAGAATGTACCTCTCTCCACATCCTGACCGGAGACACGCACGTGTATCTTTTCGAGTGCGAGAGAGCCAAATGCAAGAGCCTCAGCTGTTGACCAATCAATGTTGTGACCTTCTTCGACTGTCTTACCACGGGCACCGAGAATACGAGCAAGGTTGCGATGCGGGGTGAAACCAGGAGGATATGATGAAATGGCCTTTCCAATGCGCTTGAGAATTTCTTCATCAGAACCTGTCGCACGGGTTGGTAGCGTCTCTTCTGCCAATTGTCGAGGCGAAGGGAAACCCTGCCAAGATGCAGATAGCCATTCCTTGCTCGTCGGAACATAGTCCTTGGCCGCACCGGCTGCCTTCTCCAGCATCCCCCAGACCCACTTCTTATGCTCTTCGATATCCTTCTCAGTAAAGGTCCCACGGCCGACCAAGAACTTCGTATACTGGGTAAGTGGTGTTGGCTGCTTTTCAATCGCTTGATACATCCGGGGCTGAGTGAAATGGGGCTGATCCGTCTCATTATGGCCGTAACGACGGTAGCAAACGATGTCGATGACAACATCACGTTTGTACTTTGCGCGATAATCAGCCGCGAGTTGACAGACAAAGTTGACGGCTTCAACGTTGTCACCATTCACGTGGAAGATTGGGGCATCTATGGACTTGGCTATGTCCGAAGGGTAAGGAGTGGAACGCGCGAAACGAGGGTCGGTAGTGAAACCAATCTGGTTGTTCACAATGAGATGGATGGTACCGCCAGTACCATAGTTGGGTAAGTTGTGGAAGCCCATGGTTTCGTAGACAATTCCCTGACCAGCGAATGCGGCGTCACCGTGCAGCAGCACACCCATTGCAGTGTTGTGAGTGGACTCGTCGCCCTCCACATTCTGTATGGCATAGGTCTTGCCCAGGACAACAGGGTCCTCGGCTTCTAGATGCGATGGGTTGGCAACAAGTGACAAAGAGACCTTCTTGCCAGACGGTGTTGGGCGAACATAATTTGCACCCAAGTGATATTTGACGTCGCCTGCTGGGTTGTCAACATCCGTACCCATAAACTCGTTCAGAATGGCTTCAATGGGTTTGCGAATGACGTTGGCAAGAACATTGAGACGACCACGATGAGGCATGCCCATTGTGACGTGCTTGACACCGTGATCGACGGATCGGTCGATGAGCGCCTTCATACCGGGAATCAACGCCTCACAGCCTTCGAGACCGAAACGTTTCTCGTTCGGGTACTTGCTTGCGATAAATTTCTCGAACGACTCTGACCAGATAAGGCGGTCAAGAATCATGCGTTTCTCCTCCACCGTATAGTTCCAAGGCTTTGGAATTTCGACACGCTCTCTGATCCAATCGCATTGCTCCTTGTCTGGGATGTGAACATACTGAATACCCACAGCGCCACCTACAGAGGAAATAAGGATTTCAGTCAGGTAAATGAACAAACATAACTCGCAGTATATCCGTTTGAGAAGTGCAATGATCTCCCTCAAACTCATTGATTTTCGGTCCTCTGTCGCAAAATGGGGCAGGATACCTGGTCCAAGAGCAATCTGCTTGTCCAAGTCACGCTCGGTGAACCCGTATCGGCTTAGTTCAAGTTCGGGAGGGTGAACATCTGCGAGATCAGCATCTAAAATGCCTAGGGGATCCAGTTCGGCGACATGGTGACCACGAACTTGATAGGCCCGTACAAGTAGTTGAACCTACAGGGGATCAGCTACCCGGCAGCACAGCAGAGAGCAGAAGCCACACCTTCAAATGATCATCGAGCTCAGAACCTCCGCCGGCATATAGCGCAGGGGCACCGTCCGCAGGAGGTGTAATCAGGCCTGGGGGTGGCTGGAAAGCTTTGGCGCTAGGAAGACCATGTTCCATGCCAGAGAAATAAGTATTCCAGGAAGCATGCACAGATTTTGGATCTTGCTTCCAAATTCTGTACATCTCCTCTGCGTAGTAAGCATTGGTGCCATTTGCGAAGGGGTCATTCGGAGAAGGCGGTGTTGCGGGAGTAGCTAAAGTCCGGTGTACAATTGTCGGAGTGAAGCGAGCAGCACCAGTAGCGCTGAAGACACTTGGAAAACGCCGTATTGTAGTACGCGGAATCATTTTAAAGAGCTAATACACGACAACGATGTCAAGAGCAGTAGCAATGGAGGCGGGGAAAGACGTAAGCTTGGTTCTGTGTGTGGTACTACTAGTATGGGTTTTTACCATACCCGGAATTTGCCGATTCTCTTCGCCCGCCGGTATCAGGACCCGGATCCCGACTCCTGTCCGGCTTCCAGCAGCAAAGACTCAGTGCGGCGCCCGCTGTAGTCATGCCTCCCGGGCCCGAGTCGTACAAAACCACACTTTACTGGGCGAGTTCGCAACGATGATCAGTGGAGGAGGGAGTCCTGGCTGTTATTCGTGGGAGTCCAGTTTCCTCCTCTGACCACGACGAGCTCGCACTGTCTGGGGTCAGCACACAGCTGCCCGCCTGCCCCGCGACAGCAAGGCAAGGTTTGTCGTATGTAGGCCACGTCATTGAGGATACACCACTCGGATTTGTCGCATCCGTAAAATGGGTCCTTTAAAGACCGTTCGTGTTGCCTTTATCATTTCAGTGGGTGTGCACATAATGGCAAGACACATCTAGACCATGACGGACAACCGCCGTCTCGGTAGTCCTTCAAGCTTCAAGCTTCGATTTTTGTGTGTACGTGTCACGCTCCTTCATAGAACGGACGACTGTCTTCCCATAATGATCTGACAGCAAATGAACTTAGTATGTGAACCGCCGCGTGCCAGCAGTATTTCATGTCTGCACCCCGGGTCCCAGGGTCAGTTCAGGGTTCCCGGTTGATTCTATCAATGTGCATGGGGTACCAAAACAGATATTTGCATGCCACTGTGACTGTAGTACAACGAGCATCCAATTATCTTTGCACCCCATCAACCATGCTACAGCTACCTGACCTGCGCATCTCTAACAACGCGCAGCTTGTCCTCTGTGCTGCGGCTTATCTTGGTATTGTAGGAGTACTCGCTAGGGCTTATCGTCATAAATCAGAGAGCCACATTTCTCTCCCACCTTCCCCTCCCTCTTGGAGAGTTCGGGGGCACTTCCTGCCGCATCACCAGTAAACTTTCGAATTCGACTTGTTGTCTTTTGAACGCTGATTGTGTCATATCACCGATAAGCCCATCCCTCACTATAGCGAGGTGGGTTGACAAGTACAGTCCTCTGATCACCATACGGTCAAGATTTGAGAACATCGTTATTATTGGCCGTTACAAGGTCGGTCCCTACATGCCGAGTGTCATATCTGGCCTCAATGTTCTATTGCAGGCAGCCGTAGATATCACGGAGAACCAGGGTAAATTTACAGCCGATCGTCCTCGCATGAATGCTGCTTGAGAAATGTTCAACGGCGCAATTAGTATCGCATTTGTACCCTTTGGGGACAGGTTCCGTCGGATGCGTAGGTTAGTAATCTACTTCCTCTCATCTATCTTTCTTTTCAACGTAGTGCAGAACACTTCATTCGCATCTCCAGCCTAAAGCAGTCAACCCCTGCAAATGTTACACGCGAAGAATACAATTCTCGGCATTCTCGATGATCCATGCAACTATCATAACCATGTGACAATGTAAGTGCTTTCGGCGATGATTGTACTTTGCTTACAGACGGCTTGAAGTTGTGCTGCTACGACAATCATGAAAACCGCATATGGAAAGAGTACGCCCACATCTGCGACCGATCCCGAAGTCGTTGAAATCAAGCAACGCATTAAAATGTCTCGTATAATCATGCGTCCTGGCACTTACCTAGTGGACTGGATCCCGTGGCTCAAATATCTTCCTTGGTATGGACGAGACTTAAAATAGGAATTTGAGAACACCAAGAAACTCAACGCTGGGCAGCTGAACCGCGTGAAAGAGCAAATGTGTACATTTCCTTCTCAATATTTGCTTCATGTCTGAGCCATTGTACAGCAGAGCGACAAAGACATCGGCCCTTCGTTCGCAAAATATATGCTAGAGAATATCCATCTCCATAGTTTGACAGATATTGAGATGGCTTTTCTTGGCGGTTCACTTTTTTTAGCTGGATCTAGTACTGTGAGGTTTTGTTTGTTGCCTCCGGAAATATCTGGCTGAAATCCAGCGAAAGACTTCTGCGGCAATATCCACGGTATTTATGGCAGCTACATGTTTCCCCGAGGAGCAAGCTCAAGCTCAAGCTCAAGCCGAGCTCGATGCGGTCATCGGAAGGCACCGAGGTAGCTTTGATTCCCCAGTGCAGTGATCTGATTCAATCATATCTGCACAAAAGTGCCAACCTTCGCCGACCAAGATTCTCTTCCTCGCCTGCAAGCATTCATCTCTGAGGCTTTGAGATGGAGACCACCCTTGCCTACCGGTGGTAGGTACCGATGTGATTTGGGCAAGTGATCCTTGAACAACTTATCGCATGAATTATGATCTGGTCCATCAGGAAAAATATTGTATTCCAGCTAGGACCACATTGTTTGGCAACCATTGGTAAGCATCACGCTGCAAGATACGAATGGTCTAACGGTTACTGCCTTAGGTCCATCTCTCGAGATCCAGATGTCTACCCGGAGCCTGACGCGTTCAAACCTCAGCGCTGGATTGATGTACCAATGTTGCCTCAAAGACGATATAAAATTATTTGTATATGGCTTTGGTCGGCGGTAAGCGCCGCCTTTCAGCTACTCATTTTTTCAATGACATTACTTTCAGCGTATGCCCTGGTCAACATGTTGCGAACAGGTTAAGTTATTATTCCACGCACATCGTCTTCCGAACTCACTGTGATCAACACAGATCGGTGTTCATCAACTCGCTCCTGACCATGTGGGCTTTCCAGCTCACTCTGGATCCTACGAAGCCGTTGGATGACATGGAATTCATGAACGGGGTGATGACAGATGTCCCGCCATGCGCAATTAAGTTTGAGACGAGGATTCCGGAATTGGAGCTCAGGCGCATGATGCAGCATTATCCTCAGGATGCATGAGAAGCTTTGATTCCTGGATGGACCAAGGAGAGAACGAAGAACCAGTCCCCAACGAATCGCCAATTGTATGTATTGGTGCATCCTTCCAGGACTTGCAGTCTATTTTAATTTTGCCATCATTTATCTCATCTTAAACAGACCTCATTCAAACAAAACGAACACATGTCGAGACAATTCGCAGCAGTAACTTGAACAAAAATTGAGCACTGCCACTGGCAGGTACGGTATGGAGCGTGTGGAGATCTCAACTAGTAGATGTCACTTCACTTCCGTGGCCAATAATTTAGTTTGATACATCTACAGATTCCACGCGAACATATGTGGAGGATGAATGAAATCCATTAGTAGACGTGGATATATCTTCCCGCCCAAGCAACTCGAAAAAATTCTTCATCCTGGTCTTCGCCTTCGTCAGGTGCGAGTGGCAATAATATCGTAGGTGTGGAAACGAGAATCATTTCCCAGCAACGTTTGACCACTCCCAGTCGATGATGGTGCCAAGGATATCCAGCTTGGTCGTTGATGAGTATACATGTGGTCGTCCTTGTCATCTTCAGAGCGTGGATAAACATCTCTCAGTGAGCGACGGATACGGTAAAATAATAGCCATCGACCATCCACTAACGTGGGAGTCTGCACTGAAATGGATTTTGTCGCATGCCATATATAACCTTGCAAGCAAGGTGAAGTTTCATTGCACGGATGTGACTGATACATTTTGATAATTGTCTGTACTAGTAGTTGCTCGGAGTGCGGTGATACGGTCTTGGACATGTATTGTGTTACTTGAATACCTACGGGTGTCAGAAAGGATCAACAACACGTGAGATCGACTGACCGATTAGGAAGACTGGACGAGTCTGAACGAGCACAGTTCTAGGCAGCGCTTGCACCGGAGCATTCTCCTCTTCCCCAGGACGTCTGATTTTATGATTAGCTTGTTCGTATAAGACAATATATGATAGACCGATGCCATACAAAACTCTAGGGATACTGTTCATGTGGAGGTGTTATCAAGGCACACGCGTATCAAATGAAAATGTCCCGTTCTTCACAGCTACAGTATATCCAGTAGCATGTTGTCAACAGAAGCCATATCCCTGACTCGTGTGATGATAGTGTTATCCGAAGCAATTCTCTTATACTCCCCACCCCGCTGCTGCGCTAGCAAAAGTGCGCCAAAAGGTTGTCCGAGGAGAACGATCAACTTCAACTCTCGCGTAGCCAGCTCGTTGTATCCAGGATAGCCGTCGAGCGTATCATCTGACGAAGAAGCAAGCTCGCGCCAACCTTCCATACTCTGGGTCTCGTCTGCGAAGTTAATCAGCCCGAGACCATACCGATTCCAGGGACGGACGAGCAAGAATGTCTGCCGGGTACGCCTTTCAGGCGAGAATTCAACTAACCCGTCTTTTGTTCTGACCAGCAGGTCTTGTAGCCCGTATGCCTTGACGTCATAAGCGAAACATCTAGCCCCATCTTGACCAGGCCTCCGCCTGATTTCTGTGAGAGAAAATGCGATGCAAGGCAATTGCAGTCTGGCATTGGCAAAACGAGGAATGCTGAGATTCTCAAGGAGGGTATACAGGTTCAAAGCCGACTCCACAGTCACAGTATTTCCCAGCGTGGAGACCGAATTCTGCATCTCGTGGTCTTCGGATAGAGACAGCAGTGTATATAACAGAGTCTCGTATGAGAAAATGTCGGCTGGCAGATAGTTGTTGTTGTTGAAGCTGGACGATTGTCCCACCCAATCAAGGGCTGTGATGTCGCCCGAATGGGCTATGATCTCCTACAAGAGTCGTCCGAGCGCCTTTTGTCTTTTGTCTCCGGAAGTTTGACATAAAAAATGCCGAACAAAGAGTAGGCGATGTCCCCCTCCCTCGTGGTGTGATGGTTCGACGCCCATCGAAGTTTCTCTCGGGCATCTCTTGTTCCTGGACGGAAGTCGACGAGCACCCGCGCATTTATGCCAGTTGAACATTGCAACTCCCTCATGATACTGACAGACTGCTTGTGGTTGCGTGAGTGGTCGTCGAGATATAGGCTTCAATCTGCTTGGTAGAAGAGTATAATTTTAGGAGCGAGGAACAGTCTATCCTCGAATGTTCCAACTGCCATTTTCGGGGCGCTAGATTCCGATGAAGGGGGCATATCCGGTAGGTAGACGATGGTGAGCGCTGAGTAGTGATGCCAGATAAACATGGAATTGACTGATTCTTGTAGCTCGATGCTGTTATGCCGGTCAATGCGGCATGTATCGCTCCACGTCTAGCGATGCGGGCGACTTTGCAGAACCTCTGCAACTTCACAGTGGTTTCGACCGGATTCAAGTCGTATATGATATTGTCCTTAATGTCATGCAGCCCTGGCTCCTTGGCTCCCCACCTGTGGGATAACATGACCCAACTGAAGCACTGGATGGCCGCTTCTGTGACTCCGTTTGGAGGGGCCCATGCATTACTGGTAGAGAAAAAACTCCCTGTATTCTGTGCTTTCCATGAATGCGTTGATCTGTGCGTCTCGATTGCATAAACGCCCAGTAGAGGTGTTGATTAGACGAAGGGGGGGGGGGGGGGGTGGCGTTTTCCAGTTGAGCGTAAATGGCTTGTCGAACAGCGGCTTCCAGTACTCCAGATACACTAATGTATCAATTGGGCTTACTTTGCGTCTGTGCGTCAGGAGCGTTATCCGACTTGGAGAGCATTATTTTGAAGGCCTCAAATGCATCATCATAGCGCTGTGCTCCAAGAAGAGCTGCATGCTTCAGTTCGTACCCGGAATAAGACGAAGGGTTGAGCTCAGTGACCTAAGAACATCATCACAATTATCAAAACAATGACGGATATCGTTCGCGCCTTGTCCGCGTCCAAAAGGGCCTCCACATAGAGCTTTTGGCCCAACTTCACCTTACTGCGGTGCGCAAAGTAGATATCGTATGAGGAATCCATCCCAAATACTGCAAAAAATGTGTTCTCGATGGGCCAGAGCTCAAGACTTCCATTAGAGTCTCCGCTCGCGAGGAGTTCTCCACTGAGAGGAATTGCGGCGCAGGAAATCCATGCGGTATATTCGAATCCTGTCTATCTGCCGGTGTGACTTTGTGCTCCACAGATGCACAGTCCCGTCGTCTGAGGCCATCAGAAGAAATGGCAAGTGACAAAATGGGAGAAGTGTGACTGGTGCAAGGTTGACCGACCTGGGTCCCATTCGAGGAGTTCCAAAACTTGATTGTTTTGTCGTCTGATACGGACACCATTGGACGACCACACAACACTTTTATAACAAAATCTTGGTGAGCGTCGATCCTGAGAAGAACCTCGGCATTAATGTCGGTGCGCTAAACCCGAACGATATCATATGATCCCGATGCTAATGTTAGCCCATCTGTGAGACAAAACAGCAAACCATCGACGAGTGTTGAGAGGACAGCACCAGTCTCCACATCCCATATAACAATTCTTCCATCATATGAACCGCTTGCGAGCCTTTTGCTATCGGAGGAGAAACGCACCAACCAAACTAGGCCTGAATGCTTCACCAGCGGTTTAAATACCATCTGCTTGCTCTTGGCATCCCAGATGATGATGGCTCTATCACCTCCACCACTCGCAATTTGCCTATCGTCTGGCGATACAGCGACTGAAACCACACGCTCACTGTGTCTTTCGAATGGCCCTCCTACTAATGCTCTTTTCTCCACGTCCCAGATTCGCAGGGTTTTATCCCCTGAAGCAGTGACGATTTGTCGACCGTCTTTGAAGAACGCGACTGCCCACACCCCCTCTTTGTGCACTCGCATCGTTTGTGTTTGCGCCAGCTGGGTTGTCTGCGCTGGTTGGGCTGTCTGTGCCAGCTTCGCGAGTCTTCTCAAACTAAGATATGCTTTCTTGCTACATCGCGTAATTCTGACATATCGCTACACAGGGAGATAGACGGTCAGTAGCGTTTGAAGTTGACGAGGAGCGTACTCTGGTTAAACCGTCGATCTTATGTGTAGGGAGAAGCTGTGAGTGGAATTGGATGTCCACCCATAATCCAACTTATGCAGGCTCTTTATATACGAGCTGGGCACTAGGAAATTGCTGCACCACTGCTGCAAGTTGCTAGTGTTGCTGGCAGAACTTGGCAGAATCACGTTCTGCCAGCTTGGCAGGTGGCAGAATTACCATTTTTTTTAATGGTGTGCCACAGTTCTCAAGTCCTTGCCAGTGCACTATGGTCCATGACCACCATCTCATCTACCACTGCTGCAGCCACTAGTCCTTCGTCAATACGCAACAGTGTTGGTAGTTTCCCAAAGTCGAATGCTCTTCCTTCTAATATACTTCCGTCCATTCACATCCCAAGGCAAATTCTCTGCGTTTTGTTCTTTCCCCATTACAAACGTCTTCTAAATCAGTCTTGAGCTGCAGCTTGGCAACTTCGATATCAATGCCGGCAATTTGTCAAATTGGCTTGTCCGAGTCATCGGTGATGCTCATGATAACAAAGGTCTGCACAGACCTTACCGAGTTTCGAACATTGTCCATCGTTGCAGGCATCACAGTGGTTGCAATTCTACCAATATCTATTGGACTTGGCAGAAGTTGGATCCCCCTTTATGAACTTCCTGTCGACAGGTGAATTGAGAGGATAGCCTCCAGACTTAGATGTTGTAGAGAGCCTGTAGTACACCTTGAGTTCTGCCACATTCTGACTGGGGGTTCTGCCATCTGCCTAGCAGTGCCAGTTCTGCCCACAACACTAGGGGCTGTCAGCCCCCCTGCTCTCGTGTGGGGTATGCCGTGCTCACCCGAACGCAGGAACAAGTTTTTTTCCTTCTTCTCAACCTCTGTGGCTGACGACAGGCTCGGTACCCGGCTCAATCTAAACGTTTGCCGAGTCATACCTGAATTATGCACCCAGTCCGTCCTTTATGGCAAGCCACGGTCTATTAGATGTTGTAAGTGCAGCGGCCGTGAATGATGACTCCCAGGTAATAGACAACTCGCAGGAGTAAAGAAGTGACTGTCGTGTAGACGTCACATTATCCCCCGTGTATCAACAAGGAATAACCAGTGACAACAGGCATGATATTATGTAGCCCTCGCTCTCGCGAGCACAGCCCATACAAGCCCAGATACATCGTTTTCCATGACGTGTGCATCCACGACGTCTCCGATTACGCGTTCCTCGACACCCTCCACCCTTGCCTCGGCCAAGCGGCGCGTGTTAGGTATGAACAGCAACGTCATACATACCTCACGCTCATGCACGCAGTAAGTGAGGCGCAGCTCGTTGTCAGATTCACTATGTGCAGAGAGAAGTGAAACAAGCGCATGATGAGTTGAGGTTGTGGTTGAGAACCTGTATAAAATCAGAGTCAGAAACAAGTAGTCTTATCTTAGAAGTTGCGCACCAATCATACAGTCCAACCACTCTTCCGTCTTCCACTCTTTCACCCGCACCGATTTCCACAGCCTTTTCCACCTCTGCTCTAACACTCCTCAGTTTCTCGACCTGACCCGTCCCGACTTTTATCCGCTCTCGTACAGTAGCAATCTTCTCGTGCGCATCTGCAAGTTCCGTGTCTAGTGCTTGCATCTCTTCTACCTGACCATCAAGTTGCTGGTTCGCTGTGGTTATTGTGAGCCGAGGATGGGGATGGGCCTGTCGCAAGCGAGTAAGTGATAAATGTGCATCGAGTATCTTCTGCGATAGCATGGATGCTTGGAGAGTCAGGGCTTGTGCTTTCTTATAATCTACGTTGATCGTTTAGCATGAAGAGTATAAAAACGCAGCAGTCCACGATACACGCCTTCTTCTACGAATCCAGAAAGTGCTCGAAGATCATCCCTTCTTTCTGCTAGCTTCGCTTTGTGTTCACGTAGCGCAGTCTTCTTCTCCTCATTCTGTACTCGAAGTTCCTCATTTAGTGCAGGTGTCACCAGCGGGGCATCGTCGCTGACAATAGTCTTCACGTATTTATCCTTTGCATTTTGTTCCAGGTAAAGAAACTTAAGCTTCCTTAGGAAAGACTATTATTGAGGATCGACAGTTGAATCACCAATAAGCCATCATTCATGATTCGGACATGTAAAACACGCACGATCTGTGCTTGCACATCGCTCTCAACAATCTTGGGATCTTTGAGTCCCAGAGCGCCATCCTCACCAACCCATTCTTCAATCCCGTCCCAAATATGTGTGGATAGCTCAGCACGAGCATTAACTATTCGGAGTCCCGCTCTTGCATCGTCCAGCATAGCCTGAAGATTTTTGGCAGTAATTAAATGTGTTGCTGACGACGTTCCTGCAGCTCTGGAGGTAGTGAGGTCAATAATGGGGGTAGGTTCAATCATGATTGTGGCGGAAGAGCATGCTATAACATCTTGAGACAAGTCGCGACTTGACGCGGTCACGTGCTCATGAACTATTTATAACAACCACTCTTCGAGTCTAGATCTCAGCGGTGGCTTGCAGGAGATCTGGAGAACTTAAAATGAGTAAAACATAGCTCGTGACTAGCTTGGCATATACTACCAGAGTCTAAGTACAACGTACATGTAACACCTCAGCTACTCCAGGCACACCCATTCATATAAATTCCGTGTAATAAAATTTAAACGTGTGACTGGCTGCCACAGGCAACAAAAAAAAAACAGTAACTAACATCATGACCTGAACCAATGATTAGAGGTGGTATAAATATATTTTACGTAGATGCATCTGGCGGCCCCCACACATACATACACCATGCAATACAACAAGAGAGTGACTAGTGAGGTATGGCGTCCTCCCGAACCCAAAGCAGAGGCGCGGCTAGCAATTACAACAACAATTCGTCATCGCGTACACTTGCTTTTTCAACACTTACTTTTGATTCTATGCAGAGCTTACTATTCATCCATCCATACTGAATAGCTCATCATCATCCGCCGTAACAACAGGCTTGCTCAACGGGCTCTGCGCGTGCCAGTTCCGGCTGCCGGGCGTGCCACGCTGGATACCCAGCGGTGAGCCTTGCGTTGGCGAATGCGCCAGGCCGCTGTTCAGTGGCGACCGCGACGTGGCCGCAGCAGAGTACGACAGGCGCGAGAACATCGACTCTAGGCCCGCCATTGAGCTTGAGAGAGGCATTCCTCCCACATCTGCAGCGGAAAGATGGTCGCCCTGGGTTGCAGAGCCCCCGACCCAGTCCTGGTTGAGGGAGTATGGATTGTTGTTGGAGCCAGGGCTGAAGGCTGCAACTGAGGAGGGTGACATTGTCATTGGGAGTGCGTGGATGCGGGAGTAACCTGCTGCAAGCCCCTGCGGCAGACTCTGCCCCGGTGCGTGCGCCTGCAGAGCCCGGATGGAGGGGGAAATAGCAGCTGGGCGCTCCTCACCCTCACCAAATGGAATAGGCCGTCCAGATGCGTGTTCGTCGAACGGCGGACGATGACCACCGAGAGAGCTGATACGAGGGGGGGAGAATGAGGTTGGGGGTGGGTTCTGAGGGGTGGGTGGCTGTAGGGGGGATCCAGCAGGTCGGCCGAGTCCAGAGGTGGAACGCTGGATGCCACTTGGCTTCGAGTTAAGGTAATACTGGTGTAAAGAAGGGAGAAAAGCAGCAGAAGCATTGGATGGAGAAAGAAGGGAAGAAGATGGATTCACGTCTTCATTAGTAAAGGAGCGACCTCCGAAGCCGCTCGAGGATTTGAATGAACTAGGCGTGCCAACTGCGAGATTGAACGCATGAGATGTGTCAGGAGAACCGGGAAGCCCTCCGGTCCGCTCTGCCCAAATAGATTTTACATCTCCGAGGAGCGAGGTGGCAGGCACGGAACGTGAATAATGGTGGCGGGAACCCTCCACTTGCGAGTGTGCAGTGAGGAAGGGAGGGTCAAGACCAAGACCATTGTTGTGAACCTGAGCAGGGCGGACAGAATTTGTACGCGACATTCTGCGAGAACGTTCCTCGGGGGTCAAAAGGTCATTGAGGGAGCTTGGCAGGAACTCCTCTAGGTCTTCATCTTCGACAGCAATCTCGTGATCGAGACCACGCATATTAAGGCTTCCGTCCCCACGAGTGACAACTTGCGAGGGGACGGGACCAAGCTCTGTTTTCCACGTGCCGAGAGATGCGGCGAGCCCGGAACGATGTTTCGGGTCCAGTATTGAGGGTTTGGCATCATATGATTGGAATACAGTCTGAGACTGAGCAGGTAGCGTGGATGAGACTGGAGCAGCAGCAGGCGATGTGCCAGGTGAAAATCCATTGGCGAGTCCAGTGCGGGGAAGGGAGCCACGTGGCGGGGATCCAATGGGGCCAAGATCCGCGGAATCTGTAGGACGATGTGATAGACCTGAACGTCGTGTGCTCGGCATGCTGAGAGGGAGTGTTGGTGGGGAGGGACTTTTGCGGTCTTCCTTAAACTCGCTAGCTTGAGCAGGTGCTGGTGACTCGGGTTCGAGTGGTGGCGTGGGTCGTCTCTGAAGAGGCGCTGCTGGCAACTTTTCTGTGTCATCTGGGAGGGAAAATGAAGCGAAATCGGTATCTTTGAGGGGTGGAGCAGGGGCAGATGGTGAAATTGTGGCCTTTAATGGCATGGAAATTGGGGGACGAGAGGAAGCGCTGAGAGACCTTGTAGGGGCCGTAGAACCGGAAAGAAGACCTCCACGAACATTTCCTGCAGCAGAGGCGCCTCCTGAGCCGTTATGCGCATGAGGATCTTTCTTGACACTCCTTCCTGCTTTTGAACTATCTTTCGGACCACCACTTCCCGCAGCATTGGCAGCGAGCTGAGCCGACTTCTTATTTTTCCTGTCCATAGACATACTCTGGCCAGGAAGAACATGTGCTAAAGCACACTTGTGGCCAAACTTGCAGTTTCCCTTGACGAACCATGCGCAGACGTCCTTCTGCTGACCAGGCTCTTGGACGTTATGGGAGAATGGGCAAGAGGAACCTGCTGTGCAAGCACCAACTTTGAAGAATTTACAAGGTACATGGGAGAGATCTTTGGCTAGAAAATAAATAAATAAGTTTAGGACAGGAAGAGGAGAGAAGACTTGTAGTACACTTTGAAGAAGACTTTGACTTGTGAGATTTATCCTTGTCACGGTCAGAATCCGGATATCTCTCGGTGTCATGCTCTGAAAGTTTTTCAGAATCCAATTTTTCGTTTGAAGGCATGATCAAAGGATATTGTAATAAAGAAGGGAGGGGAGGAGGAGGAGAACGGGACGAGCAGGAGAAAACCTGAGTTGGAAAGTGCCTTGGCAGGTGCTTGGAGATTGCTCGTTTAAGGAATTAAATTATTATCATATTGATTGATAAGCCATCAGCAATATTAACCGGATAACCCCCCTATTTTCTACCCGATCTCAACCCCCCAATATTAACCTTGTTATTGTTCGGCATGTAAGTACTGTCCATCTATCTGTTCTTCTATCTTCCGTGAACTAAATTGCAGACCATGGATCTCTCTCTTGAGGATTTTTGCGCCGATAAATCTTACCGGGTTCTCGAGCTCATTGGAGAGGGCGCATATGGTATCGTCTGGTATTGTCATATCCTATCTGCGTATTACAAGTCAGCTGCTCAATTTCCTCTTAGTTCAGCAATACATCACCCTTCCCAACGCAAGGTAGCTATAAAACGTATAGCACCATTCGATCATTCCATGTTCTGCCTTCGAACCTTACGCGAGATAAAACTCCTTCGCCATTTCCGTCACGAGAATATCATTTCTATCCTCGATATCCTCCAACCTCCAAGCTTCGATCAATTCAGAGAGGTATACCTCGTTCAGGAACTGATGGAAACCGACCTGCATCGCGTCATACGTACACAGCAATTGAGTGACGACCACTGTCAGTATTTCATTTATCAGGTACGCCGCAGAATACACATACACCAAGTATAAGCCTCGGTACCGAACGATTTCCCCTCTTTCCAGGCATTACGTGCCTTGAAAGCACTCCACTCCGCAGACGTTCTCCATCGAGACTTAAAACCTTCCAATTTGTTATTGAATGCCAATTGCGACCTCAAGGTACGTGCCGTTAACTTCGTTCTACATATGCGTGCAGCTTTAAGCACCCCCCAGGTTTGCGACTTTGGTCTAGCTCGTTCTGCCCGACCGCCGCCAAATGTTGCTAATGATAGTAGCACTTTCATGACCGAGTATGTCGCGACTAGGTATGTTTGACTATCAGTTCTATACAACTTGTCATGACCAACCCGGCATCTTAAGATGGTACCGTGCACCCGAGGTCATGCTTACCTTCAAAGAATACACTCGCGCGATTGACATGTGGAGCGTTGGTTGTGTCCTCGCCGAAATGCTCAGCGGGAAACCTCTATTTCCCGGACGTGATTGTATGATATTTCCCTTCATCCTTTGTCCAGTTACTCACGTTCCTAATTCCCATCGCCACATTAAGGTAAGTATAATCCAAATCATGCACACATTATATGAACCCTATATCGCCCCTCAACCTTGTTAAATCAGATCACGACCAGCTATCAATTATATTAGACGTCCTCGGCACACCCTCCATCGATGACTTCTATGCCATCTCCTCTCAACGATCAAGAGAATACATCCGTGCACTGCCGTTCCGCAAGAGCAAATCATTTTCCCAGCTCTTCCCAGCCGCCAACCCTCTTGTGAGTTGTCACCCCATTTCCCGCATATCTGACACCTGTGTTCACAACAACTGAGACATTCCTTCCCACAGGCAATAGATTTCTTAGAGAAATGCCTAACATTCAGCCCAAGACGACGAATAACTGTTGTCGAGGCTCTACAACACCCTTACTTCGAAGTCTGCATTTCTTTCTCAATCATTTTCTCGCTGACCGCGCGCAACAGCCTTACCATGACCCTGATGACGAGCCCATGGCCGACCCCATCGACCCTTCCTTCTTCGACTTCGACAATGGCGAGGCTCTAGAAAAAGAGGATCTCAAAGGTATGCCAAGATGCCACTGCAATGTGTCTATTCATTGAGCGAAGCTTCAGTACTTATTTACAAGGAAATCACAAATGCGCAAATATCCCAGCCATCACTCTTGTTGGCTAAAGACGCCTAAATGCATTTGATAGTGATACCCTCTAGTGTAGCATCGTATTCAACGGACCTGATATATGTGGCACAATATTAGCAAGAAATTCAAAGGCTTGATACGGGAGCTGCTATTCAGGATATCTGGAGTGCTACGTGTGGCAGCCAGTATGTGGAGTGGGCAAAACTGAGGGCAACTATTACCTTCACGACCCGGCTCCACGAGGTTCTTGCAGTTGCATGGCCGATTTGGGGCGTTCTTATGGATTATTGAATGCATTTCACTGGAGTCTTGATTACCTACGCTCATAAGATACTTTCTTCAGCCTCTGGTCTACATACATCGAAAGAATTTCTTGTACAATTGTAGCATGATTTATAACTCAACAATGCCCACATACCAGATACTGTTCATACCGCGCTAGCAGGTTTGTATCTCCCATCTATGGCATTCAATGCGGAACTTTCATGGAAGCTTCAAGAGATTAGTTAAGAACATGTTGCATCCGTAAGATTGCTCAATGATTTTTAGGACCAGCAAACAGGCCAAAGGACACCATGGCAGAGTAATTTAAACTAAATGTTTTACCTTCAGTGACATCACTCTAGGTCGCCCTCTGACGCAGGGCTTGACCCATCATCATCACTGGGGATGTCATGATTGGGATTCCGCACGAGAAGATCCTCAGTGCTCCTAGCTGCATCTTCTAGACATGAGATATTGAAACATACAAACAGAAATGCAAACCTTTCTTCCTGCGTGATTCTTCATAGCTCTCCTGGAGCTCTGCAATGATAGTCTCCTGCATCACGGCGACCTCTTCTGCTGATGCGCACGTTTGGTATCGTTTGAGGTACGGACTACCATCAATATTTGGATCAGCAAAGAGCAGTATGATCGTAGAAGAACTGCACCCATTAACTTTCCAGAAAGAATCGCCCCACCCAAATGAACTGAGCAGGGTCTCCGCATGCTGATCGAACCCTGTAATGTAGAAAGTCGCTGCAAGTGCCTCGACGCAGTTCAACCGCCAAGGCTTGCCGTAATTAGTGGGGTTGGCGGCAAGCAAGTAGGGGACTGCAAATGACCCATTGTCGACCAGAGAGATGTGTAAGAGAAGAATGGACTTACGAAGCCGTTCGTGTGGGCTGACAATTTTCGAGAATGGGACGTCATCTATGCGGGCCCAAGAACATTCGACAACGGCAATACCGTCTCGTCCAACGATCTCTTTGTCTGCTGGGCTCACGACAAGGATCCCTTTTGGACTGGCGGCAATGAATGATGTTAGAGTGAGTGAATGGACGTTTACAACGAGACGGACGCACGATACGACTACGCCTCGAAATCTGGATCCCACCCTCAGCTCCGTTATGAGACCGAGGCGGGCGAGTTTCTTCCCAGAGCATCGGCGTGGATCACAATGGTCGAAATCCTTCATAATTTGTATTAAAAAGATGGCACAGAGCGAATGACAAGTTAACGCACCCACATCGCCACGGGTACATCGATGTGCGGTCGCACAACTGTGCGCTCATGAGTGGTCGTTCAACTACCTTGTAAAATCACTCGCATTCATCATCTTCACCTGAGGAATGATTTGAGCTGTCATCTTCGATAATGCTTGAAGGCTTGGCAGAGTCCTCGGGGAAGCTAGACAACGGTTGGGATTGCCGGAAGGTTCTCGCGCTCTTATGTCGTTGTGCGCGTCCACCACGTCTTGGTCTGGTCGCATGGGAGGACGGAGCGTTCAGAGTATTCTTTTTGCCCATGATCGTGTGTATTGAACTCTTCAAGCTTTCGAGGAAGATGTCGAGTTGGTTATGTAAGCAGAGGCACTGAAATTTCTCCGAGTTCGATAGACTTGAAGCCATTCATCGATGTTCTTCACGGCCGTCTGTCTTTCGAAAGCTTCGCGGCGAGCTTTGACGCCAAAGCGGGGGAACAAGGACTTCTATAAAGGTAAGCCAAGCAACTTTCTCTCTTGGAATTGTGGAATACACTTTGCTGTCAATTTCTCATTTCGTCGGGTTGTCTCTCATTATGGTTTCCGTCTAAACGACCGGTCCTCTCATTTCGATGCTCACACTGTACGCAGGAACTAGGCAAGCCTTTCTCCCTGGTGGACACCGCACAGGTGCTCCAGGAAAACATGTCATCCGAGGCACGTCGAAGTACCGTTTACTGGATGAGAAAGTGAGGGTATTCGTCGCGCCAAGCATAGAGGAGATCAAGAAAAGCGAGGTGCGTTATATAGGTGTTATCGATTCACTACTTTTCTGACATCTTTTCATTTTGCCATTCTCTTCATTTGCATCTGACTCTTCGCGAACACGTGTATCCGCCCCTCGTCCAATATCTCCCCCCGTCCATTGCTATTCTGAAATTAGCTGAAGCCATACGTCGGGAAGGACGTGAAACTAACAATGATACAGAAGAAGGAGCTGTGGAATATCATGCCAAAGTCACCAACGCTGTCGCAGTCCGCTCCATCAAGCTGAACGAACGACTTTTTATTATAGTGTCCGACTCTATTGTACTACATCATAGAACATAATGTCATGCATACCTCCTATTGTAGCAGGAGTGGGGAGGGAGAGTGCGGGCAGCGGTCTTCGTACCATACCAATTATTGCACCCTCCAGGCTCTGGTATGGTATGGCCGGATTGTCTTTCAGCGTAATCTGGTTCATCAAGTACATCCAAGCCGACCTTCTCAAGCCTAATGACCAGTGTCTAGATCTCCGCCTGGATTGAACGGATCGAGTATCGATTTTTGTCCACATTTTTTGGCAAATAACAAAACTTGCCAAAATGTTCAGTAATCTATGTACGCCAACATTGACATTTGAGTCATAAAAGATAACAAAAACATCAATCGCCTGGTATGAGGCTCTTTATTTTGGTGTGACATGCACATGTTGCCAAGCGATACTCTATCCCCTACTTCGCCTCCACTCGCAGCACATTGACACTGTACGCTGGGGCAGTGTATGAGAAACTCATACCTGTTTTAATCTGTGAAGTGACGGGCTTGACAGCCTTGGAAGTCTCGGGCGAGTTGTTTGCAGTGGCAGAGCCTGAGAGCACTGTCGCAGTGCCAGTGCCGTGAACACCGTCGAAGGGAAGCTCGAATGACATTTCTTCAGCTGTCATGCCCGTGTTGGCAATCTTGATAACGAAATATCAACATCGTCACAGCCGACAGAAGAAGTAGAGTACCTTGATGATAATCGTGTTGGTGGGTGCATCGCGCGTGACACTCCAGTGGAGTGTGCCATTTTGAGGCAGGGTGCTTGGTAAATATTCGGTTCCACGGTTGAGACTGAAGAGCTGCAGCAGATGTTTGAGGGACGCAGTTATACTCAGATATCAAATATCACTACCTGTTGTGTGTAGAAGCTGGTTGATGGGTATACATCTGACGCACTGAGGGGACATGAATCTGATGCGTATCTTCGATTGTTGTGAGCGACTCACTCAAAGGCAATAAGGCTAGGAGACCACTGATAGTTGGCAGTGTTCTACAGTGCGATTATTAGTGTTGACTCTAGTTGCAGTATGCAAAGTCCGCTCACCATTAACAAGGGAGCATACGACGCAGCAAAGACGATATCACTGTTACGCTCGAGACCGGTCATGAATGCAGCTTCTCCTGAAGATCCTATCCTGGCGTCAGGTATGGTTCATCACCACGAGAGAGTGCACACCTTGCATATCAGGGTATACGAGGCGACCGTTATTGGGTTTGCCGAAGATATCGCTGGCGTTAGTTGACACAACAGCATATTCGCCCTCAAAGTAGTAAGTGCCATCTCGCTTTCGGCCGTGTCACATTCAGGTTCCCATGATGACGTGAGGCGAATGCAGAGCGTACGAACCTCGACAGAATCGTAGTAGAATGCGTTTTCTGCGAACCAGCCAGGTGTCTGGTACACGTGGTTGTCATACTGCTTTGGGATGGGATCGAGAGTGGGATTGAAGGGGTATGAGGTCGCGATGAACTCTACCGAGAAATGTATCAGCCAGAGGCAAGCTCCTGGACAGCAGTGTGGCGCTCACTCAGCTGAGGGAATGTAGCCGTCAAGTTGCCCGCGAAATCTCTCCAGCGGTATATATACCTTGTGGTGTATCATTGACATGCTCATCCATCCGTTAGTTTTAAATAGATGACTCACGATTCTGATGCGAAGAAGTCTTCATTGCCAATTTCGACATACTGCAGATGGAATGGTTCTGGGTGACCAAGAGATGCACGCAGGGCAGCTGGTTTACTCGTGGCGGAGTCACCGATGACAAAATTAATCTGGTCGATTGCCTGTTGGATGTATGGCGCGAGATCGGTCTCAGGGAGGCTGGCTCCGTCAAGCGAGTACCCTGTATGTGAAATAAACATGCAAACAATATGGTATGCACGCCTGCTATATACCTGCCCATACAGCCATAATGGGTTCCATTTCCATATCTTCGCAAAGATACATGTACTCGAGAAGACCGAGACCACTGAAAAAAGGAGAGGGTAATTTGTTATTGATGGCGGAGTCAAATTCACGAGAATGGCGCGGACTCAGTGTTGACGTATCCCCAGTCACCCATGCGTCCTGGACGGTCAATAAGGTTACCTACTGTCGCGTTCCATTGCCAGCGTGTAGAAAAGCTTTGGCCCTGGTGTCGCGTTAACGATCGAGTCCACAAATAGGCCGGTCAACATTTATGTTTACCTCCTACAAAGATAGTCAGCGTAGATGAATATGACGCTATACGGAGCCCTACCAAGTTATTACCACCAGGAAAACGGAAGAACGAAGGCTTCATATCATACAATGTCTACGTGTTACTGTCAGAATATGTTGCTTTAACCCTAGATGAAAACACGCCTGCGCAATGTCCATACGCAGGCCATTGGCTCTGCCCTTGAATGTTGGAGGGAAGAGAGAGAACATTGCGAAGTTGATCGTCCCTACGATGGCGCTGGAACCATCGACCGTGACCGTGAAAATATTTGTAGTTGACACAGGGCTTGAGGAAGGTGTGAGATGCACCACGACCTGCGTCCATGTTGTGGTGGAGCCGGAGACAGGCACAGAAGCGCTTGCATAGACTGCGCCAATAGAAGACTGAAGCATGACAGTGACTTTGCCAGAAAAATCGGATGCGCTTGGGAATCTGTAGTAGAAAGAAGCGTTGTAAGTCCAAGAGGCATTGACGTTTATGCCTAGAGGGAAGACAGTGAACCTGATGCACAAGTCCTGAGGTTGATTGGACATACCCCAATAACCCTCATTGCCGAATCCGACTTGAACAGAGGAGCCAGATGGGATGGTAACCTCAAGAGAGTTGGGCAGGGCATCGGAGAGCGGGATGGGGTCAGCAATAACATTGATGGACGTGCCGTTAATTGGAGCCCAGCCGAAGAGAGCATCAATTATATCTAGATACGTTTCAGGATTACAGTTCGGAAGATATAGTTATATGGATCTTACTTGGTGTCACCTGCTGGAAGGCGCGATTTTGAAGCACTTGCAAAAGAAAGAACCTCAGCAACATGCCAGGCACGTGAATTTGATGAAGCACTGACACTCGGCGTAGATGCCACCATCACCGCTCTGCGCAAGAGGGTAGACGTTATTTTAAAAGCACTCAAAATTATCTTGACCATGATGATATGCTCTTACATACTATAATGAGGAACTGATGAATAAGCCACGGTCGAACATTAAAGGAAACGCACACTGATATCCTACAAGTCACCGATATGTTACATGTCAGAAAGCAGCACGAGTTTCACTTGCCTCGAACATCTGTCCAACTGAGTGGTACGTTAATGCAAAATTGGGTCGCAGGTAAATGTCCCAACTTACAAAGCAGAGGCGGAATGCTGTGGGCAGCCGTGCCATTAACACTGACAGTCGTCACTGCAGCACCACAACTCGCGAAAATAGCGCTTGCAAGGATACCACAAATCAGAAGGTTGGGCAGCATGTTGCAACCCAATTGTTGGGATACATGTAACTGACCAGATGCCTTTTATAATGAATGGTCATGATGCCGGGGCGGGCCGGCGTCGGGCGCGGTGGAACGCACTACAAGTCACGGTTCGTGCAAAACGTTCTTCCCGAACTCCACTTGAGTAACTGATTTTAGCTTGTAAAATTTATTTTGTTATGGCTAACTGCCAGTGAGTACTAGTGGCGGGTGCCATAGGCAACCCCCCCGCAATTGAAGCTTCTGAAGTCGCAATTATGTTGTAGTAATTGGAGGTGTTTCTTTGAAGCAAGGAGGATCAATTAGTCATTGGTTATACTTCTGGTGGATCCGCTCACTTGGGCAGCCCGGCTAATGATCTGGCCTGTTCGAACTTGCGGTCTCCAAGCACCCGATATTGCTCCTGTGATGGACATCAGTAAACCAATGAACATATTGAAATGTCATATTACATCAGGAAACCCAGTACTGCCGAGCGAAGTGACTCGTAGCAGCGCGTAGCACAGCGCTTCTTTTGAAATGACTGTAGCAGCGGGTAGCAGCTAGAAGAACTAAAACTTCCGTACTGGCTCCGGGACTTTCGAACATGCCACAATCTTCAGGAAAAACCTCCCATGGGAATTACCCATATATTCACAACATTATGTTGTTTTACTCGACTTTACTCAGATTTTTCAGTTATTACCATGTAAAACTACACTTTCACGAACATTATGCATGTGTCCTATCCTACATTGAAGTAAGTGTACGTGTCTTTGAAAACGTTCAAAAAAAATGAGGGGCATGCATCAAGAACATCTAAACTCGTCCGTTCTGCAGGAACAGCTCCTCCCCACTTAGGCAGTAAGTGAGCACTTCGACAGATTAAAGATACAGGCACAATCAACACTTGGCGTTCGCCATCACGAATTACCCATGTGACCTTGTACAACCCAGAGTGTGGATCTGGTAAAGGACTGAAGGCTGAAAACCATTCGATGTAGGCAAGATGCTGTGGTGGAGGGTTCTGAGGATCGAAATACTGTTTCAATACTGTTTGCGGCAAAGAGAAGACTGCACGAACCTGCATGACACGTAAATCTAATGATTATTTTATATCAGTGGAGGATCCTGTTACAATCATGGCTACCCCTATCTCTTTTTCGTCTTCTTCTTTCCCTCACCTGTGTATTACGTCATGACTGTGCCTCGTTGCGCCATCATTAGGCTAAACCTTTCATCATATCTGTATTACATCATGACCGCAGCTAGCCGTCGCTAGATGACTCACCCCTATGACGTAGACCTTATCTCTGACTCGCCTCGATGACGTATCTCTGACTCGTCTTGATGATGAATATGTACCAGCCCTAAACGTATCTACGTCTATATAAACCCGGTCATGTACTTAGATAGACTTCACTTTAATCTACTAGGTTCTACCCAGAAACATCCTTTGCTTAGGACCTCCAATCCTAAGTGTCCGATATCGATATTCAAGTCGGAGACACTCTCTCTAACTTGTCTTAAGAAGCCTTGCATTTGCGAGGTCTAGATCCGGCTCTAGATGTTACTCTTATCGAGTATCTATTGCCGCGCCCATCCTAGTTCGCCGTAACAGATCCAGTGAACTCAAAAAAAGTCTCACCTTGTATAGATGTGGGAGGTGTATCAGGATTGTGTATTTGTATAAGGCATGTATCAAAGTGAGCACATTTGACAACATGACCTTTGTTGTTCTTCACTGCTGGTTGTGCATGTATGGAGTCGAGTGTTTCAGCGGTCGCATGTATCTCATCATTCCAGAACTTGATTCAGTGGAAGATGGCCACAGAGTCGCAGGGTAAATGAATGTTGACTGCACAATCCTCAATTTGCTGGGAGGACAGTGCTGGGTGATTATAAAGGACAATAAATCTTGCCAGCGCTGGAATGAAATGAGTGGTGCCATGTGAAACCAAAGAAGTGAGTTCTCGGAATGTGTCATATGCCATTCCGGACTCTCAACTCTAAATCTGCTTCTCCGGATGTCTGGATCCGAGATCCGGATCTCAAATGATCTGATCTATCTTTATCTCCCTTCCAGAATCCAAACCCTATATCAGCGCCCAACTCCATTTAGACTGCCCCAGTCTCCGGACTCCGGTTAACCATGTTTCCCTTTTGATTATTGATCCATTACATACATTTCATTTCTGGTGTTCATTATTTGTGATCCATCCTACTTACTAATAGACTTTGCATATGCTTCGTACATAGCCTTTATGTTTGCTGACTGATTCCTATATGATACCTACAGTATATAAACCTCCTGTAACTCTTGGAAATACTCCAGTTCGAATATCATCTTAGTTCCTGCTCATTCCTGTGTCCTCCGGACTTGAGATAAGTCTCTTGTCATATTCCGAGTCTTAGGATTGCATCCTAGACTATATTTCCGACTCTACCTTAAGGGTAGTCCATCCTCTGTTAGTTTCTAGTCCGGACTTCATCTGGATTAGTCTTATCCACTTGCCCAGGTAACATCCGGACGTCCATCAGATTTATCTCATGTTTCAGATCCGGATGTCCGTTATCCGCCCCAGTCAAATCCCGGAAACTCTGGATGACTGTTCTAGCCCCCAGAAATTAAGGGCACATACTCAGGAAAGGGGCACAGCGTACAAGCTGAGGCCAAGCCCTTGTGATCCGACCCCCTTGAGCACACGACCTTAACAGAATGGAACCAACTTGCATGATGGGTGACAGGTCATCTTGATGCAAAAGAGACATGCGAGGTCTGGAGGTTGCCAGTGGATGGCAGGAGAAGCTGCAATGACATCTGTGTTGGTCGTGCTCAAATTGTGGCACCATACAACAAAATTTGCATGCTGTAAGACCTTCTCCTTGTGTTCAAGCCACTTCATCATCTGCCAAAACTCGTCCTTGTGATTGGTGGCAGCATAAGCATCTTTCATGAAGTCAATATGAAGCCTCTCAGTGGCCTCCATATTGAAATTGTCCATCATGCCAATGTCATATCTGCATATCCAGATCTCAGATCTGACCCTTATCTCATCTCAGATCCACATCTTATCTCTGATCCTATCCACATCTTATCTCCCTCCAACATCTCGTCATTCAATCTGTCCACTCGTCCAGTCTGGTCCACAACTCATCCAAATCCACAACCAGCGCTCGTCTCCTTTCAGTAACCCCCTAACTCCAGTATTTCAGTTATCTGTATATCCGTCCTGCTCCCTGGTCCATTACCTATGTTTCATTTCCATTTCATGATTTGTGATCCATTTCTACTTACCAATAGACTATCCACATGCTTTGTACATAGCCTTGGACTCTGCTGATTGATCATTCTGTTAGATACCTATAGTATATAACCTCCTGTAACTTTCTGTAGTACCTCAGTTTGAATATCATCTTAGTTCTACTCATTCCTGTCCTCTGGACTTGAGTACCTCTACTCTCATCACCCTCCGAGACTTAGGATTGATTCCTATAGTCTATCCGTATCTGCCTCTGTCTCCAACAGTCCATTACCATTAGTTTCTAGCCTGGACTCGTCCAGATTAGCCCTACAATACTTATCCCTCATCCAGAAGTCATCTGGATCCATTATGCTACTTGTCCGACCTTCTGGATGCGTTAGTCTTGCCTTCCTGAAATAAGGGGCAATACTCGGGTAAGGGGCACAATGCATGAACTGAGGCCGAAGCCCTTTGGATCCAGTTATCCTTTGAGTATGACCTTAACAGCCAAACAGCTTGATTAATTCAGTGTAGTGCTGAAGAAAGTGGAGCTTTGGGATGTTGAAGTTACTGCAGATGCTAAGCTCCTCAAAGACACCTTTATTTGTGTGGAATTTGTCCAGCACTGTTTCAAGCGCATCAATTGATGAATCAGAGTGAATGGGGAATTGGGCAAGGTAAAGGAAATCTAGAAGGGATTGAGTCGTGTGCACTAGTCTTGACAGAGAAGCATTCCCTGGCAGCCGCACATCAATGATGAGGCCAAGTAAGAAGTGTGACATTTGCTTGTGCTCTGTACCGCTGACTTGGCTCAATGTTGTGATCCCTTTCTGGAAAGTGTGCATGGAATGATTGGGTGGAAGGTGATGAACTCATGCATCTACCTCTGCAGTGCCAACAATCTCAGTAATCCAGCTGATCATGTGCTTCATTACCCCTTGGTAAAGTTGATGCAAAATGTCGGGTGTGATAGATTGGAAGATATTGAGATACAGGAGGTCTTTCCAGAAGGGATGTTGAAGTGGTTTGATTTGAACACTGTGACAGGCTTGAGTATATTGTGGGGATCTGAGAAGTTCGAGTGCATCCAAAATTGCATCGAGATCACGTAGTTTGTGTTGAGAGGGGTGTTTGCCAAGCTCATTGTGGGGGCAGGTACAGACAGGACAGTCTCTGTTCATTGTCCCTGTGACAAGACACTGCTCAGGGTAATCCCTGATAAAAGCTGCAAAGATTGGATGACAGTGTCATGTGATGCCATCGCCACTCATCATCACAATGCCATCCACACCAGCTAACTTCAAAGGCTGTATGATGCGTGACATGCATGCATGAAAGAGGTTCACCAAGGTATGATGGTGTGAAGCTTTGTTGGCAATTTGCATGAGACATGTTGTTGGCAGATATGCCAGGAGAATTTGACCTTGGCAGGAGGGTTTGTGTTGGATGCACTTCGGTAAATTACCAATGGTAAGATAAACGGGATATGCAGTCTTGTTTTGGAACAGCATGATCTGTATCTTGTCTGATGAGATGATGATGGGAATTATTGTCGCCCCTGGTTTTGATTGTTCCACAACTTCCTACAGTTAAACATGAGCCAGTGACTGAGCATGATACAAATAGAATGCATACTTGGGTTGCCCACCACCGTTCACCTGTACACATATTGTGATACAGACACTGAGTTTTGTCTGCATCCACATAGTGTCTCTCTGGTGTGAAAGACAGGTATTGTGCATGCTCGGGGTCACCATACAGAGCTTGAACACACTCCAGTATATCTCAGGAGAATAAGTCATATGTTTTGCCTCCTACACAGGCTTTGTGGTGAGTGAAAGCAGGTCGGTGTGACGGAATTTTGGTATCAACAATCTTGTTGAGTTAAACTGAGTTCTTGTATGACAGACCAAGTGCTTCATGGACCTGATGTAATGTCACATGTCAGCCTCCATGTTAAAATGTGACATCAATTTATTATACATACACCCTCAATTGCTAGGAGATCAGTGAATGCAGTTGATCCCAGCCCTCATACTTTTGCCCAGTGTGCAACTTCCCAATCTATCTGGGAATTAAATGGTGCCCATAGATTGTCTGCGCTTCCCTCCACATTGGCTGAGTAATTTGTGTACTCGGATCTCTTCACTTGAGGCATGTTGTGCAATGGAGCACCAGCTTCACCCCTGAAATGTTTGATAGTGACTGGAGCATTACAAAGCTGCTCATGTTTGTCTTGGTCCAACCCTGTGTGCTGAAAAGGTTGAGAATCTGAAGTCAGTGGCGACTCCATGATGTGTTGTGATGTGTCTCATAGTGGCTCCCAACCTATGTCTACATTGCTGACTTCAATGTCCTCATCATTGCTCTCCGGTGCATTCTCATCTTCCTCAGCCACACCCCCATCATGGTGAACATCAACATGGATGGGTTCTTCATCATTTACAAAGGGAAAATCTTCTTCTCCGTAGTCATCACCAAAATAATCCCCACCAAATGGCTGAGGATCTGGTGTGATGTCAGGTGTGGCCTGTGTGGGTGCACTGTTGTGCAAGGCATGGGGTGTGTCTCTGCGTATGGGTTGGCAGTGGACTGAATCATCAAGTCTCTTGCACTCATGCTGACAGCATGAATCAGAGGATTTGTGGAGGTGTTGAAGATATGACCCCCTTCGAGTGAAATATTCATGACAGCCTGCACATTGAAACACCATGTTGCGCTACTAGTAAGAAATGGGGTACAAAACAGAGGGAAATTGTTCAAATGTAAACTGAAAAGGAAAAGGCTGAGGGAATGTTATGGCCACCAAGGTTCAACAGACCCACAAGGTTCAACACTGTGACCCTGGTTGGCTCTTGAACTTTCCAGCTAGCCCATAGCATTTTTGCCCTTCTCACCTCCATCAACATTCACTTGAACCAAGATTGTTACAGTGCCCCACTCTTTTTCCCATCAACACTGTGGACTCCTATATGGCTGTACTTCTAATGCTTCCTTTTCACTGTGCTGTTTCCTCATGGTCTCCTTTATCTCTGACTCATACCTTGTTTTCCCATGAACCTTCCATTTCTAGTACTAGTTACCCTTTGCCCAGCTTGGTCTGTGCATGATTCCTTTACGTATATAAACTCTAGTTACCACTTGTATTTTCTCTAACTTGAATCTACTTGGTTCTCTTTGACACTTGAACTCTAGCTCCTTGGGAAGGAGGCTAGCCATTGTCCCATTTGAACTCTAGATCCTGTGGGAGTCTAGACGATCGCTCCTGAGGGAGGCATTGACTTGATAAGGCTTAGTCCTTGATCAACCTTGATCCTTGATTCCTTTATTGGAACAACACTCTATCTGAGTTTGTAACAAAGATGGCCCCACAAAAGCAGTCAAAACCTGATGCTGCCACCGCACAGTGGAGGGAAAACCACAAGGCCAGAATGCAGGCCCAACTTGAAAATGTTGTCATAGCAAATACAGCTGACAACATAGAGTCAGATGAGCCCAGTGTAGGATGACATGAGGGTATATCCTTTCTGTGTCAAATTAGCACTGATGAAAAATTTTAACAGTGACTCGAGTAGCCAAAACTGCAGCACTAACCAGACCTGGTCAGTACCAATTCATAGTGGCAATGAGATACATACTCAGACATTCCCAGATCACCCTATGAAACACACGTGAGTCAAATGCAAGCATGCTAATAGTGTCTGTGTGACAGAACTTGAAGGTCAGACCAGAATGTACACTTGGAGCCATAATTATATTTACCTTGAACATAGCCCAGAAATCATTGAATGAGGGCAAAGTCCAACCATTGGGACCACTGCATCAGTGTGAAGTAAAGAAAGTCAAGTTAACGCCTAAGCTAAGTGAGCCAATGATCAGTAATCCCATGGAACAATAACAACTCAAAATTTACAGGCAGGGCTCATCCTGCACCAAATCCACTCCAAGTCAGCAATTTGAACAAGCACCCACTCAGTACTCCCAAGGCCAGGGATGACACTACCAAATCAGACCTTGGAGACTTAGCTGAAGATGGTGAAGACTGTGATGGACAAAATAGCCTAGACAGTGATGATGAGGACAGAGAATTTGCAGACCTCACTGTTGAAAATTTTCACCAAGAAGTTTGTGAGAAACATCACTAGTAGCATTGGCTTAGATCACTAATCAGGACAGGGAGTGCAATGGACCCATAGCAGCATGAAAAATCACAATATGATGCTTGACAGTGAGCCAGAAGATAAGCAAGACTCAATGGGGCTCCACAAAGCACAGCATGCTAATAAAATTGTACATACAACTTACAATTGTGATATCACTTGTCATACTCACCCAGCACAAGTTAACGTTCAAGAGTCAGAGTACACAACAAGAGAAGAAACTCCAGGATGAGGTCAGCTATCCAAAGCTCGCTGACTGTCCCACTCACTTTTTTGGTTGCCTACTAGATGCCACACTTTGCTGATGATGCAGAGCAGAAGCCCCCTACTGAAGCTGAGGCAAATTCAGGTGCCTCAGATACTGTGAGCCTCAATGGAATTGTGTGGTTGACAGACATGGACCTGCAGGTGACCCTTTGTGGGAATATTCTGTTTATCTCAATCAAACTGCAGTCAGAGAAGATCTGCAAAGTTGTCCGTGGAAGTTATGAACAAGGGCAGTGCATGTTTGCATTCAGTTTGGAGGATGATACTGATCTCACCATTGACAATGTCTTTGATATGACTACCACATTTGCAACTCATGGTACCAACACACTGGGCTTTGAAGCTCTTGTTGAGTCAGCTGATCATGAAGGTTATACTGGTAAAAACAATATGGCTGAATGCCTTCTTAGTGACTTGTGGGCTCAATATGCACAGCTGCTTGTAGATTATGTGAGTTTCAGTGTCAGTGTGTGATTATATTCTTTACATTCACAACTATGCTTCAGACTACACACCACATTCACCTCTGCCACACTCAATTTAAGAAGGCAGTTGGCGTCATTGTCATGAGTGTCCTCGATCTCACAACAAATTCAGCAGCTCAGAACTCAACACTGTAGATGACATCAACTATATCTACCCTTGGTCGGCTAAGGTACATGCATGCATAATGTCTATACAAAGGATACATTTAATTCCAGTTTCACACAGTAAACATGATCCAAACTGTGGTAATGATTGTCTAATGAAAAAAAACATGGCATATTGATCAGAGCACTACTAAAGTATGATATTAACATCCTCCACATCACTCGCACTTGCATCTGCATACTCATTGAAGTCCCCCATGCCAATCCTAGCCCATTGCTCCAACATGTCTTCAAGCTCTTTGTGATGCTCCAGAACATCAAGTAGGGTGTCAATCGATTTCCGTAAGTTGACAAAGTGGGCCCTACATTGCTCAGTGGTTAATTCAGGAACCTTGTCGGTGCCAGTCTCATGAAAGCCAGAGATAATGCCCTTCAACTGTCGAACTATCAGTGATGAAAAAATAAAGAATTGTAAGCATACCACTGCTGCTACAAGAAGCATTGCATTAATGGGGATTGTTTGGTGGAATTTGTCCATGTTCTTTGATGCTTTCTTACTGTTGCTGTAGTAGAATTTGAGACAAGCGTCCTTGAGAGCCTGTGCCATGAAGTTCTTGAAATTTCCCTGCAAAAATTAATTTTAAACAATGCTATGACTAGGAATCACAACCTACACCAGACAAGTCAGGGAGCTGGAGGTAGTCACCACTCTTGAGGAGCCTAGTGGTGGCTGCAGTGACCTGCCTTTGACATTCCTCCTTTCACATTGTGGAGCCCTGCAGGAAGATATTGTATGCCCTTTTGGCAATAGAGATGACAATTTTCTTGAGTTCTGTGTGAAATGTAAAGAGACCATTGCAAAGCTCATGGACATGGTATCAGTGAGCACATGAGCCATCAATAAACAAAGAATGTACCAGCCAGCACATCTGTGTTCTGTACTCCGGAAAGTAGCCTTGCAAATGGTGAGAAGGGTAGATGGTGGAGTAGGGAGAACATACCTCTCTTGAGTTTAATCTTCTTCTCATGGTATGTCCATAGCACAGTGTCCAAGACTTCTCTTGCAAGGTTCAGGGCTTCCTGGGATTCCAGAACTGGAGTAGCTAGAACAGCCTGCAACTGCATCTCTAACTTGGCTGTCTGCAGGAATGTTTGCCAAGTGGGCGGATAAAATCCTAGCTTTGAGGGATCTTCTTGGAACCCCCACTCCAAAAACTCCATCTCCATTCCTTGCATCATGTTGAAAGAAGTCTGAGAGAGCATGCTGCAGATACAGGATGTTAAATTGATCAGCAACCTCATCAATTTTCAAGCCAGTGTAGGTGGGGTTACAATTAAGATGAATGGCAGTGCTGCCAGCAAGGAATGTATGAGGAGGGTGAGCCTGAGGAATTCCATGCCTTGTAGCAGCTAACATTCTTATTTTGCTGAAGTAGTTGGAAGTGGTACACATGTGATTCAGTTCCTCTAAGAGTGTGGTTCATGGATTCATTGGTTCATCATTCTCCCCATTTTCTTCCTTGTCCTTGTCCTTGTCCTCATCTCCTTCATCCTCACAGAGTTCTTCAAGATCAGGATCTGTGGGAGAGCTCTTGAGAGATGTAGCAACTGCAAAATGATGCAGTTTCTCTTCTCAATCTAAGTGATGACAGATCTGAGGATCATAATTGTTGTTGTTAGTACATTGTGCCGGGTCCTTGATTTCGGAGACATGCACATGTTCAGTTGCATCTGCAGACCACTGGATGAGGGCACCAACTTGGCATGTGCTAGTGGTAATGCTCTGCATGAGCTCTAGCTTGGGTATGTATGTGCCAATTGTCAATCACTCTCTTTGCACCCATCTGAGCGCCTAGTGTCATGATAACATCTGTATTATCATGAAATAGTGCAAGTGATCTGTTAAAGATGCAAGTAAGTTGTTGTCAGGTTCAGGAGACTGCACCAAATATTGGACATCCATTAAAGCATGAATTGACAGGGGGCTGTACCAGTGATCAGTCCAACAATGTAGTGCTGTATATCATGATGGACTCTGCCCATGACCTGCTTCAGTTTGGATATTCCGTTGGGGAAGTGGCGATAACCTGTGATAGGTTGCAATATTGAGAATCGGAAATCAAATTCCAGCACTCAGAGAACTGCAAGACACCATTGCATGTCATGATTGTAAAACTGTTTATGCCAATGATGCAAAGCTTCTGGTGTAAGAAATATTGCAGGATCACTCAATGGCCAGCCCTTCCAGAAAGGTGCAAAGACACCATTTAGCTGGAATTCTGCACATGCAGCAAAAAAGCCTTCCAGGTCATTGGGATCAATATCAATGCTGGCAAGTTGCTCAAGAGTAATTTCACATGTACATGTGGGGTGATGAAAGTTGTCCCCAAACTGCAGATATGACAGCAGTGTAAATGGAGAAGTTTTACCACACACACATGCAAGCATACATGCCTCAGGGGTATTGATAATGTATGCTGCAAGGGGGGTAAAACAATGGTGGATGTTTCCTACTGGGTCAAACATCATGATTCCAAGTTCGGTGGCTTTCATCAGGGGTTGTAGAATGATTGAAAGACATTCATGGATGAGGCGATCTTCAAGCATACCCCACATTCATTGATTGGGGTGTAAGTATTATGGGATGGAAAGGAGAGCTGTGAGCATAAACACCTTGGAAGAGAGCTGAGTGCAAGTGCACATACAAATATTAACAAGGCCTAGCAAAAGTGGGTGTGCGACCCTAGCACCTGTCATCATTGTGATATTGGTTTTGTCAGATGAAAGCACAGTGCCAAGGACTGTTGCACCTTGGGGCAGTTGATCCTACAGTTTTGTGAGATAAGGCACATTGCAAGTTCATCGTAACATGTACCTGGATGCTCCAAACAGCATCACCTGTCAACCATTCTGAATATACATGCAGGAGCCATGCTGCAGTCTTGTAAACACGACAAGGGATGAAGTCAAGTTGGTCGTGAAAGAGGGGGTTACTGAAGAGACTCTCCAAACACTCAACTGGATCCCTCCAGAATAGTTGAATTGGACTTTTTGTGCCATGAAGTGAGGGAATGACTTGGCATTTCCAGCTTGGTCCCTTCAGCAGCATTTCAGCCCAACCTTGCAAATCTTTAGTGTTGTTAAAGGACAGCTTCAATCATTTTATCTGTGAGGTAATGTCACAATCAAAATGTGAAAGGAAAAAAAAGGATACATACCATGGAGAGCTGCAAAAATTTGTTGATTGCTGCCATGCTAAGGGCAGAATGCAGGAGGAAGTCAGCAACCTCCCACTCTTCCCTCAATGCGAATGGGTAAAACAGGTTCTCCTTCCTGTATTCTGCATGCTCATCAGCATCAAAAAGATCCAGAAATGTGAGACTGTCCTGAGAATAGCACTTAGCTGCACCCTCATACCATTCCTCATTACTTGGAGATAGGTCTCCCACTGTATCAAGAAATTCTCCATCTAAGTTGGTATCCATGGCATCCAGAGTATCAAATTGCAAGTCACACCAACATTAAGACTCTGACCCATACTAGTTTGAGGTGGATTGAGGGATCATTGTGGTGGAGCTACCTCTGCAAACTCCAAGATGTCAACAATGTCATAAACAGAACTGTGACAAGATGTCTGAGGCTGGCTTAGATGGCGAGTGATGCTGGAGTCCCTGGTGAATACTTTTCTGCACTTTGGACATGTAGGTATTGACATATTGATTGATATGTGCAAGTTCCCACGCTACTTTTGCAAAATCTTCTAAGTCTAGCCATACAATCATAATGTTATATATCACTACTACCTGTGCATCCATATGTTCCCTGATACTAAAAATGTTTCTTGCACCTCTTCCAAAAACACCTATTCTCCTTCCTCTCACCATTCCTGCTATTCTTCTTCTGACTCCCGCAATTCTGATGCCTCTTCAACTCAAGGCATGTCACCCTGGGGTGATTCCAGGTATCTACGCCTTTCACATTCTCCATCACAATTGTACCCTGTTAAGGAGGAGGCAGAAGAAGAAGAGAACTTACCTGTACTAGCAATGCATTTTGTGAGTTGCAATACTAATGTGTTGCTTTGTTACTCATATCTGCTATCTGCAGGAACAAGACTCAGCTGAGCCCTACTACTTGTTTGATCAACTGGAAGAAGATAACTCTGACCTCACACTTGAGGTAGCCCAGGTCAAATGCAAAGTGTGTCAAGCTCAAAAGCACCTGGCTGACTGCCTTTTGGAACAACACCAAGTACTCACCCATATCTGCTGCCACCAGGCAGAAGCTGCAAACACGCATCTATTATTGGCTGACCTCAATGTTGGACACATGCACTCAGAGCACCAGAGGAAAAATGGCATCATAATGTATGCTACTCTTCAAGCATGACATGAGCAGTGAGTGTGTTTTTCTTTCATAGTTACTACTACTGTTCTCAATTAATAATCTATTAGACCATGCAGTATAATAGTAAATAGTTGGTTCTCTCACTGCACATATATGTATATAAAATCACTGCTAGTAGTATATACTGGTACTATATCCTTTTCGCATGTTACAGTGTGTAACAGTTTGTGTCGTTTGTACGCTTGTGCTACTGTGCACTTGTGGCAGACTTGTAGTCATTTGTTTGTGTTGTCTGTGAGACTTGTGAGGACATGTGATACCTTGTGTGAAATTGTCAAAAGTGTGGGAATTGTCATGAAATCAATAGTTTGCTGATGTAGAGGCAGCTGATAGTGGAGTTTGGAATCTCTTTCTTTCCAACCATGACTACATTTACTCCTAATAGTGACTGTACAACTAATATCCTGCAATGACAGCAGGTCTTTGCTGCAGTATCTGCTATAATACTGTGTACACAATTCCAAATCATGCAGATTGCTCAAGAAGATCAAGGTGATAGCAACAGCAGATCAAAGGAGAAGGCACAGTGGAACAACCTAGAGGTCAATGCCCTCCTAGATCACCTTATTGCAAATAGATTGAGATGTTCAACAAAGCTGCTAGTACTATAACAGCCAAGAATATCAGGATGCATGGCCCCATCAAAACTGGAGTGCACTGTAGAAACAAGTTTACATCAGTAAGTCATCTTGCACTGAGTGTCGTCCCCCCTTCCTTCTGCCACTCCCATAACTGATCTTTTGAACTTAGCTCAAGGGATCCTTCAATCAAATCAATAAATACTGCCACAAGTCTGGTGTTCACTGGGACCCTCAGATTGGTGCCAACATTGAAGGCACTGCTGCTGAAGGTGCTTGGACATCCTATATCACCAACCTGGTACATGATTATTATTACACCATCACACATGATGCTCACTTTCAGTACAGTCCAATGCAGGCATGAAACAGTTCAAAAATGGCTGGAGATTTTATGCTAAGATGGAGCAACTTCTGACAAAGGACAGCGCTGCCCATGGGGTGGTAGCATATAACCTATTAGCTGATGCAGCCCCTAGTGGTACCAGTGTTATCACTGCCACAGGCTCAGAGGACATACTGGCAGGTCCCTCTACCAATAACACCTCAGAGAGTGCTGGTCCAAGTATGACTGATAGGATTGGTGATGAGGTCACCCATGAACCTATTACTTGGAACATACTGCATCTTAACACTGGGCTCCCAGTAGCCTTGAGTTCCATTGTAGCTGCTCCTCCTCTCTCATCAACATCCAGCTTGGGAAAGCATTCTCATTCTGATATGTTGTTTGATCACTCCCCTCCTGCTTCCACCTCTGTGTCACAGATGTCAGATACACTATCAGACAAGAAACTCAAGCTTTCAACCCAGGGCAGTAGCAGGTCATGTGTGAGCATAAGCAAGAAGGTTGTAAAGGAGGCCACTAGCACCACTGCACTAATGAATCTTCAAGGCACTATCAACCACTTGATGGACTCTCTTACTATAGTGTTTGGGGAGCCCATTCAGTCATATAGTCTGTATAATACATGCAGCCGATGTTGAAAATATGCTGTTCCACACATGTCAGCAGATGTCAGCTGACTGAATATCTATGTCTGTGTCCAACATTCAGCTGGTCAGCTTGCTGAGAGGTGATCTTGACAGGTCGGCCCATACATGGTGATGCTCAACATTAACATGTCGGCCAATAGCCAGTAAAATGGGTGGTGTGATGTTGTCAGCTGGGCCCATGTACTATGGTGACTGTGTGTACCTATTGGCTGATGATGGGGGTGACAGGGTCAAGCAACCCTAGGAAATAATATACTTCCTGTGTGCATTGGTCTGGCAATTGTGGGTATGAGGCCATCATATGGGCTGATAGACATTAATACTCAAGGTAGTTAGTACCATTGGCCCATATGACTCCATCAGGTATTCATGTTCTCAGCCTATCTGATTGCATTGGGTATGCAGTGTCATTGGCCCATACACTTACATCAGTGCCATTGGCTGACATGATGGCATTAGGCATTCATGTCCTTCAGCCCATATGATAAGATCAGTGCCATTGGCGACATGATGGCAACAGGTGTTCATTGCCTTCGTCCCATACAATAACATCAGGTATTGAGTTCTATTGGCCCATATGATGGCATCAGTTCTATTGGCCAACATGATTGCATCAGGTATTTAGGTTCATCTGCCCATATGGTGGATATCCCAGGCATGGCCAATAGAACTTAATGCCTGATGTTATTGTATGGGCTGAAGGCAATGAACACCCATTGCCATCATGTTAGCCAATGGTACTGATCTTATCATATGAGCCAAAGGACATGAACACCTGATGCCATCATGTTGGCCAATGGCACTGATCTTATCATATGGGCCAAAGGACATAAATGCCTGATACCATCATGTTGGCCAATGGCACTGATGTAAACATATAGGCCAATGACACTGCATACCCGATGCAATCAGATGGGCTGAGAACATGAATACCTGATGGAGTCATATAGGCTGATGGTACTGATGTTATTATATAGGCCAATGGACATATATACATGATGTTATAGGGTGGGCTGGTACCTGTTATTATTGTATTGGCTGAAGGAAATGAATTCCTGATGCCATCATGTTGGCTGATGGTGCTGATGCAAATGTATGGGCTGATGAACCTGAATACCTCATATTATCATATGGGCCAAAGAAAATGAATCCCTTGTGCTATCAGGTCAGCAGATGGAACTGATGTTATCATATGGGCCAATGTAAATGAATACATGAATGCTATAGGGCAGACTGGTCAGTCAGTCAAATACCAAATACTACCATCAGTGATTATCACACAATTACTGCACTATCTAAGCTGAGACCAAGGCATCCCAATCCACATCAATGTAAGTCATGTACAATGGCTGAGGTGTTCCCATGAAATTGTAAAGGCTGTCATGCATGAACCAAGCCCATACAATGTGATCACCAGTGTATGTGACACCATGCCTGACAATGTGTCCAGAGCAGCTGACCATAGCACCTGAGTTATATCACAACTGAATACCAAGGTTGGATAGTGTCATGAGCCCGTTGCAATAATGGCCAACACTGGTCATGATATCAAACCCTTCAGGGGTAGAACTTGGGTCTCAGTGAAGAGGGCATTGTCTGTTACAAATGACAGATGCACAATTGAATACCAAGGCCCAAAATTGCAGGCAAGTGCACATATCACCAAGGCCACATTCTACAGCCCATTGGGCAAGTTTTATCTGCATGGTGACTGAAGCCCAATACAATTTTGGATGCATCACCCAAAGAGCTGCCAAGGCCAGTAGTGCTGTGTGCTGCATAGATATTATGACCTTGGGTCCACCTTTCCCTTTCAGGGTGGCTGACACCTTGGGGGTGAACCCATTAGTTGGTAGAAAACTGTGTGGCTAGAATGTCTACATGAGCATCAGCATTCCAGTGAAGAAGCATTACTGACCTCCTGGCCTTGCAGGAACCAGCAAGGGGCTAAATTTATATATCCTGGGGTCAATTTGTGTCGGTCGCTAGCATGAAAATTTCTGAGGAATGTTCTCCACTGGGTGTCTGGACCACTGGTCATGCTTTCCTTCAGAAGGGAGCCCATACCAATAGTAGCTTCTTCCATCTCAGCCTGTGAGGTCGGTGAATTAGTCGGCTGATAGGTCATAATAAATTAGCTCACTTGAATCCAAGGGCTGATGGCACCTGGAAGGTACCACAAGATAATATGGCCAGCCAAGTCCAAAATGACCAAGGGCTTCTCCAGCAAATGTTCTGATCCATGAGGGAATTTTTTGAGCAGGGCATCTTCATGTGTTGTAACCCTTCCATTAGAGCATTTATGGAGGGCTACATTGTACTGAATCATATCAATATCAAGTTGGACTGCATTGAGTTAGGGTACCACCAACTGAATGATAGGAATGGCCTACTTGGGTTTGAATAGGCATTGGCAAGCACCTGGGCCAACTGTTGACAAGCAAACATAGTCAACACATCTATTGCCAAGGGAGGCAATATTGACTGTCAGTTGCCAGCTACATTACAATCAAACAGCTGTTTCACAAAGTCACTAGCGATGCATGTGGTATGCAATGCATGGTCGGCCAGAACTGAAGTCATGATCAGGAAAGAACAGCACTCAGTGATAATTGCCTTATATACACAATGACTGAATCACATTTGGTAATGCTGTATACATCTCCAGTGTTATACTACCAGCTGACAAATTACTGGCCAGAGTTCAAGAGTGCTTGCTCCAGCTCATCCATAGGCCCCTCAAGTTGGGACATAGTTGCTGCAGCCTCTGTGGCCTTCTGGATCTTCTCTTTTAACATACTTTCCAGTGACTTGCCAAGATGTTGGATGTGGGTCTTCACTGCCATAATTTGATTGAGGAGGGGTTCACCTTCCACTTGACCAGTGACCACAGGGCCCAGCACAAGCATTGCTCCCATAGGCTACAAATGAGCATAAGTAGAAGTCCAGCATAAGAGATATCTAAGGAAAATGACCAACCAGTTGTTCAAAGTGGTCATGGGTCATGTCCATGATCTCATTGACATCCAAGAATGGCAGTGGTAATCCTAAGGTGTCAAAGCAATCCTTCCACCAATCATGAGAGTAATTAGGTACAACTCTGTGAGTAGACCTCAGTTTAGGGTCATTTGGAGATGTCATATCCCACAATCCAGACCCACATTCCATCATATTCCCACACCTTCTGAGCCTATGTCTGGACCCCACTTCATATCCAACTCATTCCCAGATCCCCTTCCACTGTGTGCTCCACACCTCAGCAGGATTGACTCTGCTCCAGATTTACCCCTGAGCTCTGGACCATTGGATCTCCACTGCTAGCCTGAACCATACCCCCCTGTCCCATCCACCCTATGCATACTCCATCCAGCAAGACATTTGGACTTCACCTCATCTTGGATTCTGGACTATATCCACCTCCTCATATCCCAGTCCTGTATCCACCTCATCTTCCAGATCCCCAGATCTCTGGACCTCTGGATATTAACTCTGGACCTATTCCCACCTTCTGTCCAACATCCTGCACCTATCTCCATTTGGACATCTCTGCCTTTCTGGTTTTTGGTTACCTCTTATTCTGTCTTGCTTATTAATCCTTGTATGAGTCTTCATCTCTGAGTTCATTTAGTTATGTTCTGTCTTACTTACTAATGTGTTTCCATGTGCTTGTACATAGCCCTACTCCTTTGCTTACTGATCCCCTCAGATATTGTCCAGTATATAACCCCTGTACATACTCCTGTAGTTCCTCAGTTTGAATATCATCTTAGACTTTGCTCTACTTGCCCAATCCTCTCTTGGACTTTGGTCCACCTAAGTCTGTCCTATCCATCAGGCCTAGGGATTGATTCCCTAGGCCAGAGCTCTGCCTTTCTGGCACTTACTCTCTTTCTGGACTTAGGTCCAATCCCTGTTCCTCTGACTCTACCTTAGGGTAGTCTACCTCTATTTGTTTCTACATCAGACAAAGTCCAATGTGGCCCCTATTCCTTCCATACCTTTGGACATCCTATCCTTCCATCCTGTTTCCTGTAGAAGTATGACTTTGCAGTGGGAACTCTCCTGAGCACTTCCTGCATTCCTCTGGAACTCTCCCATGCTTCTCTGGATGTTTCCCATGCTCCTCCGGAAGTCCTCTAGCACTCTACCAGAGTAGCCAGCCTCTGGAAGTCCTCTGGACTTCATTGGACCATCATTGGACCTCATATGAAATTGCACATACTCAGGTAAGGGGCACAGCATACAAACTGAGGCCAAGCCCCTCTGAGTCAGTCTCTCTCTCCCTTGAGCAAACCAGTTCTTAACAGGAGAGCAGTGCACAAAGAATTCATCAAAGAATTACTTGGCAGTGATGTTCCCAGTTTGCAGTTGGCCAAATTGGCCAAGGATGCTGTGGAGGAGGTTGGCCATGGTAGGGTGGATGTTCAGGATCATACAGATTGTGATGTATGGGAAAACAAAATGCTAAAGGAGATATTAGTGATGACATACCACTGACACACCAACTGATAGATGAAGTACTTACATCTGCCTCTGTTAAGGTCACATGCTCAAGGGGGTTGGATCACAAGGGCTTGGCCTCAGCTTATACACTGTGCCCCTTTCCCGAGTATGTGCCCTTAATTTCCGGGGGCTAAAGCAGTCATCCGGAGTTTCCATGATTTGACTAGGGTGGACAACAGATGTCCGGATCTGAAATGTGAGATAAATCCAATGGACATCCAGATATTACCTGGGCAAGTGGATAAGACTAATCTGGATGAAGTCTGGACTAGAAACTAACAGAGGATAGACTACCTTAAGGTAGAGTCAGAAATGTAGTCTAGGATGCAATCCTAAGACTCGGAATATGTCAGGAGACTTGTCTCAAGTCCAGAGGACACAGGAATGAGCAGGAACTAAGATGATATTCAAACTGGAGTATTTCCGAGAGTTACAGGAGGTTTATATACTGTAGGTATCATATAGGAATCAATCAGCAAACATAAAGGCTATGTACAAAGCATATGCAAAGTCTATTAGTAAGTAGGATGGATCACAAATAATGAACACCAGAAATGAAATGTATGTAACAGATCAATAATCAGAAGGGAAACATAGTTAATGTTAAGAACCATGCTCAAGGGAGAGAGAGACTGACTCAGAGGGGCTTGGCCTCAGCTCGTACGCTGTGCCCCTTACCCAAGTATGTGCCCTTCATTTCAGAGGAAGTCTGATGATGGTCTGACGAAGTCTGGAGGACTTCCGGAGGAGTGTGGGAAATGTCCGGAGGAGCACAGGAGAGTTCCGGAGGAATGCAGGAAATGCTCGGGAGAGTTCCCACTGCAAGGTAATACTTCTACAGGAAAACAGGATGGAAGGATAGGAGGTCCAGAGGACAGGAGGACAGGAAGTCCGGAGGTCCGGAGTACAGAGGACAGGAGGTCCGGAGGTATGGAGGACAGACATGGAGGTATGGAGGACAGAACGTCTGAAGGTACAGAGGGCAGAACATCTGAAGGTACAGAGGGCGGAACGTCTGAAGGACAGGATGTCCGGAGGTCCGGAAGGAATAGGGGCTACATTGGACGAAGTCTGATGTAGAAGCAAACAGAGGTAGACTACCCTAAGGTAGAGTCGGAGGGACAGGAAGTGGACCTAAGTCCAGAAAGAGGGTAAGTGCCAGAAAGGCAAGACTCTAGCCTAGGGAAGCAATCCCTAGACTTGGGACAGAGACATAGGGGACAAATCCGAAGGTCCAGAATTCCAGCCTAGGGAGTCCATCCCCAGGCCTTATGGAAAAGGACAAGACTCAGACGGACTGAAGTCTGGAAGATGATTGGCAAGTAGAACAGGATCTAAGATGATATTCAGACTGAGGACTCTACTGTAGTTGTACAGGGGTTATATACTAAAGGCTATCTGAGAGGATCGGTAAGCAAAGGAGTAAGGCTATGTACGAGCATGTGGAAACACATTGGTAAGTAAGACGGAACATAAGTAAATGAACTCGGAGATGAAACTAGTACAAGGATCAATCAGCAAGATGGAAAGAGAGATAACTGAGAACCGGAAAGGGGGAGATGCCTAAATGGGGATAGGCGCAGGATCTCGGATAGAGGGTGGGAATAGGTCCAGAGATCTGGGGATCTGGAAGGCAGGGCAGAAACAGGACTGAGATATGTGAGGTGGTGGATGTAGTCCAGAATCCAAGAGGAGGTAAAGTCTGGATGTCTTGCTGGATGGAATGTGTGTAGGGTGGACAGGATAGGGGATCCAGGAATGAGTTGGATATGGGGTCCGGAAACAGGTCCGGAAAGCGTGGGAATATGATGGGATCTATGTCTGGCATATGGGATATGACAGTTAACCAGAGTCCAGAGACAGGGGAAGTCTAAATAGGGTTGGGTGCTGATATAGGGTTTGGATTCCAGAAGGAAGATAAAGATAGATCAGATCATTTGAGATCCAGATCTCAGATCCAGATATCCAGAGAAGCAGATTGAGAGTTGAGAGTCCGGAATGGCATATGACAGCCTCCCATTGAAGGTGCTTGATAAAGCTGGCTTTGTAGGCCACTGACTGGGGCATGTGGCTTTGGTCACAGGCAATCCAGATGGCCACAAACCAAGAAGTGGCATACTCCAGGACATTAGTAGCATCCCAGACAGTAAAGTTGGCAATTTCATGTGTTGATAGGGTTGAGGAATGGGACATGATGGTTGGAGCAAGGACAGGCTGGGTTTAATAAATGCAGAATTACAAGGATATATACAATTGCCTAATCCACTGTGGCACTCACCACCACCTGAATGTGGTGGTAGCTCTATACAGATCCTTGTCACTCTGCCATCCTAGCCACCCCCTTTGTTCTTTCAAAGCTATCTTGTGCTTGCTGTGAGAGTCAGAGATAAATTCAAGCCTGGCGGGCCACATAGCACCAATGACCAACCTTCTGGTTTGCATTGGCCTCTTACATTCAGCTGACCCATTGTTGTGATTTGTGAATAAAAAAATCAACCACCCATATCATTTCCCTACTCACCAGCAGCTGCTCCTCTGCCCATTGATCACACAGTGCCAGTGTTCTAAGCCAATGGACACAGTAAACTGTTGTGCAGAAAATATTAGTACCAGATAGGTACAGGTACATAGGCAATGAGCATACATTCATTCATCCAGTCTGTCATATCCCACAATCTGGACCCACGTTCCATCATATTCCCACGTCTTCCGGACCTACATCCAGACCCCACTTCATATCCAGCTCATTCCCGGATCCCCTCCCACTGTGCTCCACACCTCAGCAGGATTGACTATGCTCCTGATTTACCCCTGAGCTCCAGACCTCCGGATCCTCGCTGCTAGCCTGATCCATACAACCCTATCCTGTCCACCCTATGCGTACTCCATCCAGCAAGACATCCAGACTTCACCTCGTCTCGGATTCCAGACTATATCCACCTTCTTGTATTCTGGTCCTGTATCCACCTTGTCTTCCAGATCCCCAGATCTCCGGACCTATTTCCACCCTCTGTCTGATATCCTGTGCCTATCCCCATTTAGGCATTCTCTGCCTTCCGGCTTTCGGTTACCTCTTGTTCTGTCTTGCTTATTGATCCTTGTACGAGTCCTCATCTCCGAGTTCATTTACTTATGTTCCAACTTACTTACTAATGTGTTTCCACATGCTCGTACATAGCCTTGCTCCTTTGCTTACTGATCCCCTCAGATATTGTTCAGTATATAACCCCTGTAGATACTCCTGTAGTTCCTCAGTTTTAATATCAACTTAGACTTGCCCAATCCTCTCTCGGACTTTGGTCCACCTAAGTCTGTCCTACCCATCAGGCCTAGGGGTTGATTCCCTAAGCCGGAGCTCTGCCTTTCTGGCACTTTCCCTCTTTCCGGACTTAGGTCCAATCCCTGTCTCTCCAACTCTACCTTAGGGTAGTCTACCTCTGTTTGTTTCTACATTGAACAAAGTCTGATGTAGCCCCTATTCCTTCCGGACCTCCGGACCTCCTGTCCCTCGTACCTCCAGGCATCCTGTTCCTTCAGACATTCTGTCCTCCTAACCCTCAGACATCCTATCCTCCTGTCCTTTGGACATCCTGCCCTCTGTACCTTTGGACATCCTGTCCTCCTGTCCTCCTATCCTCCTGTCCTCCAGTCCTCCGGACCTTTAGACCTCCTATCCCTCCATCCTGTTTCCTGTAGAAGTATTACCTTGCAGTGGGAACTCTCCTGAGCACTTCCTGTGTTCCTCCGGAGCTCTCCCGCACTCCTCTGGATGTTTCCCGCGCTCCTCCGGAAGTCCTCTAGCGCTCTTCAGCAGAGTAGCCAGCCTCCAGAAGTCCTCCAGACTTCATTGGACCATCATTGGACCTCATCTGAAATGAAGGGCACATACTTGAGTAAGGGGCACAGCGTACGAGCTGAGGCCAAGCCCCTCTGAGTCAGTCTCTCTCCTTTGAGCAACATGGTTCTTAACACAGTCATTGCTAGTAGAATCTCCTTCCACATCAATAGACCGGAATCAAGCTAATGTGCTATTCCTTTGACCATGCATGTTTGGGTCTGCCACCACTGTAGTAGCCTTTAGGTCGGCCTTCTCTATTGGCTGAAACTTGGCCAATAAGTCATCGGCACCAAGGTGATTAAGCTGCTTGCAGCATTTTGAGTAGATCTGTACATTGAGGTATAGGATCCTGTCCACTGAGTGCACCTGGGCCCATGCCCTGGTTGACCAAGCTTGTGACTTTGCCGACCGAACTGTGGTGTGGAAAAGAACAGCCTTGTCAGCCAAGTTAACCCTGATAGCATGCAATGCATCATTGGCTTGACCTTCTCCCAATGATATTTCTTGCAGCACCAGGTCAGTGATGCCCCACTTGGCACATCTTTCAATACCAATGTCAGAGGGCAGTGGAATAACCATGGTCTTGGGAGTAAACTCGACCAGCATATCATATCAGTCTCCATTGTCCAGCTGATCAGGATTATCAGATGATGACCCTGCAGAATCTAATTCTGCAGCATCCAACATCACAGTCATGAGGTCCAACTGGTCATAGTCATCTATTTCATCACCAAGAAATGTCAATGCCACCCTGACAAATTCATCTATTTGACCCTGCAGTCTGTCACAGCACCAAGCTACAGCCAGTTTCTGAACATTGGTCAGCCATTTTCCCAGTTTCTTCACATTAATCAGGAGGGCAACTTGTGCCTCCTCTAGTGATATTCCAGATGCCAGCCATGTTGCAGCCCTGCGATGGATCTCACCAGCCAGCCATCTTGCCTGACGATTTAATAGGTGCAACTTGTTGTTTCCTTGTCAGTGCTTTGCCCATCCATGAGCATATTGTAAATGGTTATTCTATTGCCACAGACCTTTAGTCAATTGAACTTCATATATGTCCATACCACTGGGATTGTGGAGTCAGTAATCCTGAGTAGCAGCAGCCTCTGCTTCCCATTTGACAAGGGTATCATCATCAGTGGTCTTGCTCAATCAGTCAAATGCATATCAGCACTCTTGGACTCCCTGCACTGCCTCCTTGAATTTTTGGCAGAGAAACTTGCCTGAATGATAGTGAGTTTGTGATATAAGTCAAATGAAAGAGCTCACTGATGCATATCATCTTCATAAAATTGCAGTCATTCATTTGAAAATCCAAACATTCCTTTCAGTGGGGGGTTGACATCCCCCTTGCTGATGGCAATATGTGTTAAGGTCACGTGCTCAAGGGGGTTGGATCACAAGGGCTTGGCCTCAGCTCATATGCTGTGCCCCTTTCCCGAGTATGTGCCCTTAATTTCCAGGGGCTAGAACAGTCGTCTGGAGTTTCCAGGATTTGACTAGGGCAGATAACGAACGTCCGGATCTGAAACGTGAGATAAATCTGATGGACGTCTGGATATTACCTGGGCAAGCGGATAAGACTAATCTGGACGAAGTCCGGACTAGAAACTAACAGAGGATGGACTACCCTTAAGGTAGAGTCGGAAATGTAGTCTAGGATGCAATCCTAAGACTCGGAATATGACAAGAGACTTATCTCGAGTCTGGAGGACACAGGAATGAGCAGGAACTAAGATGATATTCAAACTGGAGTATTTCCGAGAGTTACAGGAGGTTTATATACTGTAGGTAACATATAGGAATCAGTCAGCAAACATAAAGGCTATGTATGAAGCATATGCAGAGTCTATTAGTAAGTAGGGTGGATCACAAATAATGAACACCAGAAATGAAATGTATGTAACAGATCAATAATCAAAAGGAAAACATGGTTAACCAGAGTCCAGAGACAGGGGCAGTCTAAATGGAGTTGGGCGCTTATATAGGGTTTGGATTCCAGAAGGGAGATAAAGATAGATCAGATCATTTGAGATCTGGATCTCGGATCCGGATATCCAGAGAAGCAGATTTAGAGTTGAGAGTCTGGAATGGCATATGACAATATGATGTTCAAGGGTGCCCACAGGATCTCCATGATTTCGCCATCAATCCTGGCAGCACTGGTCATGAAGTTTGATGCATACCATATGTAGCATTTGTCTTGATGTCCATGGATGTGCCAGAGCCCAATGCCAGAGATAACCTCCATACCCCATGGAAGGTTGAGATATGACAAGTTGTCAATCCACTGTTGGAGATGCTTGTGGTATTGACAATTTATGTCATAGAAAGTCAATGCCTGGTCCATCCCATCGGTGTTGTACCCCAGAGCCTGGCATCACGCATAATCCATGTTCATCTGTCTTTGGCCAACTGGTGAATGAGTTCATACCAGGCAAGGTAAAATATTGGTTGGTGAACTTTTCCCCCTTCTGAAAGTCCACCATTGAATGTGGGACAAAACATCCATGTCTTGTGCAAGCACACCCACCTATTCCTATGGCTTCCAGCTTGTGGTGCAAAGCATTTGCCTGGTTGACTGCTTGGTGGTTGTTGCAGTCAGATCAATGCACAATGTCCTGTGCCTTAGCAAAATGCATTTTGTACTGGGCATTGCCAACCATAAAGCCAAGGCCATCAGTCAATGCTACCTTGTTGATTGGATTTGCTGGAAACAGATGCTCGGCCTTGAAATTGCCATCCATCACCAAGGATCTTGAATATAGCCATGCAGGATCAGCTGCATTCTTTTCTGACAAATTGACATTTTGTTAAGGTTGTACTCTGTCATATCCTGTATGCCAGACATAGATCCCATCATATTCCCACGCTTTCCGGACCTGTTTCCGGACCCCATATCCAACTCATTCCTGGATCCCCTATCCTGTCCACCCTATGCACATTCTGTCCAGCAAGACATCCGGACTTTACCTCCTCTTGGATTCCGGACTACATCCACCACCTCACATATCTCAGTCCTGTTTCTGCCCTGCCTTCCGGATCCCCAGATCTCCGGACCTCCGGATATTAACTGTACTATCTCTGGACCTATTCCCACCCTCTGTCCGAGATCCTGCGCCTATCCCCATTTAGGCATCTCCCCCTTTCCGGTTCTTGGTTATCTCTCTTTCTGTCTTGCTGATTGATCCTTGTACTAGTTTCATCTCTGAGTTCATTTACTTATGTTCCATCTTACTTACCAATGTGTTTCCACATGCTCGTACATAGCCTTACTCCTTTGCTTACTGATCCTCTCAGATAGCCTTTAGTATATAACCCCTGTACAACTACAGTAGAGTCCTCAGTCTGAATATCATATTAGATCCTGTTCTACTTGCCAATCATCTTCCAGACTTCAGTCTGTCTGAGTCTTGTCCTTTTCCATAAGGCCTAGGGATGGACTCCCTAGGCTGGAATTCCGGACCTTCGGATTTGTCCCCTATGTCTCTGTCCCAAGTCTAGGGATTGCTTCCCTAGGCTAGAGTCTTGCCTGTCCGGCACTTACCCTCTTTCTGGACTTAGGTCCACTTCCCGTCCCTCCGACTCTACCTTAGGGTAGTCTACCTCTGTTTGCTTCTACATCGGACTTCGTCCGATGTAGCCCCTATTCCTTCCAGACCTCCGGACCTCCTGTCTTCTGTACCTCCAGACCTCCTGTCCCTCATACCTCTGGGCATCCTGTCCTTCAGACGTTCTGCCCTCCATACCTTCAGACATTCCATCCTCCATACCTCCGGACCTCCTGTCCTCCGTACTCCAGACCTCTGGACATCCTATCCATCCATCCTGTTTTCCTGTAGACGTATTACCTTGCAGCAGGAACTCTCCTGAGCATTTCCTGCATTCCTCCAGAACTCTCCCGTGCTCCTCCGGACGTTTCCTGCGCTCCTCCGGAAGTCCTCCCGCACTCTCCACCAGAGTAGCCAGCCTCCAGAAGTCCTCCAGACTTCATCGGACCATCATTGGACTTCCTCTGAAATGAAGGGCACATACTCGGGTAAGGGGCACAGTGTATGAGCTGAGGCCAAGCCCCTCTGAGTCAGTCTCTCTCCCCTTTGAGCATGGTTCTTAACAGTATATTCAGACTCATGCCTTACTGAGTATACTTACTTCTACCTATGGCTCCTATGAGATCCGACCCCTCTTGAGTACACAACCTTAACAGTATATTTGAACCCACACCTTACCGAGTATACTGATCTGTTGCATCATACTTCATTCCAGTCTGACCCCTATCTCTCAGAAACTATGGATTCCTCTTCCAACTCCTCTGCATTCACATTTCCAGACACCCTCCAGAAAGTCCGCATTTTTTCCGGAATTCATTTCCACTCCACTCCGTCATCATGACATCTGCTCCTGAAGCCAAACAGGAATGCCACCCTCACAGCAGAACAAATAGGTCGCAGGATTTCACACCCTGCAACTCCCTGACTCAATTCCATTATATCCGACATCCTCCAGTTTCCTCTGAATCCGAAACCTCATTTTTTCTGTCCCACTATGGCTCATCCTAGATGGATCTGCCTATGTGTTGCTTTGGACTGGCTCAGTCACCTCTGGAATGCTTCGCCATTCAACTCCTTTGGATTCTCCTTGTGCCACTCAGGATATACACTTGCTTACCCGCTATGATCCGTTGATCAACAGGGCATTAAGCAAAACCTTTTTTCTGGGCACTACTATAGGAAATGCCATTGACTTCCAACGTCTCTCGTCTGCTTCCCCATGGAACCCCTATCTCTGCGCTAGCCATGTCCATTCCACCGGATTATGTCTGGACCATCACCCAGTTACTTTGTATTGGTTTCCATTACCCTCCTTGTAGAGAAATCTGTCTTTCATGATAGTTTTCTGCCAAGTGTTTGGGTTTGGTTTTCCTCTGACAATGTTTCCATTGGGTCCCTGCCCTTATGTCCACTCCTGCATCCTTTTCCACTCCACACCCCTATTTCCACTCCATGTCTACTTCCGCTCCAGAACCCTTTCCCACAGTCCAGAGTACTCTCCATGTATTGTCCTAAACTATCAGAGATGTCTCCCATAAAGGGGGGATAGGGACTCCACTGACTGCTACGTCCCATGCAAGTTCCTGACCAACTTCCATCCTCATTCTCCTCATCTGACGTTTTATGCCTTTCCACCACTAAGCCTTCAGGCTTTGGAAAGCAAAAACCTCCAGAAAGTGTTTCCCACACTCTCCAGCAGTAGGACTTGGAAAACCCTCTGTTCATCCAAGTCTCCAGAATCTTGTTGGTCCTTGCCAGCCCTCCTTCCTGCCCCTCTGAAGTACCAATTTTCCAACCGTTTCCAGGACAGTCATACCCCTATATCTCCAGACCTCAACACTCCGGATTTCTGGTGGCTTCTTCATGAAGGCCTCCACTCCATAACCTCCCCTCTGCAACTGCACAACATTTTCCATCCAACCTCCATCCTTCATCCTCCATCCTTTGTCCTTTCCGCTGTGCAGTAGCAAACCCTGACTTCCATTCAACCCTATACCTCCGGAGCTCATAACTCCGGATTTCCGGAAGCTTTCTTGATGGATGCTCTCACTTATACCTCTGAACAACTCCGTATCATCTCTGGACCTTTCCAGATCAGCATGGATATGCTTTGTGCTTACTCTTTGTCACTGCTGATACCACTTCCACTCCATGTCCTATCCAGTATTTCCTCACCAATATGTTTTCTGGGATTCCCTCCGAGTCCAGGACACTCACTGGTGACACATCCGGACCTTCGGAATTTTCAGCACCAAAGCTCCTGCTTCACATTGCAGCTTGTCCATCATTCCCGTTCAAATCTGCATCAAACCTCTGCCATCCAGTCCACTGATGATCTGTTCACACTATCCACTTCATTCCTCCGAACCTCTGTATCACACCTCTGCTCTGTACCTCCGCTTCAGACCTCCACTTCAGACCTCCACTCCGAACCTCTGCCCCACACATCCATCCTCATCCTCTGTCACTTTTCCACTCTGCAACATTTTCCATCCATCCTCCATCCTGTTCCTCTGTAGTCCATTTCTGACATCCACTCCAGAACTCAAAACTCCGGATTCCTGATTGTTTCCTTGATGGAAGCTCTCACTCCTACCTATGACCCATCCTTTGTCTCTGGACCCTTCTGGATCTTAATGGATATGCTTCGCATTAGCTCTTTCCTGCCTTCATAATCATTTCCGCTCCTGTCCTGAATTCTCTCACCATGCAATAAGTGTCTTCTCTTGGGTCCACTCCATGTCCGGAAAGGCACTGGTGACACCTCCGGAAATTTTTGTACCAAAGGCTTGCTTTGTGTCATAACTCCTCCATCCATTCTGTCCATTTCTGTGATGCACATCCAGTTTCTCCAAAAATCTGTCCATCATTTCACTCTGTCATCTGGTCCATTGACATTCCAACACTCCTGCTGGAACCCTGTGCCTAATTTCCTCCACCAATTTTTTTGGGACATCTCCCAAAAGGGGGGATAGGGACTCTGCTCGAGTATTCACTTCACCCCATTTCCACCTGGAATCACTTGCTCCGTCCCATAGAACATTGTCCACCGGATCCGCTCCGGAAGACCGTGGGAAAACACACACATCACATCGCACATCATTGGAATATGTCCGGACTCATCCATCCATCATCCACCTTGCCATTGATAGTTTTCCAACAATTCCTGCATGACACCCCTAATATTCTATCACACTTGGTTGGATTTCCGGACACTCTCATCCGAGATACACACCAATCCGTCCGCATCCACCATTTCCAGTGGAAATCCCACTCTGAAACTCCCCTGAGTCACCTCCGCTGATACAACCACTCCAATATCCCTAGTTAATGCAGTCACCTGTTGCAGGACTTGTAAGCTAGAGGGATCCAGTCTGATTCAGCATCTTTCTCCTATCTGACCAGTGTTGACTCCTGGACCACTCCACTCACCTCGGAACTTCCTAGAACATTTCCGGAGTTCCATCGGAAAATCATGCATTTGCAGATGTCTTCAATCCATCCAATCCCTGGACCATCAAACAGCTTGCTCCGTCCTTACGAGCCTCTATACTAGCTACTCAGTCGCTCCAGCAGCTGTACTTATGGATATTGAACAACTCCGGGAAGACATCCCCTCTGCAAAACCTTCCTCCCTGTGTTTTCCGACCTCCAGATTTCTGACTCCCTATGTTTTCCAACCTCTGGATTTCCGACCCCCTATATTTCCGACCCTTTGTGTTTTCCAACCTCTGGATTTCTGACCTCTGGATTTCTGAACCCCTATGTTTCTGACCTCCTGTGATTTCCATCCCTTCATGTTTCCGATACTCTGCATTTCCGACCCCCTGTGTTTTCTGTTCCTCCACATTTCTGATGATCCTCATTTCCGACCCCCTGTGTTTTCCGTCCCTCCACATTTTCTGATGCTCCACATTTCTGACCCCCTGTGGTATCTGACCCTCTGTGTCTCCTCCACATATCCGACCCTCTGCATTTCCAACTCCCTGTGTTTTCCAACACTCCTCTGTATTTCCGACCCTCCACATCTCTGATCCTCAGTGGTTTTCAACCCTCTGCCTTTCCAGACTCCCTATCATGTTGTCCAACCCACCCAAACCTCATAGACTCACATGTCACATCACATTGATCACCACCCACCCCATCTGCCTTATCATAGATCGTGAGCCGGACACATCTGTGCTATCTGCAGTATGACCTTCAGCATATTCCGTAACTCCAGCTATCATCTGTGGCAGTGTGCAATACCCTTCCCCAGGAACTTTCCAGTCTTAGGGGCTAATTTCCGGAAGCCCATAAACCATATCCGGCGGATTCCATCCAATGCACCTGTTCAATCCCAGACCTTGGTAAGTCCTTTCCGGAAAAAGGAATTATGTCTTGCAGGACTTTTCTGTGACTTCCCATGTTTGTCCAAGCTCTCATCCAGCACTCCAGACCTCTGTACCTCCGCTCCAGAAGTCATTCTGTCCTCACACTTTGTCCCTGCACCATTCTGCACCACCAGCTCTGCATATGTCTCCTTCGGATTCACTTTGCAATCAGCGCACTTCCAAATGAAGTATCAGACATAATGGTGGAACTCTGCACAAGTAAGGAATGCTTCCAAGACCTCCGGAACCTTCACGGAAACCAATTTCTGGAACCCTGTCCATCATCTTCCTTACTACATACCAGCATCTTCATTTCAGACACCCAGATCCTTTGGCCTTGAGGGCTCGGCCTTAAAGGGGGGATACTGTCATATCCCGTATGCCAGACATAGATCCCATCATATTCCCACACTTTCCAGACCTGTTTCCGGACCCCATATCCAACTCATTCCTGGATCCCCTATCCTGTCCACCCTATGCACATTCCGTCCAGCAAGACATCCGGACTTTACCTCCTCTTGGATTCTGGACTACATCCACCACCTCACATATCTCAGTCCTGTTTCTGCCCTGCCTTCTGGATCCCCAGATCTCTGGACCTCCGGATATTAACTGTACTATTCCACCACCTCACATATCTCAGTCCTGTTTCCGCCCTGCCTTCTGGATCCCCAGATCTCCGGACCTCTGGATATTAACTGTACTATCTCCGGACCATTCCCACCCTCCATCCGAGATCCTGTGCCTATCCCCATTTAGGCATCTCCCCCTTTCTGGTTCTTGGTTATCTCTCTTTCTGTCTTGCTGATTGATCCTTGTACTAGTTTCATCTCCGAGTTCATTTACTTATGTTCCGTCTTACTTACCAATGTGTTTCCGCATGCTCATACATAGCCTTACTCCTTTGCTTACTGATCCTCTCAGATAGCCTTTAGTATATAACCCCTGTACAACTACAGTAGAGTCCTCAGTCTGAATATCACCTTAGATCTGCCCAATCATCTTCTGGACTTCAGTCCATCTGAGTCTTGTCCTTTTCCGTAAGGCCTAGGGATGGACTCCCTAGGCTGGAATTCCGGACCTTCGGATTTGTCCCCTATGTCTCTGTCCCAAGTCTAGGGATTGCTTCCCTAGGCTAGAGTCTTGCCTTTTCAGCACTTACCCTCTTTCTCATTAGTAAGTAAGACAGAACACAAGTAAATGAACTTGAAGATGAAGACTCATACAAGGATCAATAAGCAAGACAGAACAAGAGGTAACTGAAAGCTGGAAAGGCGGAGATGTCTAAATAGGGATAGGTGCAGGATATCAGACAGAGGGCAGGAATACATCCAGAGATAGTTATGGTTGATATCCAGAGATCTGAGGATCCAGAAGGTGAGGTGGAGTCTGGATGTCTTGCTGGATGGAGTGCACATAGGGTGGACAGGATAGGGTGGTATGTATCAGGCTAGCAGTGAGGATCCAGAGGTCTGGAGCTCAGGGATAAATCCAGAGTGGAGTCGATCCTACTGAGGTATGGAGCACACAGCAGAAGGGGATCTGGCAATGAGTCAGATATGGGGTCCAGACATAGGCTCAGAAGGCATGGGAATATTATGGAATGTGAGTTCGGATTGTGGGATATGACAGTCAGCTGCAAATGGGTCTATCACATCAAGCACAATGCTGATGGTGAAATCAACAAGTATAAGGCATGTCTTGTTGCTAAAGGCTACTCACAGGTTTATGGTGTCAATTAGTACAACTTTGCTGACAACAAATATGTCTCCATTCCAATGGACCCCAACATTCAGTTATCTCACAGCCAATCCCCAAAGACACCTGCTGAAGTTGCCAAGATGAAGAATGTACCTTATCATGAAGCTGTTGGCTCACTCATGCACTAAGCTGTGGGTACAGTGGCTCAAAAAAGTGTCTGAATGTTTATGCATTTTCAAGTAATTGGATAATAGCAAGCTAGCACCTGAGTACAATATAAAGGCATAGGGACAAGTCTAAAGGCTTGGCATCATAGCTACAATCTGAGATATATATCGTGGGAACTAGACCATATATGTGCAAGATATGGTAATTCTAATCACATGACTCATTTGGACACTTTTTTGACTTTATATCCAAATCACAAAATCTAACCATTCACAAATATTATTCTTAATAGAAGTGGTGCAATAATCAATATTTGGCCTTATTTTAATATTATTTATATATGTGAACCCACATAACATCATGAACTTTAACATAATCATCATACAGCCCATCTCCTCTGCTCCAAAGGATGATATCCTTATTCTCTGCTCCTCTAGTTTGTCTATGAGGCAAATTGCTTCCAAAACTGGTCCTAGCAAGTCTAATATTGCTATAGTTATGCTGGCAATGATAGAACATTGATCTCATGAGCTTTGAGGTATGCTTAGAGTCATTATCCAGTTGGAAGATAATGTCTTCTTCATCAATTCCTGACTTCTGCATGCTTCTGAGTAGACACTCCTCTAGAATGGAGATTTACTGCTCTACATCCATGCCTTCTTCCACCTCACAAAGAATCCCCACACAATTCCATCTACTACAACCCCTACCATCATACTTCATCTTCCAAACTTTAGTATATTCTTGACTTCACTTTCCTCTAATGGTTCCCCTACCTTTTTTGACACATATTCCAGGCCATCTGACCCCATTCTATTGATTTTTATCTCATATGACCAAACTACCTTCTTCCAGTCTTCCATAGTCCAATGTTGGTGCTTTAATGCAAAGGCCCCTATAGGCTGCTGAAAGAAGAGGCATTTTCTTCTTGGTTACAGCCATAAGATTGGCTGCCTTAAGGGTGTTTTTGACTGTTTGAGTGGGAATGGGAGTGGGGATAATGGAATTGATGAACTTGGTGGCATGGACAACATTTGAAGCCTTGCCAGATAGACTTTAATGAACAATAGCTCTCTTATGCTGTAGAGTAAGCTTGAAAGACCATCCCATTTTATGATTTTCCTTCTCTAGCATGTTCTGGTTTATGATTATAGCAATATTAGACTTGCTAGGACCAGTTTTGGAAGCAATTTGCCTCATAGACAAACTAGAGGAGCAGAGAATAAGGATATCATCCTTTGGAGCAGAGGAGATGGGCTGTATGATGATTATGTTAAAGTTCATGATGTTATGTGGGTTCACATATATAAATAATATTAAAATAAGGCCAAATATTGATTATTGCACCACTTCTATTAAGAATAATATTTGTGAATGGTTAGATTTTGTGATTTGGATATAAAGTCAAAAAGTGTCCAAATGAGTCATGTGATTAGAATTACCATATCTTGCACATATATGGTCTAGTTCCCACGATATATATCTCAGATTGTAGCTATGATGTCAAGCCTTTAGACTTGTCCCTATGCCTTTATATTGTACTCAGGTGCTAGCTTGCTATTATCCAATTACTTGAAAATACATAAACATTCAGACACTTTTTTGAGCCACTGTACATGCCCTGACATAACATTTGTGGTATCAACAGTAGTGCAATTCAGCACAGAGCCAGGCATGGCACATTGGGAAGCAGTGAAGAGAATCTACCACTACCTGGTAGGAACAAGGAAGCTGGCACTTACATTTGGGCATGGGAAGCATGGGTTAGAAGGTTTTACAGACACTGATAGAGCATCACAGGAGCACAGACATGCTATCTCTGGATACGCTTTTCTCCTTGATGGTGGCACAATATCTTGGGCTTCAAAGAAGCAAGAACTCATCACTCTGTCCACCACAGAAGCTGAGTATGTCACTGCCACTCATGCTGCCAAGGAAGCTATGTGGCTTTGCCATTTTGTTCAAGAGATCTTCCATCCACTCACTTACCCAACAACTCTTCATTGTGACAATCAGTCCACAATTGCACTTGCCAAGAGTGGCACTTATCATGCTTGAACTAAGCACATTGACATTTGCTATCACTACATTCATTTTATTGTTGAGCAAGGTTCTCTTTGACTCATTTATTGTCCCACAGACGACATGGTTGCTAACACTCTTACCAAAGCTCCGCCCAGTGTCAAGGCCAAACATTTTGCTGCTGCTGCACTAGGACTACACACCATTTGAGGGGAAGTGTTGAATAGTCAAACATTACATAGATGCTGGACATTACTGATAGTATTAGATAAGCATGAACTTCATTCCATTCACTCTTTACTCTACCTACCTCAGTGACTTGCTAGTCTACTGAGGTGAGCATACACTACTCATACATTCCTTACTTAGTACTGACTACTACTGCAGCTTACTTATGTTACAAACTTGGATAGAGCATCATTCCAATAAAGGAATCAAGGATCAAGGTTGATCAAGGACAGGGCCTTATCAAGTCAATGCCTCCCTCAGGAGCAATCATCTAGACTCCTGCAGGATCTAGAGTTCAAATGGGACAATGGCTAGCCTTCTTCCCAAGGAGCTAGAGTTCAAGTATGAAAGAGAACCAAGTAGATTCAAGTTAGAGAAAGTACAAGAAGTAGCTAGGGTTTATATATGTAAGGAAATTGTGCACAGACCAAGCTGGGCGAAGGGTAACAAGTACTAGAAGAGGAAGGTTCATGGGAAAACAAAGTATGAGTCAGAGATAAAGGAGACCATGAGGAAACAACAAGGTGAAAAAGAAGTGTTAGAAGTACAGCCATAAGGTGTCCGCAGTGATAATGGGAAAAAAGAGTGGGGCACTATACAGGCCATACTGTAAGAATGATACATTAAATACCTACTATAGTAATGCAATCCAGATACAATAATTCCAATAACTCATAGGTGTCTACACTTGTAGGGCTGATACATCAGTGGAGGATCCTATCAGGACACTCCCATAATAAGCTTGCACCCCTAATAATCGCTTTTTTGACCACCTACTGTGGGAATTTCCTCACAACACTCAAAGATAGATTGTTCCTCATACCTTCCCACATTATTCCCACACACCATACATTCGCATTTTTGGCCACCTACTGTGGGAATTACCCCACAACACCCAAAGCATCGTCCATTTTTGGAATCCCCACAATATCAATTATTCCCACACCCTTCCCACCTCACTGCAGCTTTACCACTACACCACCATAGGTCTCTCCCTTGTATCTGAGCAGTAGTTTTGTATATAAATGTGTAATATAATATAATAAACCGCTTTTTTTGGGTATATGTGTGACAGCTCTTTCTCCAGGGCTATTTTAAAATGGCCTAGGGTACAAAACACCTTCGCACTTTTGCCCCTTTGATAGGGAAGTGTTCTATGGTATTCAGGATATATTTATGAGTGTATGTGAAAAGATTCCCATGCTTTGTATGCCCAGAATTAGCTCAAAATAGGCTGAAGTTTGAGACAGTGCATATACTTTCCATTTCTACTGATTAAGGTCCTATATCTTCAGCTCATCGATATTTAATAATCAGACACCTGTGGCACATCTCAAATATATTCAGTATCATAGATCTAAAGTTTCAGAAAGATCCATCAAGTATTGAATGAAAGGGAAGCAAAGGAATGTATATGTAAAGAGTGAGAATTGACACATAACACACAAAAGTAGGATTTAGATGTGATATAGGTCGAAGATTTCATCAAATTTTAATAGGATATATGTTAGACTGTACAAGGAACCTATACTACACTTTGCCCTGAAGGTGGAAGATATGTGGAAGGGATGTAGTGGTAAAGTAAGTTGATGCAGTAATTAAAGTCCTACCATTATTACTCAACTGACCATTTTCGATGTTTTGAGCATTTGAGGTTTCCCACACTCAATTTCTTATCTATTTCACTTCTTCAGGTCTCAATGCTGGGTGGATTGCTGAGTAAATTTAGAGCCCTGATACTGAATATATCTACAATGTACTTCAGGTGTCTGATTATTAAATTTCGATGTTTTGAATGTATGGGCCTCTTATCAGTAGAAATAGCAAGTATAGACACAATCTTAAATATCCAGCTCATTTTGAGCTGATCCTTGTCATCAAAAGCAAGTATATATGCTATGTAAATGATATATAGACGGGTTGGATCATGGATGCAAGGATAGAGTAGTTAGACACATTAAAAATGTCAAATATGCGATTTTGTCCAATTTTGTTCCTGCAGATGAATCCTGTAGGTTTCCTGTGGTAACCATGTGATAGACACACTCTAAATATGAGTAGGAATAGACCCCTCACCATCCTTGAGGTCCGGTCCTACAGGAAATTTTTTCACAGGGGGTAAACCACCAGGAGAGGGTAGGTATACTGCATCACAGGGTCTTGTCCTATGATCCTGGACTCCTGATCAATTATTCCTACTGTTGAATAGATGCTGGGGATAGATTTTGCAAGTATATCCACCTAGAAATAAATACATGGGAACATATTTTGTGTTTTCCTGTATATATGCTATATCTATTGATGTAGGGCGCTTCAGGGGGTCAAACAAGTGGGGGAATCTCTTCATATACACTCATAAATATATCCTGAATACCATAGAACACTTCCCTATCAAAGGGGCAAAAGTGCGAAGGTGTTTTGTACCCTAGGCCATTTTAAAATAGCCCTGGAGAAAGAGCTGTCACACATATACCCAAAAAAAGCGGTTTATTATATTATATTACACATTTATATACAAAACTACTGCTCAGATACAAGGGAGAGACCTATGGTGGTGTAGTGGTAAAGCTGCAGTGAGGTGGGAAGGGTGTGGGAATAATTGATATTGTGGGGATTCCAAAAATGGACGATGCTTTGGGTGTTGTGGGGTAATTCCCACAGTAGGTGGCCAAAAATGCGAATGTATGGTGTGTGGGAATAATGTGGGAAGGTATGAGGAACAATCTATCTTTGAGTGTTGTGAGGAAATTCCCACAGTAGGTGGTCAAAAAAGCGATTATTAGGGGTGCAAGCTTATTATGGGAGTGTCCTGATAGGATCCTCCACTGATGTATCAGCCCTACAAGTGTAGACACCTATGAGCTATTGGAATTATTGTATCCCATTTTATCTATAATTGTAGGAAGTGATACATCAAGTCTACAGGGACAGGTGGGCTACGAGGCTCGAGGGAGGCGCTGCAGGAGAATTATGGAGGAAGGAAGGCGTGCTATAATTAGAACATCCGCGAGGCTGGGTCTCTTAGACCATACAATCCTAACATAAAAATAGGGTCTGACAGACCTTTAATAGTACCGAGAACTGCTGCCTGAGGTGGCCCACTGAGTGTCTAGATGTAGACCTTCATTGAACAAACCAAGTCTCATTTCGTCTACACACTTTTGGGCAAAGAACGAAATTTGTCATCATGTTCAGTAATTTATGTGCACTGACATTGACTTTCGAATCGTAAAAAGTATAAAAAAACATCAATTGCCTGGTATGAGGCTATGATTGTCTTTGTTTTGGTGTGACATGCATATGATATGTTGCCAAGCGATACTCTATCCCCTAATCCGCCTCCACCCGCAGTACGTTGACACTGTACGCTGGGGCAGTGTACGAGAAACTCTCACCAGTCTCAATCTGTGAAGTGACGGGCTTGACAGCATTGGGAGTTTCGGGCGAGTTACTTGCAGTAGCAGAACCTGAGAGCACTGTCGCAGTGCCAGTGCCGTGAACACCGTTGAAAGGAAGCTCGAATGTCATTTCTTCAGCTGTCATACCCGCGTTGGCAATCTTGATAACAAAATATCAACATCGTCACAACCGACAGAAGAAGTAGAGCCTTAAGTACCTTGATGACAATCGTGTTGGTGGGTGCATCACGCGTGACACTCCAGTGGAGTGTGCCATTTTGAGGCAGGGTGCTTGGTAAATATTCGGTTCCACGGTTGAGACTGAAGAGCTGCAGCAGATGTTTGAGGGACGCGGTTATACTCAGATATCAAATATCACTACCTGTTGTGTGTAGAAGCTGGTTGATGGGTACACATTTGACGCACTGAGGGGACATGAATCTGATGCGTATCTTCGATTGTTGTGAGCGACTCACTCAAAGGCAATAAGGTTGGGTGACCATTGATAGTTGGCAATGTTCTACAGTGCGATTATTAGTGTTCACTCTAGTTGCAGTATGCAAAGTCAGCTCACCATTAACAAGGGAGCATACGACGCAGCGAAGACAATGTCACTGTTACGCTCGAGACCGGTCATGAATGCAGCTTCTCCTGAAGATCCTATCCTAGCGTCAGGTACGGTTCATCACCACGAAAGAGTACACACCTTGCATATTAGGGTATACAAGGCGACCGTCGGTGGGTGTGCCGAAGATATCGCTGGCGTTAGTTGACACAACAGCATATTCGCCCTCAAAGTAGTAAGTGCCATTGCGCTTTCGGCCGTGTCACTTTCAGGTTCCCATTACGAGGTGAGGAGAATGCAGAGCGCACGAACCTCGACAGAATCGTAGTAGAATGCGTTTTCTGCGAACCAGCCAGGTGTCTGGTACACGTGGTTGTCATACTGCTTTGGGATGGGATCGAGAGTGGGATTGAAGGGGTATGAGGTTGCGATGAACTCTACCGAGAAATGTATCAGTCAGAGGCAAGCTCCTGGACAGCAGTGTGGCGCTCACTCAGCTGAGGAAATGTAGCCGTCAAGTTGCCCGCGAAATCTCTCCAGCGGTATATATACCTTGTGGTGTATCATTGACATGCTCATTCATCCGTTAGTTTTAAATAGATGACTCACGATTCTGATGCGAAGAAGTCTTCATTGCCAATTTCGACATACTGCAGATGGAATGGTTCTGGGTGACCAAGAGATGCACGCAGGGCAGCTGGTTTACTCGTGGCGGAGTCACCGATGACAAAATTAATCTGGTCGATTGCCTGTTGGATGTATGGCGCGAGATCGGTCTCAGGGAGGCTGGCTCCGTCAAGCGAGTACCCTGTATGTGAAATAAACATGCAAACAATATGGCATGCACGCCTGCTATATACCTGCCCATACAGCCATAATGGGTTCCATTTCCATATCTTCGCAAAGATACATGTATTCGAGAAGACCGAGACCACTGAAAAAAGGGGAGGGCAATTTGTCATTGATGGCGGAGTCAAAGTCACGAGAATGGTGCGGACTCAGTGTTGACGTATCCCCAGTCACCCATGCGTCCTGGACGGTCAATGAGATTGCCTACTGTCGCATTCCATTGCCAGCGTGTAGAAAAGCCTTGGCCCTGGTGTCGCGTTAACGATCGAGTCCACAAATAGGCCGGTTAATATTCATGTTTACCTCCTACAAAGATCGTCAGCGTAGATGAATATGATGCTATACGGAGCCTACCAAGTTGTTACCACCGGGCAAACGGAAGAACGAAGGCTTCATATCATACAATGTCTACGTGCTGCTGTCAGAACATGTTGCTTCAACTCCAGATGAAAACACGCCTGCGCAATGTCCATACGCAAGCCATTGGCTCTGCCCTTGAATGTTGGAGGGAAGAGAGAGAACATTGCGAAGTTGATCGTCCCTCCGATGGCGCTGGAACCATCGACCGTGACCGTGAAAATATTTGTAGTTGACACAGGGCTTGAGGAAGGTGTGAGATGCACCACGACCTGCGTCCATGTTGTGGTGGAGCCGGAGACAGGCACAGAAGCGCTTGCATAGACTGCGCCAATAGAAGACTGAAGCATGACAGTGATTTTGCCAGAAAAATCGGATGCGCTTGGGAACCTGTAGTAGAAAGAGGCATTGTAAGTCCAAGAGGCATTGACGTTTATGCCTAGAGGGAAGACAGTGAACCCGATGCACAAGTCCTGAGGCTGATTAGACATACCCCAATAGCCCTCATTGTCGAATCCGACTTGAACAGAGGAGCCAAATGGGATGGCAACCTCAAGGGAGTTGGGCAGGGCATCGGAGAGCGGGATAGGGTCAGCAATAACATTGATGGACGTGCCGTTGATTGGAGCCCAACCGAAAAGAGCGTTAGTTGTGTCTAGATACGTCTCAGGATTACAGTTCGGAAGGTATAGCTATGTGGATCCTACCTGGTGTCACCTGCTGGAAGGCGCGATTTTGAAGCACTTGCAAAAGAAAGAACCTCAGCAACATTCCAAGAGCGTAAATTTGATGAAGCACTGACACTCGGCGTAAATGCCACCATCACCGCTCTGCGCAAGAGGGATATTAGTTTACAAGCACTCGAATTATCTTGACCACGATGAAATGCTCTTACATACTATAATGAGGGCGGAACTGGTGAATAGACTACGGTCGAAAATCAAAGGAAACGTACATTGATATCCTATAAGTCACCGATACAGTATTGCATGTCAGAAAGCAGTACAGTTTTCATTACTATTTACTTGCCTCGAACATCTGTCCAACTGAGTGGTATGTTAACGCAAAATAGGGTCGCAGGTAGATGTCTCAACTCACAAAGCAGAGGCGGAATGCTGTGGGTAGCCGTGCCATTAACACTGACAGTCGTTACCGCGGCACTACAACTTGCGAAAATAGCGATTGCAAGGACACCACAACTGAGGAGGATGGACAGCATCTTGCAATCCAATTACTGGAATACACGCCGACCAGAAACCTTTTATAATGAATGGTCATGATGTCAGGGCGGACCGGCGTCGGGCGTGGTGGAACGCGTGACTAACGCAGAGAAGTTGCAGAGAAGTACTGGGAAGGACCACAAGACTCGCAAGCGGCGGTTCGTGCAAAACGTTCTCCCCGAACTTCACTTGAGCAACCGATTTTAGCTTGTGGAATTCACACTGCCAATGTCAACTGCCAGTGAATACTAGCGACGGTTGCCACAGGCAATCCCTTGCAATTGGAACCTTTGAAGCCGCAATTATGTTGTAATAATTGGAAGCATTTTTTGAGGCAAGCTGAGGATCAAGAATATATCAATTAGCCACGAGTTCCGGGAATTTGCACCGGCTAGCAAATTTGCCCCGTCAATCTGCCGTGAATGATAGTAGTAACTTCAATTTCGCACCCTCGAAAACATAGTGTCAGTTTGAATGAATGTGTATTTGCTGGATCCAGAACACCTGAAAGGCCTAAGTATGATATACTGGACAGATTATCCTGACAACTCAAACACCTGAAAGATCCGCGTACGCCATGGTTGAAATAAAATTGATACTTTGTCGAAAGCCATCAATGCCAATGCCATCCGAATATTGTGAAAACTAGTAAAAACTTGAAGTCAGTCCCCCACAATATATACCAACTTACATGCAGCCGAATCTCAAAACCTCCCTTGAAGGACCAACTGGCTGGACTGCGACAGTATCTCATTGAAGACGCTGCCATCCGTTCCAAAGGAATAAGGAATCAAAGTATAATTTTTCCGCCTTTAGCCTGGATTAATATCAGGGTACCCTGTGAGTCACGGGCCTCCATCCAAGCTGACGCTATGACTTCAAATCTTCATCAACGACACCAATGGATGACGCGGACGAGTGGGAGACTCAGATATGGGAGTCTGTCAACCAGACGCATATGGGCATACCAGGGCAGTATCACCCTACACCGGTTGTACATACTTCCGGTGAATCCGATGACTTGAACGGTCCGGCTAACCTCTTCGAACTTGGGGTCCAACCCGGCCTCCCAGCACCTAATATTGCTCTTGTGACGGACCTGCATGAAAACAATATTCCGAACTTCCTGCGTGTCCATGAAGCTACCGTGGTCCGTGACGGTGCACGACATCATGGTAACACGTCACGGTGGTTACCCTTGGCCAGGGAACAGGCCTGGCAGCTGCTCCATAGGACCATAACCCATTCCATTTCAACCGAGCAATCCATATGCGCTGCATTTTTCGTACGGCGGGTTCTGGTAGACTCCTCTGTATCATCCCGGGAGCAGGTCAAGTACATTCTCCTGGATGCAGAGTTAGGAACTGTGCAGCTGACATCATGTTTTGTGCCTGCAGTCTATATTTACTATGAGCAACACCCACATGGACCACCACATTCAAGTTGATCTTGCAGTGACCACGGCAATGAGATGCGGAATGCCTTCCAAAGGCCCGGGAAGTACTTGCAAACGAGCAATGGAGACACTTGGTATATATCCCCCACTAGCATTGGCCAATGCCAAGGGTTGTGAGAGACATTCTCCTTGTAGTGGGCAACAACGGGAATGAACTTATGAAACAGTACAAAGTGCATGCCTTTGCTCGTGACCGGTACGTAATATGTACACGGGGTTTGGGATTGACTCAGAGGCACTTCGAAATCAATCTTGATACTCACTGATTCTGCCAAACTGCCATCATGACGAATACCTTACTGTCGCAAATACAAGCCCTGGGAGTTGTCGTGGACATTGATTCAATGGATCCAAAGGCAGCCGAATCCCTGTCTGTCTCGACGACGTTTCATTCCATGACATCCAATCAGGCGATTGTGAATGGCCAGTTACAAGTACAATGGGACGCGAACCTGGAATCCCTTGTGTCTCAGTATGTCCAAGACGCTGCAATCGACATATCAACAGAGGATGGTATTTTGAAGGTGCTTAATCTCGTGGTATGTATGATTGGGATCACAATGCACATCGATCAACTTCAAGTTGAAATCCTGTCATTTAGACTGTCCTTCTAGCCAGCAAAGTCATTCCATATTTGGACAAGGCGGGTAGGGTTCTCGCACAAACATCCCCTCGCACAGCGTACAACAAAGATGCCACCGTTGCACATGCAAAAGCTCTCATCAATGTCTTTGGCAAACACGGCATATCTAGGTGGGTAGAACAGTCTAGTTCATTTTGCAGGGGGTAGACTGATGGCGCTTTCCCCAGAGATAGGGTCTGTATAAAAATACCAGTCACTCCCGAAAGTATTCTTGCGTGCAAGGAGCTAGAAGAAGGTGGCATACGTACACTCGGAACTTGTTTGTTCTCTGTCCCACAGGCTATGGCAGCATCGCAGGCGGGATGTCTCTCCATTTCACCTTACTTCAATGGTACGCTTCCCAGACTTGGTACAAGAACGTTTTATCAGCGAGATCTAATCAAAGCCCCAGAATTACGAGTACACTTTCCTGAAGGTGCCTCCTCATATATTGAATACAGCGACCCCGTTCGGCAACATCCGATGTCACCGATCATATACTCCATTATACAAGCCTTCAAGGAGAGACAAACAAGCACAACTGTGGTGCCAGCGAGGTAAAAGTTGTTTTTGCCCTGAAAGTATGGTCTACTCAACCCACTTTGTGCAATCAGTATCATCACACTAGATGAGGTGACCATTGAAATTGTCGAACTCCTGCATGTTCATGCCTATCATTTTTACAGGCTGTTGCTCTAGCAAGACTTCGTCCGCATCACTTAACCATACCGGACAGGGTTCTCGCTCTGCTGGCTGTTGCTCCTGAAAGATTGGATGATGAGTTATCTGCTGTTACATTGAAAGTGACTGGAGAAACGTCTGGTTTGTTCGCTGCGTTTTCGATTTTAAACCGCAATCTTAATCTCAACATACAGCGTTTGATGCTGACTATCTGTCCAACAACGCAGCTGCCTTGCAAATGGCACTTTCAAAAGATGCAGAAACATCCCGGAAGATCAAAGAAGCTCTTGAGATATTTGGTCGGCAGGAGGAGGAATCGATCCAGTTCTTGCGGAAGGCGTTGTCTGCTAATGAAGCCTGACCAGTGGCCTCACAACTGAACGTTCAATTGTGTTATCATGTCAAAAACTTCGTATTGTCGTAAAGGGCACAAAGCTTGCATTCAAGTTGCTAAATACAGTCGCAGCATTTTGTACATATCTCAATTACAGTTATTCCACGTACGAGAGAAGGTGTTCTTGCTGTTATACAAACAAGGACTTTCATGAACGACTCCGATTGAGGACAACATCCTGTATGTAATACCTGAAGTAGTATTTACACTCATTTTGACTGTATGTAGTACTGTGCAGTGCCGCCGTGACAAACTCGAATGGACTCCGGTGTCGAATCTACTGGGTTGCGTGCTAAGCCCGTGGCTTACATCTTCTCAGAAGACCTAGTCAAGGTGAGCACACTTCTGCAGAGTACCTATGATGTGTATCATCGAGTGATGTCTAATCCATTCTCTCGGATGTTCTCCACTACTGGCAGATATCTTCACGTCTACCTTCCAATAGAAACCGTTCTTTCCTCGTCTATTCACTCGTTCACGCATATGGACTTCTGACAACATGCAATAGTCAAGCGCCCCAACGATTCCTGGTTGTGCGACCACGACCTGCTGGCACGAAGGAGCTCTTGGCTTACCATACCCATGACTATCTCGAATACGCCATGAATCGATCAGGTGATGCGCAGAACCTGCTAGAAGCTTCAGAGTTTGGGCTTGAAGACGTGCGTATACCAAACAGATTTTGTTGTTTCGCGACCTGTCAGTGCATCTATGTAGGACTGCCCCATGTTTCATGGAATCAAGGACTATATCACGCAAGTCGCAGGAGCTACGTTGACCGGAGCAGCTGTCATCAGAAACGATATTTCGGACGTAGCCATCTGCTGGGATGGTGGAAGGTAAGTACTGGCTCAGGTCACTGGACTTTCCTTGCAATCTCAGTGTCATTATATACAGACATCACGCCAAAAAAGCACGGGCTTCAGGTTTTTGTTACGTCGCTGATTGCGTTCTCGCTATCCTCTTCCTGAAACGAACAGTACCTTCTGCGCATCCATTGAAGAAACCGCGCGTGATGTATCTTGACCTCGACCTTCATTTTTCAGATGCAGTGTCACAAGCTTTCCACAAACCTGGTTCTACGACTACTGCTCAAGTTCTTGTGCGTGCACCTCGAGGCATTGACAATTTATGACCCATGGAATTATTTTCAGACCCTATCTATTCATCACACAGCTCCAGGCTTTTTCCCTATTTCCCCCCTTGCTACCCTTCCGGACGTCGCTGATCCGGCCTTCGATCCTTTCACTTTATCAGTGCCACTCAAAGCTGGTGCATCCACCAAAACATTCCTCCGCATTTGGCCCATCATCGAACATGTCAAGGACATCTTTCGGCCTGATTTCATTCTAGTTCAGTGTGGCTTAGACGGCCTGGCGGGTGATCCCATGGCAACCTTCAACTGGTCTTTGGGTGGCGAAGGCTCGCTCGGCTGGTGCATACAGCGCATCGTTCACGAATGGCAAGGGAAAAAAATGTTACTCGGTGGAGGTATGGTGCTACTTATCGGATCATTTTCTTGCATACCATCCTAGGCTTTAGGTGGTTATAACACGCCCAATGCTGCGCGAGCTTGGACATATCTCACCTCTGTGGCAGTATGTTTGAATCTCATGTTCTAGCTCGTCACGTATTGATACATCGTGTCTGATAGGGCGGAATTCCACTATCCTTAGACGCTGATATCCCCGAGTATTCTGGCTACCTCCACTTCAAGCCATCGTTTACATTGGATGTACCCGCTGGCAACATGCAAGATCAGAACACGGAGGAGTACTTACGGACAATAGAAGCCACATATGAAGGTATACTGTCGGTATTGCACTCGCGGATGGTTTCCCCGACGCTCTAGACAATGGATACGACTGTAACGAGCTACATAGCAACATGCACCTCCTCTACAGAGCAGCAGGGCTAGCTTTCAAATTGCCCTTGATTCTCGGGTTGTTATCGAATCTTGTTTTGTGGATTCCTTGTCATTTAAATGATTGTGGAATTGCGGGACCAGCATATCAGCCAACAACTCTAGCGGATCCGCATGGGTCAATCCTTCAAATTTTACATTATTTAAATTCTGAAGTTGAGGAACATGAGTGTACACAGTGAGCGCCAGAGTTCACCTGAGTCAAGGGCAAAATTAGACGTGGCTCATGAATAACTCGTCCCATTCTCAGCAGTGCATTGTGAAAGAGCCTCGCCAGCACAGGGTGGCACCAACCCAGCGGGTTCATTCCCATCTTCCTTGAGCAGCAGTGCCACTACAGCCATGCGCTGGGATGTTCATGGCCGTGAAGCTACGTACAGCGGTGCCGTTGTCAGTGTGCGTCCACAAATCCTATCCCAAAAAATTGATCAACAACGACTGCGAAGTGCCACGTGGTGTGGGAGAGCCTACCCGGACGGAATACTGGATGCCAGCGCGAATCCAAGGAGATTCGGTGAGGTTGAAAAACATGTTAGCCGGTTCGCTCAAAGTATTGATCTGAAGTGTATTAATATTGAAATCACTATGATACCGATGTTCTGAAATGACGTACAAGCATGAAAACCGTTCCATTCTCACTGGGACCGCTCCAGTATTGAGCAGGGTATGTTACATTGTAGGTCCAGTCAGGCTGTTCGGCCAACGATATCTATGATTAAAAAATCACCAAAAAGGTAGTAACGTACATTGATGCCCCAGCGGAAGGGCGAGATGCTAGTGCCATAGATGGGGTCCTGGTTGACTGCGATGATCTCTTGATTCTTCAGGATACTGAGCATTTCCTGACTTATGGTAGCGAGCTGAGTGTAAGGAGCGCTAGTGAGCTGCGTTGTTGAGAATAAATAAAGTACCCACATTGGTGCCAATGAGCAGGGGGGCCTTGACAAGAGCCCATGCAGTAAAGTGGGTCTTTGCTTCGTCGTACGTGAGGTCTCCATTCCCTATTTCGAGCTGTCATTTGCATAATATGCTAAGTACTATTGAAAGCAAGACGTTCGGTTGCACCTACCATGTCGAGATCATTGTGTCCATAGTGATTAGTAGCTTGAGTAATGAACGACGCGCTGTATTGAATGTTAGGAAAGCAAAGTCCCTTGAAGCAGTGACTCACGAGTTGATGATACTAGAAATCGAGTTCCATTGAGGCCCAATATCACTATCAATCTAAGCAAATCTCCGGTCAGATTGTCGCCAGAGTTTAATGAGAGGTGACGAACTCTCCAACTGTGAGAAATCTGGGCACCCCACCTGTGCTTTTCTTGTGAGACAGTGATTGTCAGGGCGAGATTGATACTCACAGCCAGACCTGACTCTGAGAGAATCGTTGGATACGTGAGATACAAAACAAATGAGTGTAGAAGATGAGACTCACCCAGCCCCACTCACACAGACTGAATATGAGGGTAGTGCCAGTTTTCTCCGCTACCGCAGCGAGAGCATCTGCCATGCGCTGGTACTCTATGACCAAAAATATTTAGGGAGTAGACTAAGATGAGAGGATTTCTACCCACTTCCGATCATGCCCTCCCGGATGATATCATCAAATGGAACTAGAACGAAAAGGTTAGCATTGTCTGGTAGCTCCCGGACACGGATATACTTACTGGCGCAGTTGTCATATCTAAATTGGGTTGTTAGTGACCTTCCAGTCGTCCTTACGAGTAGTGCTCACTTGAGGAAATCGAAACCCCAGGATTGAAAAGTCATCGCATCCTGTTCCTCGTGCATAAAGGAGCCAGGATACCCAGCGCAGGTAAACCAGCCAGAGTCAGAATACTAGAACTGACAGTGAGAAAGTATTTTCTCGTCAGGGGTAAGTTTCATACAATGCCTGCGTAACTAGGAGGCACATGAAAAATGGTGCTGTATCACGGAAAATACATGTTCACGTACAAACCAAGAGCATGAAGCTGATCTGTGAGCGTGTTCATGCTTGGGAATCTGATATTATCTTTGGTGAGGGTCGCTTAGCACATATTTGTGACGGGTTTCAACGAAAACAAACCCGACATGACCTCGCCAGTAGAGCTACGGTTCTTCATAGCCCAACAATCGTCAAGGTTAACGTGATTATAGCCAACATCCTACAACGAAGTAATTCAGTGAAATTTGTCTGAATTTAATGTGCCAAACGATACTCACCAAAAGGCCATACTCCTTCATGTACTTCGCAGTCTGGACGACGAGTGTCTCATTGACGTTGCACTGTTGAATACTGCAATGAGGTCACCATTCTTGGTTGAGAATTTTCACTCACCGCAAAGGCGTTCCAAGCTGACAGACACAGGGGCTAATTATTAATGGTGAGCTCCTGCACTCTCAATAACACGCACCATTGTAACCCATCACTGTACAAATCATGTCAATGAAGCATCGCTGCATCGGGAAGAACTGAGAGACAGACCAGGCAGTTTACCAACTCCATTGGTGATAGCATCGGCAGAAGGAGCTGTAGAAAGTATACCGACCACAGCAGCGACGAACGTCCTGGTCTTGGATAAAGTCATTATGGATTGTTCTCACTCCGGAAACTTCGTTTGTCATGCAATAAATCCTCATGGCGCCGTTTCTTTAAATAATGGTTTTGATGAGCGGAGGCCGGAGTTGCTATTTGCACCAAACTTGTGAAAATGAGCTAGTTATGCCGGTAAAATTAATTGGCTTTTCTGCCACCCGCCGTGACTTGTCCAGCAAGATGTTCGGTGTTCTTTGCAATATAGGTACTACTAGTAGGGGCTAAATTACCATGCGGAGCAGGGTCAAACAAGCATGCGGCGTCGTGACATGCAGATTCAAAACAAGAACAAACAATGAAACCCGACGAGACAGCGAGGAAAACATTACATCATGTCGTAGTCCAGAGAACGCTACTCTCACGGATGATAACAATTATATAAATGTATGACGCGTAAAGACATATTGTTGAATCTTCTCGAAAACAATATTAATGGTTCACTAGCAATACGTGGTAACTTTGTTGTCGTGGTGTGGCAGGGACGATTAGTCAGCGCGTATCCTCGCAAATATGATATGCATACAGCGGACTATGAAAATGCATGCGGCAAAACTACGGCAAATCGAACCGTCATCCATCATACAAACAAGGGTCAACAGGGGCGCCGAGACGATCAGCCTCAGTAAGTACTACTGCTACAGGATCGACATAATCCACCATGAAGCTCGTAAGGTGAATACTGCAGAAGACGTTTCTTTCGTTTTGGTCTGACATTTTCAAGAAGCCTTTCATTTTGTGCATCACAAAGATCGGGCGCTGACCCTTGTTTCCATCAGATTCTTGATGAAACTCAATAATGAGACCGTGACCATTGAGCTCAAGAACGGCTCTGTAGTCCATGGCACAATTACTGGTGTGTTAAATGGATGAGACTGACACTGCTTGCAAAAGCTTAAACCATTTTTACAGGTGTAGACATGCAGATGAATACCCACCTTAAAACTGTCAAAATGACAGCCCGTAATCGGGACCCAACATCCCTCGACTCCCTATCTATTCGCGGCAACAATATCCGCTACTTCGTGCTTCCCGATGCCCTCCCTCTTGATACACTATTAGTGGATGACGCGCCAAAACCCAAAGGGAGGAAGAAGGATGATGCACGCGGAAGGGGCCGTGCACGAGGAGGTTTGGTTGACCGCGGGCGTGGTCGAGGGAGGGGAAGGGGCCGAGGAAGGGGTTTCTGATAGTTCAGTACCGAAAATATCATGCTCGTATCGCATTGTCATCTGTATATCGTTTTTCCGCTTTTTGCTAATGCTAAAATATTGCGCCGAGCCACACATTCGCTCGGTTTGTATCAGTTATTTATGAGTTATTCTGACAGGCTTCCCGTGTAGCTTTGAGTCATCTTGCAGACCACACACAATAATATCATTGCCGCAAGATCACAGCGAAAATTGTTCGAAGACATGTGTGGCTGTGCAAGTTTCTTCCATGTTCCTGCGCCCTTTTGCGTCAACTTCAACGTTGCCGCCAACGATCCGGCAGCTACTGTCTTCCCTGCAACCGACTGGCCAGGCGACTAAAGTACAATTGAGTGGTTGGATCAAATCTGTGCGAAGACAGAAAAATGTCACTTTCGCGGTGATTAACGATGGAAGTTGTGCTTCCGGCCTGCAAGCAGTCTTGAAGCCAGATGCTACCCCACACAAGTATGTCCTCAAGGCATTTCGGAACATAGAGGTTCATAATACCATCCCTCAGCTTGACCAATGGTGCCAGTGTCCGCATTTGTGGCAATCTGGTCCAAAGCTTAGGCCGCGGACAGTCATATGAACTGCAATGTGGAAGCGGTTGATGTTTTGGGTGAATGTAATCCGGAAGTACGTGTTATCTACGGATAAAATGCCTGCCAATTGAAATTTTGTGAAGGCCTACCCTATCCAGAAGCAAGCCCTACCCGTGGAATTTCTAAGGGACAATGCCCATCTGAGGGCCCGAACAGATATCAATGCTGCTATGCTCCGTCTACGTGACTCTGTCCTCCGGACGTTACGTAGTTATTATGAGGTGCTAATAGACATCCTATCATCCGCACTGTTGTTGACACGTCCAAACCCAGGCCCAAGATTTCCATTACGTGCACACGCCCATTCTGACTTCAAACGATTGTGAGGGTGGCGGTGAAACGTTTCGTGTCTCGCCCGCTTCTTCCGCCCCTTCTTCAGGGCAATCGCCCGATCCGAGCGCACAAGCCGAGTTCTTCTCCCAGCCGACATATCTTACTGTGTCTTCGCAACTTCACCTGGAGGTCCTTGCTGCTTCCCTCTCTCGGGTTTACACGCTTTCGCCTTGCTTCCGGGCAGAACGTTCTCAAACGAATAGGCACCTCGCGGAATTCTGGATGCTCGAAGCTGAATGGGCATTTATTAACCACGTCGGGGACGTATGCTATGTGGTCGAGGAGTCTCTGAAAAATGTCCTCCTTCAGTGTCGATCAGAAAACGCACTCCTTTGGAAAGATGGCGATGAAGCAAAACTCAAATCTCTGGAAGATGCATCGCGCCCAGGAATTCCCTGGACACGCATGTCATACACTGATGCTGTAAAGGAGTTGCAGAAATACCAATCTTCTTCTCGAGTTGGATTCGAATTCCAGCCTGCATGGGGGAAAGCATTGCAAAGCGAGCATGAGCGTTGGCTTTCGGAACGACTTGTCGGCGGCCCTGTATTTGTCACAGACTACCCAACCTCCCTGAAACCATTCTATATGCGAGCCAATGATGACGGGAAAACTGTAGCATGCTTTGATCTTTTAGTTCCTTTCATCGGCGAACTCGTTGGTGGGTCGCTCAGAGAAGAGAGATCCTCTCATTTGATCGAGGCTATACAGAGGCATGGGCTTAAGGAGGAAGAATACGGGTGGTACGTGGATTTGAGGAAGTATGGGAGCGCGCCTCATGGGGGCTATGGGCTGGGGTTCGAACGACTGATTAGCTGGATGAGCGGGATTGAGAATGTACGGGAGTGCATCGCGATGCCGAGGTGGGCAAAACGGATGTTGTTGTAACATAATACATAGCCTCCAATTATAATTAATGCGTCGTGTGAACATACTTATTACTTCCGTGGTTTAAACAGACTGAGTTTACCTCAAGTTTCCCCACAATATTATCATCACCCACCCCAGCTGTTGTATCCTCCAGCTATGAAGCCCGGAGTTCCGCTTCTTCAAAACAATCCTCTCGTTACCTATGGAACTGGAGGCTCAACGTATACTAGTATGATAATTCTCAAGACTTCATCGCGAGGCAGTGAATGCTTACCATTTTTACGTTCATAAGCTCGTTCGGCGCTTAACAGATCGTTTGTTGTCGTTATCCCATTAGCCTTGGCTGCAATCTTGGGATATATCACATACATCGTTCACCGTCATGATACTCCCTACCACGCTCCTGCTACTGCACTGGACAACCGAGTCGCCAAACTACCAGGTGCGTCTTTAAAGATTTAGTATTCGCTAATTCGTTCACCCAAGACATGCGGTGACAAGTGATGGGCTACAACAGTAGGTTGCCACATCCAAAAAGCTGTCGATACTGACCTGGCGCTTCACGCACAGCTTGGAACGCATACCATGTGAGTGCTATGGAGTCAGTTTTGAAGGTTTAACTCAGATCTTTCAGTGTGACATAGACGAGGACCTCATCTTACAAACCGCACAGCTTATGAAATCGCTCAACTTGGCGGCAAGTATCGTTCGCTGCCGTCCTTATTCAGGGTGGCTGACCTTGACATCACCACTAGGACGCTGGATATACTTATGTCAACATTGATGATTGTTACTCAGAGAGAAGCAGAAACGATGATGGTGATATTGTCGAAGGTTCAACTATTTTCTTCTGACGATTCGTACGTTAACATTCACGGCCAGACGCGACGAAGTTTCCGTCTGGAATGAAGGCCCTCACAGACAAGATTCATAATCTTGGACTGTACGTGAAATGTCATATGTATACATCTAAAATTGCATGTTACTAAGATTTTTCTTTTGCACACAGGAAAGCTGGCATTGTAAGGACCTGTCGTTTAGTCATTCCTGTACTCTCCCTGACCGTGGCCCTGTAATGCAGTACAGTGACTCGGGTTGGTTCACATGCCAGTTGTACCCTGGCTCATTCCAGAGCGAGGCAAGGTAAGCACTTCCGCTCCTGGTCATTACATCATGATCATATCTAGCAGAGACGTAAAACGCTTCCATGACTGGGGCTTTGATTATCTCAAGCAAGTATCGATTCACTAACTTGAACGGCTATTTTTGATGGTGATTGTCAACAGATATGATAATTGTGCTGGTACGTGGACTCGCACCATGCCTAGTTTGTGATTGCTCGACATGCATCAGTTCCATTCGATAACATCACGCGGGAGAATATTATGGGAAGTATGTACTTATGTTCTTCACTGCTGTCAGAATCCTCATTGGCGGATCCAGGATACGAACGTGTGGCAGACGCCATTGCTGATTTTTCACTGTCGTCTGGAACACCACCCTTAATTCTGTCCATGTGCCAATGGGGAAGGGTGAGACTCCACCTCGTTGCAATTTTTGGACTATGGACTGTTTTTGCAGGAGCAAGGGTGGACTTGGGCCCGCAGATACGGGCAAAGTTGGAGGGTGAGATAGAGCATGTATCCCAAATTTATTGAAGCTAACGAATACTTTAGACGACCAACGATATTGGTAAGCGTTCAAACCCTCGAAACCTTTCACTGAGGATGCAACTTATCGGTGGGCAAGATCCGAACTGGCAATCAATCGTCAAAATATTAAACCAGTAAAGAAGCCACGCTGCTTATCCTAGAGTAATTCACATCGTCTTCCAGGAACTCGTTCTATACTTGGGCAACTGATTTCTATGGCCATAATGACATGGATATCGTCAGTCATGTTCTGCGGTGTTGTTGGCTGCGCTGACACAGGTCCTTGTAGCTTGAAGTGTACGTCATTGAGAGGCCGGGTCTGATTGTCGTCTCACGATTGACAGTGGTAATGGGCCCCTAACGTACGAAGAAGCGAAGTCCCATTTTACTGCGTGGGCGCTCTTGAAGTCACCTTTACTTATTGGCACTCATGTAAGTCCGATCCCTGCTGACGAACCCTCCGCTCACGTACGTCTGATTTAGCTCGCTTCTGCTACCAAAGAAACCCTTGAGATTCTGACCAATCCAGAAATCATTGCGATTCATCAAGACTCAGTTGTAGGCACCAGCATCTCACCTTTCCGGTGGGGCATCAATGTAAGCCATTTCAATTTATTTGCAGTTAATCGGAGGCCACATCATTGATGCCACGTTGTATCCATAGCCTGATTGGGTTAGCAATGACACACATCCCGCACAATATTGGAGCGGGGAGAGTCAGAACGGGACAGTGTTTATGCTCGTTCGTGCTCTCTTTGAGACGTGCTGTCCAAACAATTAAAGTTTAATACAGTTAAACGCATTGGATGAACCCGCCGACATGTTCTTCAGGTTGACCGAATCTCCGTGGATCCGAGCTGGCAGACAATACACTGTCCGGGTGAGTTTCGTCTCTCATGCAGGCTTTCCGCGGCCTTCTGACTTGCTTTGTCTGTCTAGGACCTTTGGACACATACAGACAACGGTACTGCAGTCCGCAACTTCACAGCTCACGCTGTTCCGCCGCACGGTGTTGTGGCATTGCTCCTCCAAGACGCAGGCAATGAGCCGGATGATTTGTGGCCGCCTTGTGCTGTGTTGGAGTGGTGCATGAATTCTAACGGGACTCGGATCGACCAATGAATGCTGGGGACTTTTTCCAAGTGATGTACATAAGTCTTGTATCATCATTGTATGTTGACAAATTTCATTGTACCTTGTATGGATAGAGGGCGGCAAGGTTGTCTTTCGTGCCACGCTCAAGTCATTGCTGTCCGCATCTCTTCCGAGCAGCGAGGCACCTCGGTCCATTCTGGTGTAGGATGTGAGGTATCCCAACAGATAGCATGCTTGACAACCCGTCAAGTGGTTGGAAAACATGATCTTATGCGTGGCCTGCCTTGAAAGCCATAAATAAGCACCGACTCACTCTGAGATCAACAGGCCAACGTCATGCGTCCTTCCACAGCTTTACTAACACTTTGTTATCTCGTCCCTCTCGTTGTGGCATCACCTCTAGATGTCTATCAAAGAAACTCCATCAGTATCCCATTGAGTAGAATGTCCAGGGACACAACCATAGAAGACGTGAAGGCACATCTCACGACCGTTTCTTAGTATGTTTGTCTGTCGATTTTTAGCGGAAACGTAATCTTTAACATTCCTCAGTAAGTACGACGTCACCTCGCGCAATTATGCGCTGAACACAGGCTCGCCTCACTCCTTGAGCAATCGCGGTCCTCCCTACAAACTCGGCGAACGTAGCACAGGGTCTCTAACCGGTGACGGAAACTCTGTCCCCCTAAAGAATCAGAGTGTCAATTTATGGTATGGCTCCATCGCGGTTGGGGAGCCCCCGGAATCATTCACAGGTGGAGTACTTTCAGTCGCCTGGCCATCTACAATCCTTGGTGCTAATGCTACTGAAGTGCAAATCGACACTGGCTCTGCAGACCTGTTCCTCTGTTCCGTGCGAAGCGGTCTCTCCTGCGCTGGGCATCGGGAGTACAATGCCACATCATCAGCGACATCTCTTGACCTCAATACCTCGTTCGTTGTGAAGTATGGAAATAGAACGGAGGTGAGCGGAGATGAATATACAGACGTGGTGGAGTTGGCTGGATATAAGGTTTGTCGGGAAACAAATTGCAATCAAATCATGTGACCCATTCAATGTTCACTCTCACCAGGCAATCAACCAAACACTCGCTGTCACAGACACGTACTATTCTGATTTTGCTGCTTCTAATGCACCTGACGGGCTCGCTGGATTTGCCTTCCAAGAGATTTCTTCATACGGTGCCGCGCCCCTTTTCCAGACCCTCTGTGACAGCCATGTCCTGCACAAGAATGTGTTCGGACTCTCTTTGTCCACTCAGAAGGACAAAAGTGAGCTTCGCGTCGGAGGATCGAACCCATCAATGTATGAACCAGACACTCTTACGATTGTCCCGGTCACAGTCAAAGGATACTGGCAAATCCAACTCGACGGACTCTCCCGGAATGGAGAAGATATGATGGTCCCTACTGACAAAGCACAGGCTATCGTGGACACGGGGACGGCCCTCATCGTGACGAAACCAGAAAATGCCGTGAAGTACTATGAGAACATCAAGGGCGCAAGGGCCGTCGATGAAATTTGGACAGGTTGGTCACGCTCTCGCTCTAGGAAAGTCATCCCGACAGATTTAATGCAGTCCCTTGTGATACGATTGGATTATTTGCACCCACTTTGACATTCGGCGGACAGTTGTTCCCTGTCTCGTCAAGTACTTTCAACCTAGGGCCTGTTCACGAAGGCTCTACGGATTGCATCGCCGGCCTTACTGGTATGCCTGGGATTGGAGGTACGTGCTATAAATGAATACAACAGGATCAGGCTCAAGCATTGAGGAAGAGCACTGGATTATTGGCGACGTATTTTTGCAAAATGTGTACACGATCTTTGATGTCGGCAATACCGAGGTCGGTTTCGCAAGACTGAAATTGTGAAGGGAAAACCGGATTGTAGCTGGAGAGCTCAAGCCTCGTGGATGGGAGAATGTGATTTGTCGATGTTTCTGTTGTTTTTGTTTCAAGGACGCATACAGACGAATGTCATACAATGTCATCTCGCTCCTGGCATGTGAAGTTCTATTGCGCACAACTAGTATGAGGGTGAGTTCTGAAGCTGACATCGGCCTCCGCAGACTCGGAAGCATCACTTAAATTATATTGCGACGAACGTCTAACCTGGTACTCAGGAAATTCTTCGTGTGCTGTGACCTGTTAACCATGGCAGATCCGTACTCCTGGCTGTACGAGTCTAGAACAGAATCTAGGTATGGAGTCACTGGCAGTACATGTGACTACAAGCTAGCTACAAATTAACGTACCCCACGAGGCCTCAACGAAGTTATAGAGCAACATTGAGGTGAAGCCAACAATGAGAGTTCAAGTTAGAATATCGTGAACGATGTCTGTTTAACTGGGGAAATTTATGATGTCTGTACGAGGGTGAGTCGGAAGGGGATACAACTACATCTAAGCAGTCTAGCAATTGCTGCATGACGCGCCTTCATCATCACGGTCAGTCATCTGGGTGACCCGCGGCCTCCCATCGTATCTTCCTTTCCATGGCAAGGGAGATGATGGTACGCGGTGACTATACAAGTGTTAGACTGATTGCAGCTCCTCCAACCTCCTCGGGCGCCCGGGGTCCGCATCCGAACCCACTCATCAACGTCGTTATATGAGCCAAATACTACGTTATGGATGCACGTAGATCTACGTAGTCTCAGACGAGAAGGGCGCCACGGGAAGCAATGATGCATGAGATGGGAGCCGTGAGATCCTCATGGCCTGATTTAGGATAGATTGGGAAAACTGATATGATATTACCGCAGAAAAGAAACCCAGGATACAAGACATCCTACAACAAAGATGGAGGTCCATTTTTTGACTTCTTTCCACCAATTATCCCATTGATGCATCTCGCCTGTTAGTCTCGGGAGGGAAATGACAGTCGTCGACAGGACTACCGGTTCAGACGGTGCATCTGGCTTCCAGGAAGTAGGGGGAATAGGATCATTCTCATAACGGTGACTTGAGCTCACGATGTCCTGCAATGGGAAGACTTCAGCTTGTGCGACGCCTCCGAAGAAATCGGTAATAAGCGTCTTGTCCAAGGGACGGCGGAAAAGATCGGACCGGATGCCTGGATGAGAGTAAATCTTCGCCGGGTCATATGAATCGAACTGTCACAATACAGAATAAACACGCGCATCAGATCAGTGATGAAGCAGAATACCAAATCTTGCATAGATGTCTGACTCGTCTTATTTATTCCTTCCATGAATTTGAGGACATAGTGTGTATAGCTGTCAATGACGGAGACACCAATGTCGTTGTCATTTTCATACTAGACCCATGATGAGCATTTCGTAACGAAAACGAAGTGTGAAATTCTCACGGAGTAGGAATTCTCTTCAATCTGAGAGGACCCAGTGGCGAGAATGTTAGGGGAATAAAATTGAGAGTACATGGTATTTGCTTGACATGTATCAATCATGAATAAAATTTCGTTGTATCTGGTCCACCATGAGCTTCGAATACGACAACGTGACAAGAAATTTCACCTTTTCTTCTGCCACATTTGCTCGAATGCGTCAGCAATATCGAATGCACTTATTTCCTCTTGGTCTTGAAATTTGAGGAACTCGTTTCCTCCATGCCCAGTCATGTAGACGAAGATGTTTGAGTGGTCGTCTGTCAGAAGTCTTTTTGACCGTGGCATAGAGGGATCCACCCGACCTATGACACTGTAGATGACTTCCAATCAACACTGAGACATTCATACCTGTCAATAGGCGTATGAAGTTCTCCACAGTTACTTCATATCCACGATAATCTACCTCGATGTTCTCGCCGTACAAGTCTAAGTGCCTGCCAGCTTCTGCATAGACACTGCCAGCAAATTTGTTTCTTGCATTACACGCTACGTCGTCCGCCAACATGAGGATGATGTTGGAGTCTGGAATCCCAAGACGCTTGACGGTACGATACCTGACAGGTGTATCAGGTAGTGAGCAACTCCGGTGATGGGGTGCGTTACATTCCAAGGGCATTTGCCATATGCTGTAGCACACGGTCTCAGAAAAGGCGGTCTATAGTGGTACAACCATGCTCACCCTGTAGTTGAACCAGTACCGAGATGCGCATACAAGGACTGCCCAATTGTTGGTGTGCCCTGAAACCGAATCATGTCTACCAGCGAAGAAATCAGTTGCGCGCTCGCCAGCAGACATGGTAGAGCCCGATGAGCCAACCCCCCATGCCATGAAACATGTTAGCAGTAGCAGGCAGGCCTGAGGAAGCAGCCGGAAACGCATGGAGAACATAACTGACACTAACAAGTGAAGAGTAGTAGCTACTACTATCCCTTCCACTGCAATCGGCACCCCACAGAAGTCGGCAGTCACGCAAATGTCACTATAAGTCACGACATGTCACATAGGCCGATTTCAAAGACCGGCAGTCAAGCAAGAATTCGGCGTGAATATTCGAATATTTGAACGAGTATTAACTAGTAGATATATCTAAGTATGAGGGCAACTGTAGTTATAAAATTGAGTGGATGTGTAGGAAGACCATGTACATTAATATTGTATGGATGCTGCACCAGTCAGCAACAGTTTCCTCCTATGCAGCAGATAATAATTGCTGACTCTCGTGGGCATGCCGACGAGGCTCCTGCACTCCCAAACGTCGATTACTCAGTGTCTGGCATGATACTAGTGTCTGACAAAGCTCGCAGCTTTCCTCGTCTACCGCTGCTAGATCTGCGAATGCACTGCACCCAACACCAGTCGGCACTTCCAAAGTTGGTGTATGCAGTTTGAAACTCCGTCACGGCACATATCAGCAGGTGACATTTCTGCGTGACTTCGGCACATTCAACTATCTCATTCAATTCTTCTTCAATCATGGTCGTTCGACCTCGTAATTAGTTGTATTAGCGAGAGAATAATAAATATGTTGAGAATTTTGTGTTGAAGTAGCTAGAAATACGAGTTTTGTGAAAGTGCCGACTTCTGTGGGGTGCCGATTGCAGTGGAAGGGATAGTAACGGCAACTCGGCGAAAGAGATGTGGTGCGGAGTTCTAAAACACTACAATCTGCCTTTTGTCCTTCACCCTCATGAACGGCAAGCACAATTCTCTTGAACACGAGATTGTTATGCTCATTTTTTTCATAGGTCTTCACACCTATGGAGATGACTCGCAAAGCGACTCGGAGGAGAAGGTCGCTTCATCCTCGAAGACCGGTGTGGGAATATATCTAAATAATGTAAGAGATTCTTCATCGCAGCCTTGTGCAATCGTTTCCCTCTTTGTTGGCTGTTCTTCATGAGATAGGATAAGGCGCTGAAGAGTGTATCAAACTCATTCTCAGATGGTACGTACCGTATAACGTGATGCATATGTGCTGTGTTGAAAATGAAACCCAGCCAACCCAGCCCGCCTGCTACCAAAGTCTCAAGTAATCATCCGCCGGCCTGCGCAGCAGAGAGGTCACCCTCGTGCTCATGTATCAGATGAAATCGTTGGCGGTTCAGAAAGCCTTCGGGCTTTCAGTCCAGCGTCTATGCCCGATGCGTTTCTGAACACGGAACAAGTTGAAACTGGATCTCTAGAGGAGGCTGATGAAATCTCTCACCTCCGACAACTATTGAGACCACCGTCAATTCCTGGTTTCACAGACTGGGGTATTTCGCCAGCGTCTTCGTCTCCCCATGACCCGACGATTCAGGTGCGACTGCGCTCTCACTTACGGGGATCTTTCTGATTGTTCTTCAGACTAAACTTGCACAATTTCACGCTTTAAAGCAAGATTCTGAACATCCCAAGCATTTTAACGATTCACTTATGTCCAACCGGTCCTTCCGCAATCCCCATCTATATGCTAAGCTGGTAGAATTTGTGGATGTCGATGAGCGCACGACGAATTTTTCCAAGGATATGTGGGATCCAGATGACATGCGCCCTGAATGGTTTGCGGACAGCATCGGTACGTAAAGTTACTTACTCTCATGACAGTTGTTCATGCCGTCGCCTCTGGCATCTCTTCGCACTTGGCCATCTGTTCTACAAATTGTTCTGTGGTCAATTTTTTTTCCTCGTGGTTCTCGGCGATGCATGTGGGCGCCTGTATCTCTGCCTCAAAGCCGTGCTGCAAAAAGCTCGCTCAGAGCAAACTGCTTCCTCCCAGTCGAAGCGAACACAGATAAATTTCACGACTTCTGCGAAGGTACCACCCCATCATCCCACTCATGACAAGCTGGCCCCACGTCACAGTAGCAGATTCCATCCCTACTCTCGCCTGCGCTAAACTCTATCCTCATGTATCATGTACATTACCACACGCATCTCTATATGTCACTCTTCAAGTCCTTGAGTGTATCATTAGTCCCTTACCAAACGGTTTAGCTTTACATGTGTCACTATGATGACCAACTCTGGATACGCTTCAACTGCGCAAGGCCGTCCGCGATCATCGATCAGCTCTATCAGAGTCTAGTCAACATATGCCATTGTTTGCTGTCTGTCAACTAACTTTCTAACGATGACGCCAGGCTGTTACGAATCTTGATCAGTTCAAACGATCGCACGCTCTGGTCTGGAATCCCGCCGCACATGAATTTTGCTCCGTTGATCAAGACTTTTGACGACAATAACATTGTTGTACTCTGCCTCGAAGCTGTGTCAGCATCAGACTCCGAACTATGAAAGCCCTCGTACCTGTCACAAGTACGCATAGTTTTTCGGGCTTAAATTCCGAGCCGCCTGAAGTTCCGAAAGTCCCAAATTCAGTATCACCCCATATGAATGCTGGTGACAACGGAAGACGAACTTGTTCAATTCTTGCCTGCAAGGCGTACTCGGCAGACATTCTTGCTCATCCGTCCATGGAATCGGTATGGTCTCGAGCCGGTCGACTTTGCAGATGAGTCACAGAGCGTGGACGATTAGCCTGATGAGCCTGGAGATGATGAGCTGGTTACCAGAGGGTTGAGGTCGCTCGTTCGCCTTGCTAGCGCAATAGCGTGGCGGGGAGTATAAGAGAATTGCTTCGAATAACGATATCATCGCGCAAGTCAGGGATACAGCATCTGCTGATAACATGATGGATATCAGGACGCTGGAGATATTGTAGCTGCGAGGAACGGGTCATTTTCATTTTATACCTTTACAACACCTCCGCATGAACAGTATCCCTGGAATTTTGTATGGTACCGGTCTCGATATCGTATCATATTTTGTCTTGTACACAAACAAGCTTACACCCAAATCAGACGTCCTAGGGAAGATGAGAAAGTTCCGGCGCAAGCGCTTTCTAGAACTGCGCTGTTTGCCCATCTAGAGGCTCATCTTCTCTTTCAATTTGTTAAGGGAGAACTTAGGAAAGAAGGAAAGGGTCCCATCTTGGATGTACTATCTGGTTCAACGGAAAAAAAAGATCGAACACAATGCTGGTAAGAAATGGCTCGCACGCTTCAGACGCACCCAAGTCAGTAGAATCAACGTAGTGTTTTTCTGGAACGATCATGTCAGACAAGGTTCACTTTCACAACAAAAAGATGTACCCTGGAGCTCGGAAAGCCTTGGAATTGTCAACTCAGATCTAGAAGAATGACAAGAGAATTAGAAAGCACATTAGCCTGTTGTTATTGACTTTCATGAGAGTGATTGGCCACCTCGGAATACCACATGTACCTTACGGAGTAGACACTTACACTGCACACTACGGAGAGATCAGTCACCCATTTTTGATGGACTGCGCGTTTCGGATGAGAACGGCAGACCAGTGAGGGATACCTCACATTTGCGAGTCCAGGGCCATCAATGAACACGTGAGGAAAGTAAAAGGCCATATATCACAATATATAGTACATAATCACAAGAATCAGCGTAATTCTGCTATCGACAATCACATTGTTATGTTTGGCCATATAGAGGAAAGAAGCTCCCCTGATTTGCTTACAAAATTTCATGATTGAGAAAAGGTCCTGATTTTACTCAAACTCGCAGTTGAAGTGAAGGCATGGCAGAAGTCGACACTTGAGCTAGATTAATCAATATTGCCATAACGAAAGGGAAGTTCACAACTATGAAGCATCAGGTAATTGACCCGAAAATATAAAGGTTTACAAAGCTTTGTCTACCCCTAAAATTTATATAATATTTATCAGAATGATACTACCCGGAGTAAGTCGGACAGAACTACCAAAAGCACAAGCATGACAGATTGCCTGCAACTAGCTACCATTTTATCACTGGTGCCAAATAATTCTCAATCTTAACACTCATTTTATGAACAAAATCAATTTATATTAAATTGGAATACATATGTAGTTACTAAACAAAAAAATAAACAGGGAAAGATAGCAGAAAGGGAATAGGCCAGAGAGGGACCACCATAAAGGCCAGGGAGGGACCAAGAGGAAGGGCTGGGGAGGAACCATGAGGAAGGGCCAGGGAGGGACTGTGAGGGAAGGGCAAGGAGGGACCACCATGAAGGGCCAGGGAGGGACCACAAGGAAAAGCCAGGGGGTGACTACCATGAGGGGCCAGGGAGGAACCACAAGGAAAGGCCAGGAAGAGCTCAAGAGGGTGGTGGTGGTAGCAGTGAAACAAAGTTGAAAGGAACTTGCATGAAATTTTTCAAACAGCCTACCTAAGCATCCTGTAAGCTCTGCTCAACTGGACAATGAAATTATGCAAGCAGTGGGAGTCATCTCCATGAGAAGCTCACTGATGAGTTTGATACTGCTGAAAAGTCAAAGTTCAAGAGCACCATCAACAAAACCAGGGATAGTATTATTTTGTAGTTAATAATACATGCATACTAGTCTTGTGGGTAGCTTGTTGGAATTTGAATCACTGTTAAGAACCATGTTGCTCAAGGGGAAGAGAGACTGACTCAGAGGGGCTTGGCCTCAGCTCATATGCTGTGCCCCTTACCCGAGTATGTGCCCTTCATTTCATATGAGGTCCGATGATGGTCTGACAAAGTCCGGAGGACTTCTGGAGGCTGGCTACTCTGCTGGAGAGCGCTAGAGGACTTCCAGAGGAGTGCAGGAAACATCCAGAGGAGCATGGGAGAGTTCCGGAGGAACACAGGAAGTGCTCAGGAGAGTTCCCACTGCAAGGTAATACTTCTGCAGGAAACAGGATGGAAGGATAGGAGGTCCGAAGGTCTGGAGGACAGGAGGACAGGATGACGGAGGACAGAGGGACAGGATGTCCGGAGGTACGAAGGACAGGATGTCCAAAGGTACAGTGGGCAGGATGTCCAAAGGACAGGAGGATAGGATGTCTGAGGGTTAGGAGGATGGAACGTCTGAAGGTACGGAGGGCAGAACATCCGAAGGACAGGATGCCTGGAGGTACGAGGGACAGGAGGTCCGGAGGTCCGGAAGGAATAGGGGCTACATTGGACTCTGTCCAATGTAGAAACAAACAGAGGTAGACTACCCTAAGGTAGAGTTGGAGAGACAGGGATTGGACCTAAGTCTGGAAAGAGGGTAAGTGCCGGAAAGGCAGAGCTCTGGCCTAGGGAATCAATCCCTAGGCCTGATGGGTAGGACAGACTTAGGTGGACCAAAGTCTGAGAGAGGATTGGGCAAGTCTAAGTTGATATTCAAACTAAGGAACTACAGGAGTATCTACAGGGGTTATATACTGAACAATATCTGAGGGGATCAGTAAGCAAAGGAGCAAGGCTATGTATGAGCATGTGGAAACACATTAGTAAGTAAGTCGGAACATAAGTAAATGAACTTGGAGATGAGGACTCATACAAGGATCAATAAGCAAGATGGAACAAGAGGTAACCAAAAGCCGGAAGGCAGAGAATGCCTAAATGGGGATAGGCGCAGGATATCAGACAGAGGGTGGGAATAGGTCCAGTGTTAATATCCAGAGGTCTGGAGATCTGGGGATCTGGAAGACAAGGTGGATACAGGACTGGAATACAAGAAGGTGGATATAGTCTGGAATCCAAGATGAGGTGAAGTCTGGATGTCTTGCTGGATGGAGTGCACATAGGGTGGACAGGATAGGGTGGTACAGATCAGGCTAGCAGTGAGGATCCGGAGGTCTGGAGCTCAGGGGTAAATCCGGAGCATAGTCAATCCTGCTGAGGTGTGGAGTACACAGCAGAAGGGGATCTGGGAATGAGTCAGATATGTGGTCCAGATGTAGGCTTGGAAGGCGTGGGAATATGATGGAATGTGGGTCCAGATTGTGGGATATGACAATCACTCATAGCTAGTAGTGGGGGTGGGCAACGCAGATGAACAACATGTGAGAATCTCACTGTGGCTGAAGGAAATGTGGCAATTTGAGTGACCCACTAGCACCTGCTGGGAGAAGCTCATAAAATTAGCTACAACAAACAGTAAACAGTAGATCTGTCATATCCCATATGCCAGACATAGATCCCATCATATTCCTGCGCTTTCCGGACCTATTTCCGGACCCCATATCTGACTCATTCCTGGATCCCCTATCCTGTCCACCCTACGCACATTTTGTCCAGCAAGACATCCGGACTTTACCTCCTCTCAGATTCTGGACTACATCCACCACCTCACATATCTCAGTCCTGTTTCCGCCCTGCCTTCCGGATCCCCAGATCTCTGGACCTCCGGATATTAACTGTACTATCTCCGGACCTATTCCCACCCTCCGTCCGAGATCCTGCGCCTATCCCCATTTAGGCATCTCTGCCTTTCCAGTTCTCAGTTATCTCTGTTTCTGTCTTGCTGATTGATCCTTGTACTAGTTTCATCTCTGAGTTCATTTACTTATGTTCTGTCTTACTTACCAATGTGTTTCCGCATGCTTGTACATAGCCTTACTCCTTTGCTTACTGATCCTCTCAGATAGCCTCTAGTATATAACCCCTGTACAACTACAGTAGAGTCCTCAGTCGCAATATCATCTTAGATCCTGTTCATCACCTTAGACTTGCCCAACCTTCTTCTGGACTTCAGTCCATCTGAGTTTGTCCTTTTCCATAAGGCATAGGGATGGATTCCCTAGGCTGGAATTCTGGACCTTCGGATTTGTCCCCTATGTCTCTGTCCCAAGTCTAGGGATTGCTTCCCTAGGTTAGAGTCTTGCCTTTCTGGCACTTACCCTCTTTCCGGACTTAGGTCCACTTCCTGTCCCTCCAACTCTACCTTAGGGTAGTCTACCTCTGTTTGCTTCTACATTGAACTTTGTCCGATGTAGCCCCTATTCCTTCTGGACCTCCGGACCTCCTGTCCCTCATACCTCCAGGCATCCTGTCCTTTGGACGTTCCGCCCTCTGTACTCCAGACCTCTGGACATCCTGTCCTCCAGACCTCCTATCCTTCCATCCTGTTTTCCTGTAGAAGTATTACCTTGCAGCAGGAACTCTCCCACGCTCCTCTGGATGTTTCCTGTGCTCCTCTGGAAGTCCTCCCACACTCTCCACCAGAGTAGCCAGCCTCCGGAAGTCCTCCGGACTTTGTCGGACCATCATCGGACTTCCTCTGAAATGAAGGGCACATACTCGGGTAAGGGGCACAGCATACGAGCTGAGGCCAAGCCCCTCTGAGTCAGTCTCTCTCTCCTTTGAGCATGGTTCTTAACAGCGAGCCACACCAGTGAAACCCAGGTTGAGGGTTGGACAGAGACCATCTCAGACATCTCCACTGTCTTCAACAATAGTCCTCTTGCTTACTGTTCACATGAGATACTTGACCTCACAGGCTTTCTCCGCAAACTCAAGGGCATGAATGGTGACCATGCCAGTGATGTCAAGAAAACCAGGCGTCTCATTGAGCAGTGGAAGCATGAGAGCATTCGTATTTCGCTTGGACATGAAGCCATCATTGAAATGTCATCTGAAGACTTAAAGCCACTTCTTGATGATGCCAAAAGTTCGAAGGTTGCCAAGCTTGGTGGTCACAACTCCTGGATTTCATTATCAGCTGAAGACCATCAGTGGCACTGGAGTCAGATCATGGACATGCTCGCATTGTGGTTAGGTACAGAGTGCTTTGACCAGCTTCCTGCAGAAATTCAGCGAGAGCACGACCTCTTCTTTTTTGGTGGCTGTTCAATGCACAAGGAACTCAACACCGTGAAGGGTGGTAATACTGCCATGATGGCAGTCTGGGATTCAAAAGAGAGTTCTGATAGGCCCGTTCTCCTCGCAAATAAGGACAATGATGCAACAATTCGCCTGTCATCGTTATCAGATGGTTCATCGGCTGCAGTTGAGTGCACACTCAAGCTAACAAAACACGGAGCAGCCAAGCTGATTGAGATTGTGGGCAATATACTGAACCACAAGGACAACAAGAAGGGACTTCAGGACTTTCACCATCTCATGATGGAAGAGTTGACTGACAGTGCTTGTTCTTCATTCCCTGACACCAGCAACACCAGGTACCAAACATATGGTGCAGCTGTGTGTCACATCATCAAATTTTGGCCCCAGTACATCGAACTACTCAAGCTTGCACATATTTCCAAGGAGAATGAGACATTCAACCATATGGAGAAGAATCTTTATGCTGGCCTTCATTGCTGGAGAACTTGCTTGGAATGTTTTTGTTTTGCCCTCAATGACCAAGCAATTTCACAGCCATATGCTTGATGTGTTCGTGGGCCAGGGACTGCCAATCTCAACATTCTGGATCTTGGACCTCTCCATGATGATGTTAAAATACATCTCCAAGCTCTTGTTGATAATCTTGACCTTCTCTTGTTGCGTGAATCCAGTCATGAGCTTGGTGCACTCTGGGGGGAGCCTTGGGAGGATCCGACCACCATCACTGCCTGTCTCAATCTTTATGACAGCCTTACCTTGGAGCAGCAGGACCTTGCAGAAGAGCTTCTTTGTGCATTTTTCAAGGGTGAACTCAAAACCTATGAATGATTTATGCTCAAGTTTGCACCTGGTGGTCTGGTTGCGACATCAACACAAGCTGAAAGGGGTGCAGCTCACATGCCTGCCACGAATGATGCTAATGAAGGTATAGAAACTTAATCAAAAGTTGTTTGCTTATTAGGAACTGTCCTAGGTGCACTGGGCTCTTGGCGTTTGGAAGCTTGTTGTAATGCGAAGGGCTCTGATGATCTTTTTTCTGATCAGCTGATGTTCAGCTGCAATAACACACAGGCCTTCATGGATGCACACTTTACAACTGACGACCATAAATACATGATGCTTCTAGCATGGAAGAAGGAGAAGAGTGGATTGGCAAAGAAAAAATGGAAGATTCTTGTTGCCCATGCACGAGTGGTCACAAGAAAGAAGAAGCAGAAGGCTGTTGAGAGGGCATCAAAGAAGGCACACATCACAGAGACACTCAATGCTACACAGATTGTCTTTGATTCGGTCGTTATTGAAAAAATGAACATTCGAATGCTTGATGCACAACTTGACAAGCTGAAGGCTCTCAGTGTCCCAGACATCAAGCCAAAGTCTCAGTGCATGGTGTACAGGCTGTCAAACTCCAATCTCTCATGGCAGGCACTCACATCTTACTTCAACATGCTGTTGCAAACTCCAGTGGAGCCAATTTCGCCTCAAAACCCAGAGGGCACCACAGATACCCACAGAGATGAGCTTATTGAGTCCTATGGGGAGGAAGACGATATGGACTTTGATGATGAGTAGTATGATTCCACACATTCTCATTGATTTTTCACTGCTGCGCATGCTCATTGTCATTCCTTCAACATTGTCTTACTCAATATTTGCATTATCACCACAAAGATAAAAAATGATGCTACAAAATTTTGTAGAGGTATTCTACAGCATATAATATACATCCTCGAACACACTGTTCATTGATTTGCTATTGCGTTCTTGCACAATGGTGGCGGGTCACCCAAGAGTTGATGATTCTGAAGTATGCACATTATGTAAGCGTCATGGTAGCTACATCCAGGTTGCCCACCCCCACTAGTAGTGTGCTTACTGAATCTGAAGTCAGCAGAACGCTAGTTGTAGTACCTTACTGACTTTCGACGATAGCAGGATTTTAACATAGCTTTCCATTAAAATGCCTTGGATAGCTTTGGAACTGAAACTATACATGATATAAAATGAGAATAGGCTTGTAAGTTGAAGCTGTGGGACTACTGTGCCCCTTTTGTTGTGTTGTCACCATACCTCAACCATGTCTTTTAGTCATGTGGTCTGAACATTTGCCAGTCATTGTGAAAGTGGCTTTCCATTACAATGCCTTAGATAGCCTTGGAACTGAAAATATATAAGACAAAATGAGAATGGGCTTGAAGCATCAGTAAAACACTGTTTTTCCCACCACCAAAAAATGGCTGGCCACAGCTTGGTCCCTTCTGTACAGAGCTGTACAGAGCCAGTAGAGGCAAAGTGATTTGCTGATGAGGGTGAGGGCACTGCACTACCATGTCTTGTCTACTATGATGTTGCTATACCTTGTCATATCCGCATATCTGGATCTCAGATCCGACCCTTATCTCATCTCAGATCCACATCTTATCTCCGATCCTATCCATATCTTATCTCCCTCCAACATCTCGTCATTCAATCTGTCCACTTGTCCAGTCTGGTCCACAACTCATCCAAATCCACAACCAGTGCTCGTCTCCTTTCAGTAACCCCCTAACTCTGGTACTTCAATTATCTGTATATCTGTCCTGCTCCCTGATCTGTTACCTATGTTTCATTTCCGTTTCATGATTTGTGATCCATTTCTACTTACCAATAGACCATCCATATGCTTCATACATAGCCTTGGACTCTGCTGATTGATCATTCCGTTAGATACCTATAGTATATAACCTCCTGTAACTTTCTGTAGTACCTCAGTTCAAATATCATCTTAGTTCTACTCATTCCCATCCTCTGGACTTGAGTATCTCTACTCTTGTCACCCTCTGAGACTTAGGATTGATTCCTATAGTCTATCCGTATCCGCCTCTGTCTCCAACAGTCCATTACTGTTAGTTTCTAGTCTGGACTCGTCTGGATTAGCCCTATGATACCTATCCCGCATCCAGAAGTCATCTGGATCTGTTACAATACTTGTCCAACCTTCTGGACGCATTAGTCTTGCCTTCCTGAAATAAGGGGCAATACTTGGGTAAGGGGCACAGTGCATGAGCTGAGGCTGAAGCCCTTCAGATCCAGTTATCCCTTGAGTATGACCTTAACATACCTCAACCTTGTCATTAATGCCTCTTCAAAGTGCAGATTTACAGGGATCAATGGTCATGTATGAACAACACAAATTTATTCTAGAATACATGGATATATTTGGCAAAAGCATAATTGTATCAGTCTATAGGTCTCATGACTACCATATCACAGACTCATGAATTCATTGATGGGTGTTGCAGAGGCACTGGCACCCCATAAGTACTGTATGACATAGGGTATGCTGTCCAATTAATGAACAGAAGTCAAAATCAAAATCAAAATACCACCTGTATTTGAGGGTGAACAATGTAACTCTGAGGCAGGCCTTAAAAGAACAGAAAACTTTGTGCCACTGCAACAACTTCCTCCTACATCTGAAAGGGGATTTCTTTCCAGTACAAAAAATGCAAAAATCAACCACCAGTCCCTCAGCTGCCATGTACTTGACAGACAATGACTGTGTTGCCAGTCAACACAACATCATAAAACAAATGGCCACCCCCACCCACACATTACATTGTGGCAGGCATGGGTGTCCAGTCGTTTTTGTCTATGATGATGGCACTGACTGGCCCACAGTCAGCTGCCTCATTGATGAGCACTACCCCATGTGCACAGGTGGCTTCTATGAGCTTGCCCTTTCATACCCCCTTCCAACACCCACAGTATGCCAAACATGCTGAGCCCTCCACAGCTCGCGCCTGAGAGCTTGGGTCTGATGATGGTCACTGTGATGATGAAGTCATTGCAGGCCCCAGCAAGCAGAGAAAAAAGGAGGGTGGAGGGTGAGCAGAAAGAAGACCTGGAGAACAATGAATACACTGAGGATGTACAACCTACATCTGTCTGGTGCTGCAGGGGCTGGCCAATGTAAGAAGGCCATTAGCCTAGACAAGTGCTCCAGGTACTATCCTGGATTATGGGTCAAGCACCAGGGGAAGTGCCCAGGTATCCTCAAGATGGAGGTGAGCTAATTTCTCCTATGAATGGAATGAATAGCCAGCTGAATTTTACAGAAAGATAAACCCACTTTGAGAAGAGACTGTATTTCTTCATCAAATTTAGAATCAGCTGCCAGCTCATTTGATACCAGTGATGAAGATTGAGAGGGGGAAAGAAGACAGGGTGATGAGATTCAGCAGTAAGTCAGTCTGCAATGGGAGTAAACACTATGACTCACCAATGATTGTGAACTCTAGTGTTGAATGTGTGCCTTTGTAAGGCCTGCTGGGAAAGGGAAGCAAGACAATTGGCATACTAGTACACCACTACAAGGGATGGAGAAAGGGTCAAGTGAGGTTGGATCTTATATACTGTGGGTGTGTCAAACAAGAAAATTCAGAACAAGTTTATCAACCCTTTGCTTTGTTCACTTACTAGTGACTATGTCATATCCCACAATCCAGACCCACATTCCATCATATTCCCATGCCTTCTGAGCCTACATCCAGATCACACTTCATATCCAACTCATTCCCAGATCCCCTTCTGCTGTGTGCTCCACACCTCAGCAGGATCGACTACACTCCAGATTTACCCCTGAGCTCCGAACCATTGGATCTCCACTGCTAGCCTGAACCATAACCCCCTGTCCCATCCACCCTATGTACACTCCATCTAGCAAGACATCTGGACTTCACCTCGTCTTGGATTCCAGACTCTATCCACCTTCTCATATCCCAGTCCTGTATCCACCTTGTCTTCCAGATCCCCAGATCTCCGGACCCCTGGATATTAACTCCGGACCTATTCCCACCCTCTGTCCGATATCCTGCACCTATCCCCATTTAGGCATTCTCTGCTTTCCAGCTTTCAGTTACCTCTTCTTCCGTCTTGCTTATTGATCCTTGTACAAGTCTTCATCTCTGAGTTCATTTAGTTATGTTCTGTCTTACTTACTAATGTGTTTCCACATGCTCATACATAGCCTTGCTCCTTTGCTTACTGATCCCCTCAGATAGTCTCCAGTATATAACCCCTGTAGATACTCCTGTGGTTTCCTTAGTTTGAATATTAACTTAGACTTGCCCAATCCTTTCTCAGACTTTGGTCCACCTAAGTCTGTCCTACCCATCAGGCCTAGGGATTAATTCCCTAGGCCAGAGCTTTGCCTTTCTGGCACTTACCCTCTTTCCAGACTTAGGTCCAATCCCTGTTCTCTCTGACTCTACCTTAGGGTAGTCTACCTCTGTTTGCTTCTACATCGGACTTCATCTGATGTAGCCCCTATTCCTTCTGGACCTCCAGACCTCCTGTCCCTCATACCTCTGGGCATCCTGTCCTCCGTACCTCTGGACATCCTGTCCTCCATACCTCCAGACATCCTGTCCTCAATACCTCCAGACATCTGTACCTCTAGACATCCTGTCCTCCTGTCCTCCTATCCTTCCATCCTGTTTCCTGTAGAAGTATTACCTTGCAGTGGGAACTCTCCTGAGCACTTCCTGTGCTCCTCCAGAAGTCCTCTAGCGCTCTCCAGCAGAGTAGCCAGCCTCCGGAAGTCCTCTGGACTTTGTCAGACCATCATTGGACTTCCTCTGAAATGAAGGGCACATACTTGGGTAAGGGGCACAGTGTACGAGCTGAGGCCAAGCCCCTCTGAGTTAGTCTCTCTCCCCCTTGAGCAACATGGTTCTTAACAGACTAGCACTGGATGTTCATGTCTCTTTGTTGGAAAAAAATATTGGATTTCATTCTAAATACAATCTCCTTCCTATATTCTGCTGGATTTGAGGGATGAAAGCACTAGAAGTGTGGAAGATAACAATCCTTTGTATGCAATCAAGCTCAAGCACCATATTATTGGGGAGGGGCAACGCTCAGCAAAATTTAAGGTCCAACTGTGATTACCTCTTACAGTGTAGCGCCATAACAGATGGTTAAGAAATGTATTGTCTGCTGTAGAACGACAACACAATTTTGAGACAAGGATTATAGTGAGAGATGTGCATGAATTTACTAGTTAATGGTATTCTAGGAAACAGAATTTTAAAAAATGCGCTTCTGATATGTCACACTCTCAATAGAAATGTTTGCACAGTGAAATTTTCATTCAACTTTACCTACAATACAACTAGTGAGTAATTCAGCTGTCATCCCAGTGGTCATCTCCTTTGCCATGTGCTGTCATAAGAGGCTGGTGTAAAGTCTTTGAATGCATGGAAAACATGATTGGTAAGCACAATTGACATGATGTGACGCATTACATTGCATACTGTAAGTCATCTCGCAGGCTGGTCATGTCAAAATACTCCAAACACAGTCACTGGAAACCCTCTAAAAACACTCTGTATCTCAGCAACAAGTCACTGCACGACTAAAGGCCCACACAACTCACTAGCACACACAAAATAAGGAGAATATTGCTCCTTTAGCCACAGCTACTTCTTCAGTACTAGTCATGAGGCTTGAGCAAGAGAAGAAGTGCAAGATTACATACCAGACATGCTATAGGAACAAAAAGCAATGCCACAAACACATAAAAACCTGTACCAACAAACTCCAGTCAAGTTTCAATGATGCACAAGTATCTGCAACTAAGGCATCCTTGCAAGTACAGACAACTCAACTCAAATTGCTCTCATCACTGCAGAGCATGAGTTGAGGTACTTGCAAGAATGCAATGAGGTGCTCACCAGGTGCAATCATACTCTTGCTATGCATGCTTCTTGTGCCCCTCTTCAGAAAGCACAGGCTGTGAATAAGGCACTTGCATGCACTGCAGTACAAGCAGAGCAGAGGGATACCTTTTCCATGAAGGAGAAGAATGTGATTATGGACGAGGTCCATGACATGGTTCACAAGCTTGTGGCAAAACATGATGTACCAGTGTCGAGTGTCTGAGACATCATTAGCACTGTTGCCAACTGTCTTGGAATGGTTGTCAAAGGTGACATTAGCACACGCAGTATTTGGCATGTATTCCAGGAGGCAGAGGTTGCAGCAGAGGTTCAGATGGTGGACAAAATTATGCAAGTTGATGGTAGGTAATTTTTGACTCATAGTTCATACCTCAGGCTAAAATAATTATGAAGGCATCACGTTAAGTGGCGATGGAACATCTCACAAGAATATCAATTACCAGTCCCATCATATCACATACACTGCCCATGATGGCACCGGGGTTACTTGCTTCGCTGGTGTTCAGCATGAGGTTAATCATACCAGCAAAACCCAGCTGCAAGGATGGAAGGACATGATACATGAGATGTGTACCATGTACAATGAATGTATGGTTGGTGCCACAGCAGGCATTGCAGACCCAAGGGAGCTTGTCACGAAGGTGAAGGGCACATTGATAGATCATGCTGAGGATCAGAAAAAACTCATCTGCCTCTTCAGAGAATGGAAAGAAGTGTGAGAGAGAGAAGTGCAAGGTGAATGAGTGCTGGCCACTTTACCCCCTGATGATGTCATTGCCCTGTTATGGCAGACTATGGAAGGGGCTATTGCAGCTGCAGGAGGAATTGAAGGGTGGGAAGCACTGCCTACCAAAGAGTGAGATTGACGCTCATCTAAAGCTCACCATTAGCTTCACATGGAGATTGGCCAGGAGCAATTTTCTGCCCTTACCCTACCTGAAAAGGAGTCTGTAGATTTCTTTGTATGGGCAGGATGCTGCATGCACAAGGACCTGAATGCTGTCAAGGGTGGAAATACTCACATGCAAGCTTGGTAGGGACGTGATGGTGTTGATGGGCTGGTTCTGTTGATGAACCATGATAATGTGGCAGCCACATTAGGAGGGCCCTCCACTGCACAGGCACATGCAGTGTATGTTTCCCAAGGGGGAGCTGCAAAAGCACTCACACTCACAGGTTCTGTCTTCTGTCATAAAGATGACAAGAAGGGTCAACAAGATTCTCTTCGATTTTTCCTTGAGGCACAACTTGATTACTTCTCGCCTTGGCCCAACACAAGCAACACCTACTACCACAGTAATTGTGATGGAGCCAGTGAGTGGCTTGTCCATGAAAACTTGTATGTTGTCTACCCCAAGATCATCATGGACAGGAAGGATGCTTGCACACACACAAACATCGAACAAAATGTCTATTATGCTTTCAAATGTGACAAAATGAAGCAGGAGATAGTATGTTTCAGCATGTGGGGACAGTGTATCAGCCACCCATATTTTCACACTGTCTGTAACTCCTCAGGAAACATCCTTGACCTCAGTCCCCTCCACTATCAGCTCATCACCCACATCAAAAAGCTTATCGCCAACATCAAGCTTGTCTTTGGAACTGATGCCACTTATGAGACTGCCACATTTGATGGAAAACCATTTGAGTGGCTGGAATCATTTTGCATCATTCAGCAGATTGCCCAGGACAATACAAAATACCCTCACCTTTGTTCTTTTTTGTTGCTTTCCTTGAAGGAGTGCTCGAAACTTTTATCCACTTCTGCCACAAGTTTGCCACCAACAGTATAATTGCACATATGTCACCGGAGGAATGCAAGCTAGCTCACATGAATACCATGAATCACATGAATACCATGAATAACATGAATGAGGGTGCATTGGGGTCCCTTCAAGTTTCAATGTGATGTGCACCTCAAATGTCCCTGGCCCACTTCAATGCCTGCCTAAAATACAAGAAGAATCAGACAGGAACATACATGAAAATGGTGCTTGATCCAGGTGCATGCAGATACCTGCACAAAAAGGCTTGTATCAATGACACTGCTGGAGCCGAGAAGAAATGACAACTTGCACAGGTGAAATATGATAAGTGGGTATACAATGAAACCACAAGACTGATGCAAAGAGGAAGAAGCATTGTGAAGCTTCATCAGCAAAACTTGCAGCTGTTGTACCTTGCATGATGCCAGATAAAATCATGAAGATGCACATCATTGAGGTGGACTTGCAGATTTGGTGGCATTGTCAATTTGATGCAGAAGTGCCTGCAGCCAAACACCTGAAAGGAAAAAGTGGGTCGGAAAAGAAGGCTATTTTGACAGCTGCCACAGCTAGGTATACTTGCAGTGTTGGACCCAAGATCCAGGACAAGAATGTGCTGCAGGAGGATGCAGAGTGCACCATGGGAGATTCTGATGATGAAGAGGGCCTGTAGTAGGGTTAATATGGACTTTCAACACTCATATAATACATATAATATCCTAATCACAGTCTTGATACTCATACATACCTATTTTGCTTCATATATCACTGTCTTGTATGCCTTTACCCTCCTATGATTGTGTTGACCATGTATTGGGATGATATTCACTTACATAATGTCACACTTTGTTTACAGTGGCTGCCCCTCCCCAATATTATGATGATCAACACCTAGATATTGATATCACCAGTTTTGAGTCCTCAGAAGGAACCAGCACCACTCTTTTCTTTGTCTTTGTGGTTTCCTATCAGACTGCACAATCTGCTCACTCCAATCTACAGTTTCCTCAGCCAGTGCCCATCATCCATTCCCATTATTTGTGGGTTAACATTGACATCGCATTTTGATTGTCTAGTTATCTATCTCAATACATGATAATGACATGGTCATTCAACAGCCTGCCTGTCAGCTAATGCTCGATTCTAGCCCAACTGCCATTTCTTAACCTCACAGCTTTTGCATTAAACTGAGGTGGATGATCAAGGAACTGTCATTTCAGGAATCAACCAACAGCAGTTAACTTTCTGTTCAATCTTGAACTTTTCACTGTCTGTACAGAGTGTATACTGTGTGTACAACATTCCTAATGATGATTACATTAATGTGGCCTTGTCCCATCCATCATCAATGTCATCCTCACCATTGTAATTAACAACCTCAACCTCATCTAGACCTTTGGAATTATTCCTTGCTCAACCTGATCCAACTTACCAAAATCAAAAGTATTTCCCTCCAGCACTTCAACTTCATCAATGCTTTCTTCCAATCTTTTTCAACTCTTCAAGAGTTGCAAATTTAGCAGCAACGTTGCCAGGTGAGATACTCTGGACCTGTAAGGTCATCTGCATCATGAGCTTGGTCAAGAGTTAAGGTGCCCACATGAAGGATACTTCAAGATGCTGTGCAATCTCTTCACAAATGTGCATGTGAGCATGTTGACAGCAAGTAGACTCCCCAGCCTTTGTGACTTTCAATATTCATGGTGTTGTGGTGTTGAAGGTTTGCACATTTTTTCTGTGTTTCAAATGTTTTGACTGAGGGATTACACCATCATGCAGGTTGTGCTGTGCAAAGATCAGTGAATGTGCACTCTACTTTGCCTGCATGTCCTATAACTGAGATGATCATCACAGCAAAGACCTTGAGTGGGTGAATTCCAGAATTGATTAGATGGTTCTTCTACCATGAAAGGCCATCTATTTGGCCACCAGCACCATCTTACTTTAGGGAGTCAATAGTCCATGTTTGTGCTCTATATTGAATTCAAATTATCTGTGTTATCATATCTAAATTATATCTCCACAAGGCCCAGATGCACTGGAGTTCTGCCAGACTCTGCCATCCCCTTAAACCTTAGTTCTGGGCCAGGCACAACCAGTTTTGCTAGCAACACTACCAGCAGTGGCAGGAGTCAGTCAGGAAATGGCTACATTAAGCGTAAAGGCACTGGCTTCATACAGCTGGCTATTGCTGACAACCGCAATGTTTGTGGAAGCACTCCTACCATTTGGTCATATAAATTTCACATCATGGGTTATGGTCATGAAACTCAAAGTGTGGGTAATGCAAGATTGTTACTGTGAAGACCCCATGCAGACTGCACAGGGAGTCGGGCTATGCTAGAACAGAGCAGAGAGATGCTGGTATGTATGATAATGTATCATTTGACTTATGACTTCTTGTGAGTGACAACTGACTTCAGAACATCTAGAGTTTTCCAGAGTATGATGATAACCAGTGATATGATGTATTTGATGACCTGCCCCTCCCTTGTTGGACCTAGGTCTGAGCCACTGCTACTAGCAAACAGCCATACTAGGTTATTGATATGTGATCGCCAAGGATCACCAGAAAACAACCATATATCATCAATTGCATCCATCAGTACATCCAACAGTCAACCTTGACTCAGCCACGCCTGTTGCCACTGGCACCAGTGCCATTAACATTATGCACACATGATTGATGACCCACAATCATTGGGGTGGGTGATGCATTATGGTTGGCAGAAACCATTTGCCCGAATGTGTTAAGGTCGTACTCAAGGGATAACTGGATCCAAAGGGCTTTGACCTCAGCTCATGTGCTGTGCCCCTTACCTGAGTATTGCCCCTTATTTCAGGAAGGCAAGACTAATCCGTCCAGAAGGTTGGACGAGTAGCATAGCGGATCTGGATGACTTCCGGATGAGGGATAAGTATCATAGGGCTAATCCGGATGAGTCCAGACTAGAAACTAACAGTAATGGACTGTCGGAGACAGAGGCGGATACAGATAGACTATAGGAATCAATCCTAAGTCTCAGAGGGTGACGAGAGTAGAGATACTCAGGTCTGGAGGACAGGAATGAGTAGAACTAAGATGATATTTGAACTGAGGTACTACAGAGAGTTACAGGAGGTTATATACTATAGGTATCTAATGGAATGATCAATCAGCAGAGTCCAAGGCTATGTACGAAGCATATGGATGGTCTATTGGTAAGTAGAAATGGATCACAAATAATAAAACAGAGATGAAGCATAGGTAACAGATCAGGGAGCAGGACAGATATACAGATAACTGAAATACCAGAGTTAGGGGATTACTGAAAGGAGACAAGCACTGGTTGTGGATTCAGATGAATTGTGGACCAGTGGGCAGATTGGATGACAAGATGTTGGAGGGAGATAAGATGTGGATAGGATCAGAGATAAGTTGTGGATTGGATCTGAGATGAGATAAGGTTTGGATCTGAGATCTGGGTATGCGGATATGACAGAATGAGTTTAAGGTACTCCACTTACACTGTGGGCATTTACTCATTTTCCTCCAAAGAACATCCAAAAAACATTGAATTAGAAGATAGAAAATTCCCTGTATTTTACCTGTGAAAACATTGAAAAAATTGATGTATCAAAGATTTTCTGTACATAGAACATGATTCAAAAATTAGTCATTTTTTCTCAAGGAAAATGCTAAATTTTTCATTTATTATCTTTCAAATAATAGCTTACAACAATGTTATTTTTTTTTCTGTGTTTTTCAAATGTTCTGTGCATCAAAAGTCTTAATTACTTTATCCAGTTCACTACATGTTTGATCCAAGAACATTAAGAAAAAAGATAACAAAAAATACAAATTATTTTTTGAATGTTTTGTTGAGGAAAAGCAAAGAAACTCTCAAAAGTTCCATTTCATATTTGGTAAGAGGAAATTTGTGAAACATTTTCCATGTTTTGTAAGAAAAAATAAATAATGTTTGTAGTATATTCCTCCTGGACAACACTTGTAAAAAATTTATTATGTTCAGAGAAAAAAAATGAAACATGATTGCAGGATACTCCTCCTCAGAACATGAATGAATTATACATTTTATTCTGCACCATAAAATACAATATGTTCTGTGAGATATCATTGAGAGAAGAGGTGCTGATAAGATGGCAGGTAAATAAGAGGTGCCCACCAGGCCACTACTAAGTTCAAGTGCGCTTCCTAAGGCTTGAGAGTGGATACTCTTAGTAAGGGTGGCAATCAATAAGGGAATCAAAGATAATAGATGAGAGTAGCTGAAAGTGCTTTGGTGCATTCAAGTGTGAGTGAGACAAACTCAAGTGGATTCAGATGATAACTGCTGCTATGGACTGCAATGGTCATGGAATGGAAGTAAGTATTGAAAACCAACCAATAATGTGTAAGTATTGCTAAGCACTTTCCCATGGTGTGGAGCCAAGCAAGTGAGTATGTATCATATGTAAGGGCACATAAGTAAGGGTCCATGACACAAGGAATGTCATACAACATGGAAGTATTGTTAGGATAACACTGGTAAGAGGAAATACACACCAATGGACTGGGAAGAACATGGACAGGACATTCAAAGGACATGTGATGGGATCCAGTGTGTAAGCACATGTGACTGCTGGTACTTGTACCCTGTGCTTGGCCATAGTGCTAAGGCAGCTGTCCTGCACTGCGCTGTAAGTGCAGCTCACTGTGGCTAGTGAAGGCATTGAGAGAGGAAGTGAGATTATGCTCATTATGCACCTGTAGAGACATGAGTCTCTATACCACACCCATGATGCTCTGACCCAGGTGGGTATGGGTAGGCCTCTGAAAATGTTGGTACCCACAGGTCAACCCATACCCTAGTCTAATGCAATAATTTGGGTTATGCCTCTCATTTACTCTTCCAAGTTGCTCTTCCTCATCAACCATTCTTGTGACATCCAACACTTGCCTGATGAAGAGAACCTCTACTGAAAATTTTTAGGTTCAGTTTGGGTTTGGACCAGAAAAAAAAAACCAGACCATGAGAGAGGTAGTAGTTTTTAAGTACTGTGATGAGGGTGGGCTGTTTATTATATATGGCAGCAGCAGAATTAGAACTTCTATTGAACATTGCAAGTGTCATATCCCATATGCCAGACATAGATCCCATCATATTCCCACGCTTTCTGGACCTGTTTCCGGACCCCATATCTGACTCATTCCTGGATCCCCTATTCTGTCCAGCAAGACTTCCAGACTTTACCTCCTCTCAGATTCCGGACTACATCCACCACCTCACATATCTCAGTCTTGTTTCCGCCCTGCCTTCTGGATCCCCAGATCTCCGGACCTCCGGATATTAACTGTTACTATCCCTGGACCTATTCCCGCCCTCTATCCGAGATCCTGTGCCTATCCCCATTTAGGCATCTCCGCCTTTCTGGTTCTCGGTTATCTCTGTTTCCATCTTGCTGATTGATCCTTGTACTAGTTTCATCTCCGAGTTCATTTACTTATGTTCCGTCTTACTTACCAATGCGTTTCCACATGCTTGTACATAGCCTTACTCCTTTGCTTACTGATCCTCTCAGATAGCCTCTAGTATATAACCCCTGTACAACTACAGTAGAGTCCTCAGTCTGAATATCATCTTAGTTCCTGTTCATCATCTTAGATCCTGTTCTACTTCCCAATCATCTTCCGGACTTCAGTCCGTCTGAGTCTCATCCTTTTCCATAAGGCCTAGGGAAGGATTCCCTAGGCTGGAATTCTGGACCTTCGGATTCAACCCCTATGTCTCTGTCCCAAGTCCAGGGATTGCTTCCCTAGGCTGGAGTCTTGCCTTTCCGGCACTTACCCTCTTTCCAGACTTAGGTCCACTTCCTGTCCCTCCAACTCTACCTTAGGGTAGTCTACCTCCGTTTGCTTCTACATCAGATGAAGTCCGATGTAGCCCCTATTCCTTCCAGACCTCCGGACCTCCTGTCTTCCGTACCTCTGGACCTCCTGTCCCTCATACCTCCAGGCATCCTGTCCTTCGGACATTCCGCCCTCCATACCTTCAGACATTCCACCCTCTGTACCTTTGGACATTCTGCCCTCCGGACCTTTGGACATTCTGTCCTCCATACCTCCAGACCTCCTATCCTTTCATCCTGTTTTCCTGTAGAAGTATTACCTTGCAGCAGGAACTCTCCTGAGCATTTCCTGCATTCCTCCAGAACTCTCCTGCGCTCTTCTGGACGTTTCCCGCACTCCTCTGGAAGTCCTCCTGCACTCTCCACCAGAGTAGCCAGCCTCCGGAAGTCCTCCAGACTTCATTGGACCATCATCAGACTTCCTCTGAAATGAAGGGCACATACTCGGGTAAGGGGCACAGCATACAAGCTGAGGCCAAGCCCCTCTGAGTCAGTCTCTCTCTCCTTTGAGCATGGTTCTTAACAGCAAGACAATGAGCAGCCAACTGCCTCATACATTTGGCATAGTGTGCCCTCCCAATCTACCCCAGGCCTGATACCTCATCACCCAACTGTATGCACCACCGACTTGATGTCTTCCTATATTAATTCTACTTTGCATGACCATGTTTTGTGTGCTCATTAATATTCTTGTTTCAAAAGTTTTCACTCCAGTGAATGCCTTCATTCTATATGCTTGAAAAAAAAATGCATATATCACAAATGCAAACACCAATCTAGATCCAATATGCATAATCAGTAGCAAATAGGGATCCACATGGGTATACCCTAGGGTGTCAGAGGTTTCACCCACACCCACACCCCAACAAGGGGTACAGGTTTTGCACCCAACCTAGACTTGTTGAGGGTCCACCCATGGGTCAGTAGTCAAAGAGACTGCTCCAGGTGCTGAGGCAAAGCAGTACATGAGTTGATTTGGCTGAGAGATGTGAGCAGACATGCAAGAGTAAGAGATGTTCACAGCTAAATAGTTGTTTGATGTCAACAGATGTGGCTGTTAGTAACTAGTTAGCTATTACAATGCAGAATAAAGCTTACCAGGGATTCACAGTGAGAACAGCTGAAAATGAGCAAGAATGAGTGCAAATGAGCACAAACAAGCACAAATGTTTGCAAGATATATCAAATGGACCAAAAACTGTTATGAACTAGGGTAGTTCTAACAACAGACAACCCGATAAGAGTCAGGACCTCTGCTGAGATTCTACATGAGATGATAAGTCAAGTGTTTGGTATAAGCTAAGTCAGAAGGAGTGCTTCTAACTTAAAGTATGGTTCAGACAACAAGAGATTGGAGGTCTCAAGCAAAGGATGTTTTAGGTAAAACCTAGTAAGATTAAAGTGCAGAACTAAAGTGTACAAGAGAATTATATATAGTGAACTACAAGTGCTTTAGGGCAGATGTGAGAACAGATATGAGTCAGAGATAAAGGACACATAAGCAATAGCAAGAATAGGTCATCTAGCAATGGCAACAGCAGTCATGATGTAATACAAGGTATGAGTCAGAGATGAGTCTAGTGGTGGCATCATGTGGCTTGTGACATAATACACAGTAAGAGAGAAAATGAATAGGGGTGTACATGATTGTAACAAAAACACTCATAATTCATGTAGATACATACATGAATCAATAGAATTTGCTAGATGCAGAACATACAAGGTGAGTGCAAAGGAGGTGCAAATAAATGTGAAAGAGGTGCAAGAGGGTGTGAGAAGACAGGCAGGTGCAAAGGATTGAGAGGTGTGAGATGCATGCATTTGAAGGAGTGACATGGTGATGTGCTGGAGTAGCTGCTCAACATGAAAAACAACAATATTATGTAGGATAGATTATCAGATTTGAGCACTGGGGAGCAAAATGCACAATACACACACCTTTGTAGCTTAGAGAATGATGCAATCCATCCCTTGTGCACCTAGACCATGCTCAACACCATCAACCTCCAGTAAAATGTTGGAGCTCATTTCAATCACCACACTGCTGCAAGACTTAAAACAAGTGAGTGGAATGTATGTCTTAATGATATCTCACAGAACATATTGTATTTTATGGTGCAGAATAAAATGTATAATTCATTCATGTTCTGAGGAGGAGTATCCTGCAATCATGTTTCATTTTTTTTCTCTGAACATAATAAATTTTTTACAAGTGTTGTCCAGGAGGAATATACTGCAAACATTATTTATTTTTTCTTACAAAACATGGAAAATGTTTCACAAATTTCTCTTACCAAATATGAAATGGAACTTTTGAGAGTTTCTTTGCTTTTCCTCAACAAAACATTCAAAAAATAATTTGTATTTTTTGTTATCTTTTTTCTTAATGTTCTTGGATCAAACATGTAGTGAACTGGATAAAGTAATTAAGACTTTTGATGCACAGAACATTTGAAAAACACAGAAAAAAAAATAACATTGTTGTAAGCTATTATTTGAAAGATAATAAATGAAAAATTTAGCATTTTCCTTGAGAAAAAATGACTAATTTTTGAATCATGTTCTATGTACAGAAAATCTTTGATACATCAATTTTTTTTTCAATGTTTTCACAGGTAAAATACAGGGAATTTTCTATCTTCTAATTCAATGTTTTTTGGATGTTCTTTGGAGGAAAATGAGTAAATGCCTGCAGTGTTAGCAAACCTGAGTCATCTTCGTTGCATTGAATCTCAGTTGCACTGTGTTTGTCAATACAACACCTCTCATTGTTTTTTGGTTTTTTGCTATATAGGACACCACTGAGGTCACAACTTTCACTCACTATCTGCAAAGCTGGTTTTGGCAGGAGAACACTGTTAGCATGTGGAGGTGTCATTAATGACCTCTTCTCAGGCCATGACTGTGGCTCAGCTATGGCACTGTTTGGCCTCATATCATTGATAGGTGCATTTCATGGTGCTTAACATTGACTCAAGTTTAGACATCTCATAAGGTCCTCCTGTCAGGCCCATTGTAGGAGGTGTCATCGCAGAGTCAGTATATGGCAAGTATGTTTGCTCATTGCTACAAGAATGATCATTGACAACTTGCAGCTTCTTTTGGGTGTATACCATGGTCCACTTCAGCATTTGAACCAGAGGTCTGGCATACCTGAATCAGCCTTGGGTGTCTATTTGTGTTCACAGTTAGCGCCAAACCTTTGGACAAGATATACATGTACATGGATCAAAATTACATTCTACCTTGACCATCTCAGCAGCACCTCTATATAGCTGGCTGCAAAATGGGGGAAAAGGCAAACCAGAGATGTGCATCACTGTTCTGATATTCAGCTCATTTTTTGTCCCAGTGGGACTATTGTGAGATTGATATTTTCTATTTTCTTTTACCTTCACACCCTGACTCCTAGTATATGGTTAGGATGGTTGGCCTGCCCAAGCCAAGGTCTATCAGGTAATCACTGGTACTGCTATCCTTAGATTCGGAAGCATGACAACACTGGGCGGTCCCCTCTATTTCAGCACTGTTGATGGTCAATCTCTTCCTCCCTATTCATCTATACCCATAGATGCATTTACCCCTGCTGTAAGCGCTATTGCAGCTGCTTCTTTGGCTCTCCATGCCTCATCCTGTTAGCATTTGCTGAATATAATCACCAGATGTTGTGTTCACTGCTTGGTTTCATATTCCCACTGTTTGAAGCACAAATGTTTGCAGTACTCAGCTACAGCAGAAGCAACTCACTGCTGGCAGGTCTTTCTGTTGTCCTTGGTATACCCTTCCCCACCTGGGTATACTATGCTGGGGAGCATATACATGTAAAAGGTGCTTGCACAATAAAAAAATTTCCAACATGTCAAACCCTCTAGATGATCCTAGATCATGGGAGGCCAGGTCAATCTTGTCTTGTGCAGAGCATATCACTCAGCTGGCGTTTGTTGGTATTCAACACAAGGAGGCCATAAATAGTGAATCCTGGCAGAAGGTAGGAGTATGTGATACACAGGTGCCAAACTTGTAATCAAAAACGAGGATATTCATGCCAAGTCCTTATGGAAAATCCACAACTAATTGCAGAGGACAAAGAGGTTGAGAATTATGCCAGTTCAGCAAAGCCCACCTGAAGATTTCTGTTATTGAATACTGTGTAAATGTTCTGCAGGAAAATGCCCCCAACAACCCAAAAGTCTAAAATGGATAAATGAAAAGGGGGACTTGGCTTGCATACATTGCACATGATATGAAGTACTCACCAACACTTGATGTCCAAGAAATACCTCCCATGCAGTCACTTGAACCATCACTCTCTGGGCCAAGATTGAATGTTTCCTCTGAAACATTGAAGCCATGCCCACCAAATGTGAGTGTGGGAGTGTATGACCCAATTGTGTCGCACAGAACTAGGGAATAAGTCAGTCACAGATTATCAACTGCAAAGGATCAGGCAAACTGGTATAATATGTTATTTCCCCTTGAGTACTGCTGCTTGAGCCTGGAATATCCTTGTAGTAAGCCTCTGCTGCATCATCACTCATGACAATATACATGGTCCCAGTAATGATAATAGATGCGCTGTTACTGGCAACTGTAGAGCCATTTCACAAAACCAACCACTTCTAGATTCACTTGCCAGTACCCTTCCTCGGTGACAGTCGTATAGGTCAAGGTGTCTTCAACATAGAGATTTGGGTTAGTCACTCCAATACAAAGCTTGCTCTCCCCAGATGTAGAAGAAAGTTTAACACTGAACATGCTTTCTGGAAGTACGCCACTGTCACTTGTTGTCTCAAAAACCAACTTTGCCCCAAGAGCAGATGATTGCTTGAAGGCAAAACTGATAAAACTGTCAGGCTGGAAAGCTGGATACACAAATTGGACAGAGTACAAAAAAGCAGGAATGTTTGGTTGGAAGCCTTAGCAACAAAAATCAGTCCTTGCAATGTAAGAAAGAGATATCACGCCACCTCATAGCCACCAAGGAATACATCATCACTATATGTATTTCCTACTACTTGACCTTCACCATATGAGAGCACAGAAATATTTCCTTCATCCTTGGCTGTGGAAGACTGGGCAGCATTATACATCTTGTGGCCTGCGCAATCAATGCAGAAGATGGACGGAAGGACTAACAAAAAAAAATAGCCTCAGATCAAGACAAACCTCTTGTCAAGCATATACACTTACAAAGATCCGTGCTTCCCAAGTCAATAGATACTTCAGATAAGGTTCAATGAGCAAAGGATGTTCATTCCATGCTGACAGTACGATTGTCTGACCATTGAATTTCTGTTTCAGCATGTCCCCATATCAATTTCGCCATACCACAGGTCAGCTCCCTGGTTGATAAGCAGAACAACACCATCATCACACTTTCTCATAGAAGACATCATCTTCCCACTCAAAGGATGAGCAGAACCAGTATTAGCTTCAAATGCAGAAAATGTCTGCCAATACTTGCTGGAAGATAGGAATTGCAAGTGATAAGTACGGTGGTTGGGGGCTATGAAGAAATCGGTTTGAGCTTACTTCAAAACATGAATGAACTGTGCATTAAGAGCACTCATGTCAACATGCCCAGCGATGTCAGCACTCTTGCGGGTAAGAGGAAATCGAATAACACCTTCACCATGGCCATCAGGCACAAGTAATGCCACAGCAACAGAGACAAGAACCAGCAGAGAGGCAAAGGGGGATGAGATCTTCATCTTGCACTGGGAGGCAAGGACGGGACAGTCAAAAAGAACATAGCTAATATTTTACAGCTGCATGTACATTGTTGATTATTGTTCTCTTTGTCCTTGAAAGTTTGAACCACTTCAACTCGGATCGCTCGCGCAGTGAATGCGGAGGATTCGTCAATTGAACGATCTATCAGCGCCATCCTGGCCCATCAATGACACTGACATACAATCAAGGTGTTATTTTCACCACTGCATGGCTTTAACTACTGACACGCAGCTACACAGAAGACCAACTAGACATTCGGAACCGGGAACATCGATTGGAATTCGACAGCCTATGTTGGAGTCTATGGAGTATTATTTCATGCAAGTGCATCCCGACATTATGTAGTAACAGTTAGTTCATAGGGTACCTATATAATAGTGTAAATATTTTCCCGAAGCACTTTTCAAACCCCGTGGCTCCCATGTGACCGATGCTAAATCTGGCATGGACGATATAGTATGCACAGTAACATTACTTAGTAGTTAGTACTGTCGAAGGTCTGTATATAATGCCCATGAAATCAGCCAAATATCCCATTCACAATTCCTCCCACAACTATCATCAAATGCCCTAAAAATAAACCTCATGCGAGCTCCGCAAACCCAACTCGCAATCCGCCCATGTCAAAGATCGAGTACACGTTCTGTAAGAACACGTCGCCCACGACCCAGAAGTCTGATAGAGTAAGCCTGAATCAGAGTACTGCACGTTATCCATGTCCACAAATTCTTACCAACGTCCGCGCCTGCGATACCAGCCATGCAGTCACTTGATCCCTCTTCGATAGGCCCGAGATTGAATGTGTCCCCGGACACGGTAAACGGATGTCCTCCAAAGGTGAGGGTCGGCGCATAGTTGTCAATTATATCGCACGGGACTGAATATGTTAGCATTAGCTTGTAGGCCCGTATAGAGAACCTTGTATCAGCACTGACTTGAATAAAGCACCTCAGATTCATCATCATATGACGCAACACCAGGAATGCCAACAAAATAGGCAGCAGCACCATCCGTGTCCGTCACGATCAAAGTTGTTCCCGTGTCGATGATGGATGATGCCTCGGGTTTCCCCACAGGGATGCCAGCTCGAGATATCTGATTGAGTGTGACTTTCCAGTAGCCTGCATCAGTTACAGGTGTATACGACATATTGCCTTGCTGATACAGCGCCGTGTTGGTCCCTCCAAGATATAGTTCGCTGGCACCGGATTCGGCGGAAAGTTTGACACCAAATACAGCTTCCTGCAACTGTCCACTTTCTACAAGAGTCTGAAAGAGCGGAGGTGCTGGGTATCCGGATATAGACTCAAATGAAAAGCCGACGAGCCCGTCAGGTATGAAATTTTCGCTCGAAAAGTCTGAGGAATAGACTGTTGCAGCCCCGAGGGTTTGTCCCTTAGCCTAGTCATGGTTAGCATACGCGCGCACGATCTGAACCCAAAATAATTACCTTATATCCTCCAATTACCACGTTGTCAGTAATTTGTTCCCGGCAACTTCGCCTTCGCCAAAGGTGAGGACGAATTTCTTGTGGAGATCGACAGCTGTCGAGGACTTGGATGGATCATATCTATTGTGACCGTTGCAGCTATCGTTACAATCAACGGAAGGAAGGACTGAGTGGGGAAGGGTGAGCAAAAGTTCAGGACTGGAGAAAATAACTTACATAGATCCGCGCTGCCCGTGTCAATGGACACTGAATATTACTTAGTATTACCTCAAAGAATATTAATACATGCGCACCTGTGAAAGTCTGCGCTGGCGTGCCAACATTGATCGAGGCATACCACAACTCGACACCTTGAGACATCAAAGGAACATCGCCATCATCTCGCTTCATCGTTTTTGAGCTAGATGGCACGCTCAACGGGTGGGCATGTCCCTTATTGGCCTCATACGCCGCAAATCCCCGACGGTACTTCCTAAATTCATCGGTCAATATCGCGAACAGGAAGTGAAGTGATGCACATACGCGGAGACTTGTGCAAGGTGTGCTTGGAGACTCTTAATGTCGACTTGATTGTTCCTACGCTCAAGTGGCAGGCGTAAAGAATGAGTGTTCAGCTGCTGGATCGGTGAGCCAGCGACCAGCGACACTAGAGCGAGAAGAGATGTAAAGGAATGTGTAAGCTTCATCGTGAACCGCGTGGTGCCACAAGGGTAAAATAATTCTCTCGGCGAAGCGGACGCGAGGATTCGCGTCATCCCGACCTTTATACACGGATGAGGTGAGCAGAAGCGAAGTAGTGTGCTTCTTGAACACAAAAGCAGCTAAGAGGGCTGCTCAATAGTTTGTGTTCACCTGGGATCCGAACACCAGTACTAAGCGTCGCTAAGCTGCAGTTCATCAGCAGCTTCATGGCCGAGGCCGAATTACGAGAAACAGCTTGATGTACCGAGTTAACTTATGTTATATGGCCGGCATCTGGAACCCCAACACCTCGTACATACCCAGAGCCATACATATATCCAGCGACATACATCGCGCACTGATAGACGAGGCCCATCTAGCAATCTTCGACAGAACAAATGATATCAAAGAATCTCCTATATTTGTACTCATAGTAAACGCACCAGCTCCGCAAGCAACAGACCATGCATACACTAAATCATGATGCATGAGGGCCTACCACCGCGTTGTGGCTACAGCTCTGATATAGTCGATCCGTTTGTTATTGGGACACTTAGATAGTGATACTTTCCCAGACATTCTCAAACAATCGAGTAGCTCCCTGATGACGGTCGGCGCTATGTCAGAGGTACATCGAACGTGATGTCAATTCACGCTTACATAGCCGCACTTCACGATCCCCGCTACCAGATGCTAACAGCCGTCCGTCCAGGCCAAGATCCACAGTCGTCACTGAGAAAGGAACGTTGAAAGAAAATGCGGCTTGGTGGTTCGGCTGCGTACCAGTGTTTTTATGACCCTGAATCACGAACTGCACCATCCCCGTCTTCAAGTCCCACATCCGCACCGTCCCATCCCGAGACGAGGACACGACGCGTTGATCTCTTCCAACCTGAAGTGCAGATGTAGCGAGGATGCAGTCCTGGTGAAAGGTCAGTTGCAATACTGGGATTGAGGTCTTGTCGGATGCCACATACTTTGTGCCCTTGCAGAGTTTTTCGACATTCTCTGCGACCAACACCCACTTCACTTATGTCCCAGTGTTTCATCGTTCGATCCACGCTTGCGCTTACCAATCCGCCTTCAACAAACTGCACGCTATACACAGCATCCTCGTGCCCGCATAATGTCTCCACCGGCTCCGCGCTGTCATCCTCGGTGCCGTCAACTTTCCAGATTCGAATCATTCCATCCAGTGACCCTCCAGCAACAAATTTGCCAGTTGAGTTGACAGCAATAGATGTCAGTGCAAACTTGGATGAGAGCTTGACATCAAGGCTGACTGGGCGAAGTACACGACAGGCGGCCTCCATAGTTTCATCGAGGATGATTGAGCTAGCATCAGGAGTCTCAGCAAACTGAGTCGCATCCCAAATGCGGATTGTGCAATCTCCGGACGCTGAAAGCAAGGTTTTGTTGTCAGGTGTAAACACCAAAGCATATACCTCTCCGCAGTGCCCCTTCAAAGCATGCACCAACATGCGGTTCGTAATGTTCCAAACCTGTATAGCATCATGAGTGCTCAGACGAACAAGTTTTCAGTCTCTGGCACGCACTCTTATGAGTTCGTCTTCAGAGCCAGCGACAAGGAAATGTCCATCGGGACTGATGCAAACAGCTCGTGCATGATTTGGTTTTCCAATATTCCTCTCCAATGTGAAGCTGCGCTTCCAGCTCGCCAAGTGTTGTTCATGAGAAGGCAGAATGAGCACTCACATAAACTTCTCTCCGAGACTCAAGTTGTAAAGCACAACGGCGCCCTCCATGCCTACTGCAAGCAATGTCCCGTCCAAGGAAAACTTCACACTACACACCACACTAACTCATAAAATGGTATCAGACTGGAGTGAAGCCATAAGTCTTCCAAACAAACGCACCCGTCATGCACGTACCGCGCTGCAAGCTGCACGTCCATCTGGCGTGGTACGCGGGGATTAAATATAACAAGCCAATCACCTCCCTCCTTGACAAAGTCCACAGGTACCGTCGTTGAGTCTAATTCTTCAGCCATGGGACGTGTGAATGATTTAGGCGCTTCGGGCGTTGTGAGTGTGGGAGATGTATTCGAGACAAACGCAGGAGGCCCGCAAGCTCAAGGGATTGTTGAACGAGGGAATGAGATGCGCTCTCAAGAAGGGTTCGTGAATGAGTGTTAAACTTTGGTTCTGGACTCCAGGCTAGTCCTGATTAACGTCAAGAACCCTCAAATTTGGTCTCGGCTAGACTTTTGACTAGAAGACACTTTACGAATCTGCCAGGGGGCTGAAGTATTACCCTGACTCGTGGCACCAACGATTGTAGTGAGATGGAGAACCTGAAGCTGCAGAGCGGATGAATACCGGATCAACGCTGGCGTAAATCGTACGATAACCGATCGTGGACATGTAGCCGCATCTTCAATTCTGATCTATTCAGTTCACAGATAATGGAGCTGAAATATTCTGTCAGGTCGCGTTGCATGCTTGTTACATGCTACTGTTACTATTTATATGCAGGTGTTGGCCTGAATATAACGATCATCAAACAGATGCTATATAATGACCGGGCCCAAAGAACTAGTAGTAAGAAACCACAAAATTAGCTTGCTACGACATGCATGTGACACGATGTTATCACAATCAGCAATAAATACTGGACCTCGAGGATCAATACGGTCCTACGAAGCCCCTAGCGCGGCACGGTTTAACCTTCCGTTGTGTAGGTTTCTGTGTGAACCTGGTCCGGGATATATCTTTTTCTTGTGAATGCCGAGCAGAGCCGCAAAGCTTCAGATAACCTCGGATCTGCCAGCTATATGTCCATGCACAAAAATGGGTACCTGCAATATGAAGTTGTAATCAGTATGTAGGGATTACTCCCACGGGTAAAATTAGTGTTCTCGAAATCAGCGCTGATGGACCAAGTGCCGAAGACAAAGGATAAGTCTCACACCTGTACGGGGTTGATGATCCTTTCACTTCCTTAGAGCACAGACGGCGGTGGCCGAGCAAACTGCGACCACGATGCTAAATCAGGCTTATACGTGCGAAGTCGAAGTTACTCGTTAAGTAGATTCCGGATGAGGCTCCGAGCTCGATGGCGGGCCATGGTCCTCCAAATTTGAAAAAAATGGAAACCGGTGCAGCTAGTTCAGTTCGGAGTGGAGAGGTGTACGGCAATGGAATTGGGATGGTGATACCCTAGTATGCCACACATCGCCTCGTTTGCTGAGTAGTCGGAGATTATGTTGCCTGATGAGAGTAGTCCGTCCTGTAAGCACGGAGACTATGTGCGGTTAACGTATTAAATGGCAAAATCCGACTATCTGGGCATCGCAACCGCCTGAAATGACTCAGAGGGAGAGAAAGAGGGTCAGTGCCGCTGGGTTTGAACTTATCAATGCATGTTTACTAATCACGTGATTGTGCCTCTACGACTCAAATAGGACATGCCGCCGGTAGTGTCAAGTGTGAGAAAAGAATCAGAGTATCAGGGTCCAACGCCAGTTATAAAGGCGATGATCAACACCCATTCCGTGGTTCCCAACCTCTCTTCATGTCCTCCACAATATACAACGTGAGTATTTCCATCTTATTTTTCTTTTTCCTTACTACAGGTCCTGCCACATATCGTGACCAATATCAATCCTGAGCTCTAATTGAGTTATGACGGTCCTTGTGTGCGCGCTAACCCAAGAACAAAATTCTCTATCTCTGTTGCTATGAGCTCTTTCTTGTCATGTACTCCTACTGACCTTTCCTGTTTTAATAGCATAGGAGCTTGCAGCCTACGGTTCCACCTGCCCAAGGGCCAAACCAGCACAGTCATGCCAGGCTTAATGAGGCCGTCGATACCATCCGTCAAGAATTTGATGTTATCTCCTCTGACCTCGGCATTCTTCGCAATCAACGAGACGAGTATGAATCCAAAGGTGCGCACCTTTGACTCCTCAACTACACATCGGTTTTACGTATGAGTCCAACATCTTGTCCATTTAGTCACTTCACAAATAAACGAGTTGAACATCGTTCGCCAGTCACTGTATGAACTGGAATCTCAGCATGGCAAGATTCGACAGACATACGAAGAGGAGCTAAGTCGCCTCAGAGGAGAACTTCATGCACTTCGTCAGGGTGTGCCAGCAGGAGCTCCACATCCGCCCGTCGGTCCCGCTTCAGTTGGACCTTCTGGTCCACCTGCACCTCCACCTGCAGTCCCTGGTGTACCTCCTGGCCCTGGCTCATACAACGAGCCTTACTACAGTCGAGATCGTGAACGTGAACGCGAGCGGGAAAAAGACCGCGAACGTGCTGATCGTGAACGTGAACGCGAAATACGTGATCGACAACGTGAAGAGCGCGACCGAGATCGCGAACGTCCTCCGGCAGAGGCTCGGGATTCAAAACGTATAAAGACTGAGCGTATGAAGAGTGATACTCGTCCAGGTAAACCATTCACTTCAAGTTCCGCACGTTCGCCGCCTCCTCATGGGTACTATACCACCTCTTTTTCCCCCCCTTTATCTGCGACAGATCATTATAGTCCCTCTCTCCAACCCCCGAACGCAAAGCTGCCCCCTGTACCTGGGGCGCCTCCTGCCTTGACTACTTTCCAAGGCCCAGGTCTTCCACCACCACCTGCCGCCCATGCACCATATCCACCTGGACCTGGAAATCCGTCACCTGCAGGCCCAGCAGAACCAGCAGCAACCAGCTCAAGTTCCCTCGTGCCTATCAACAATGCCCAAAGTGGTGGGGGGCAGTTTCCGGATGACCTCGACCCACACAATGTTCCGCCCGAACTGAAAAAGGAAGGCAGTGACTGGTTCGCGGTCTTCAATGGCAAAGTCAAGCGCGTGTTAGATGTGTCACTGGTGCACACACTCATGCACGAGAGGTGCGTGGTATGATCGGCTTCGATCGAACATAGCCTCCTGATCACATCTTCCTGTATATTTACATTTCCACGTGCCATCTATTAGTGTCGTTTGCTGTGTGCGATTTTCTGCAGACGGCAAGTACCTGGCCACCGGCTGTAATCGCACGGCCCAGATCTATGACACAAAGACGGGCGTAAAGACCTGGTAGGTGACGATCTTGACTGCAGTAGTTCATCTCATTACCCTTGGACCTACAGCGTCCTTACAGATGAATCAGCTGGAAAGGCAGGTGACCTGTATATCAGGAGTGTTTGTTTCAGCCCCGATGGGAAATATCTTGCAACGGGCGCTGAAGATAAGCAAATCAGAGTGCGCCAAACTTTGTGTTTCACCAGGGTCGTGCACTGATCACACCTTGCAGATATGGGATATCGCCAAGAAACGCATCCGCAACGTTTTCGACGGACACCAGCAGGAGATCTACTCACTTGACTTTTCCTTAGATGGAAGGCTTATCGTCTCCGGATCGGGCGATAAAACTGCCCGTATCTGGGACATGGTTGATGGGTCATCTAAAGTGCTCACGATCAATGACGCCGATCCTGTGAACAACGATGCAGGCGTGACCTCCGTCGCTATCTCACCAAATGGCCAACTGGTTGCGGCTGGTAGTCTAGACACTGTTGTGCGCATCTGGGACGTGGGAACGGGCTCCCTCATCGAGCGCCTACGGGGTCATAGGGACAGCGTCTACAGCGTTGCGTTTACTCCCGACGGAAAGGGACTAGTGAGCGGCAGCTTAGACAAGACTCTCAAGTACTGGGACGTTAGTGGCCTTCTCGCCAAACGCAAGGAGGCGGCAGCCAATGGGAAGAAAGATGATAAGGGCAGCCAGTGCACCATGAACTTCTTGGGCCACACGGTAAGCAAATAAGTCCCGGCCGCGGACTCATTATATATGTCATCCGTTGTTCCAACTCATTCCATGTCCGTGCAGGATTACGTGCTCTCCGTTGCTGTGTCGCATGATGGGCAGTGGGTTGTGTCAGGGTCCAAGGACCGTGGTGTCCAGTTCTGGGACTCGCACACCGCAACGACACAGTGCATGCTCCAAGGACACAAGAACTCCGGTACGAATGTTCTGATGATTCCGGACTGAGAACCCCATTAATAAATCTACTGCAGTCATCTCTATCGATTTGAGCCCCGCGGGCAGTATTTTGGCTACGGGCAGTGGTGATTGGCAGGCGCGGATTTGTGGGTCCCTTCTTTTCTTTTCCTTCTATCGGCGCTGACCAACTTTACTTGGCAGGGAGCTACACCAACATCTAATTCATACACCAGTGCGGAGTCCACTTTTCATTCCCGTAGCGCAGCAATGCACATTTGCATTTATATGTACTCGATGCTCTTGTTTTATTTGTGTTGCACGTGGCCCCTCTGTCCCTGTTTACTTTCCGGTGCTCCCCCGGTGTCCCTTCTGCGGGTTTCTGTGCTTCTGCTGTGAATGGTTTATTGGTATCCGCACCTTGTTACTCTTGTGTAATGTACTTGTTGCTAGCTCTATATCCTGTTGTCTAATAATTCAATCTCTACAATAATGATGTGCAGCTTATTATATAATAATTTCCCACAGCCGATCCGAAGCTGAACTTCCCTCCAGGAGTCGACACTGCTGCTGTGTGCAATATGGTGCTTGTCCTAATAATCGGTGACTTGCACATCCCACACCGCGCACACGACCTCCCAGCCAAATTCCGTAAACTTCTTGTTCCAGGAAAAATTCAACAAATCCTTTGCACAGGGAACGTTTGTGACCGCGAGACCTACGAGTACCTGCGCACTATTGCAGGAGATGTGTATGTTGTCCGAGGGGACTATGATGAGGTGCATACTCATCATTTTCTTGTTATGCTATGCGGTAGAGTCATTACTGACCTGCGGATGACCTAGAGCGCCAGCTTTCCGCCATCTGCAACCATAGTGCATACCCCAATACGAATCGGAGTGATTCATGGGCACCAGTGCGTACCGACTGGTGACCTTGATGCTCTCAGTGCATTAGCACGGCAAATGGATGTAGATGTGCTCGTTTCAGGGCATACGCATACGTGTGTTGACTCCGCAGCCCTCTAAATGATGGCTGGCATTCTGATGTGATTCAAATAAGCTTCCAGGCAATCGAATATGACGGTCGTTTCTTCGTAAATCCTGGGTCTGCGACTGGCGCATGGACTGGCTCATACAACGGGTACAGCCCTTGCATCATTTCGCTTGTATTGCCTGACTGAATTGATATCCTCAGTGAAGTAACGCCATCCTTTGCACTCATGGACATTCAGGGCGCTGTCGTTGTCACGTATGTATATCAGCTCGTGGAAGGCGAAGTCCGTGTCGAGAAAATTGAGTACCGGAAAGAGGTGGAGACTCCCAAGCCGGCTCAGTCGCAGTCGGCGACATCAATTCCCCAGAGTGGGGTAACGCCGCAGAATATACCGAGTAGCCCTCAGACAGGACAGACATTTTGGTGAGCAGGGATATGTAGAATATATTGTGTCATGTATAGTTCAGGTGCACCTCTCCCTAACCTATGGCAAGTTCCGTATGAACAGAATTTCTGCGGACAGAGTTGTGGTTCCTACACCACCTATATTGAACTTGTATTATAACGCGGCAGATAGCATATTGTCACGAGTGTGGGGTACGATGTCGAGCACTACTCAGTTTCAACATAAGTTGGCGTAGATCTCGGTGCTGCCAATAAACAGGGTATATGGAGGGCCTATTTCACTACTTTTTCGTCTTCTTGCTCTCGACGAAGAGTACACGAGCTTTAACTAAAATGAAATAGTTCGGAATTTTGCATAACCGCCTGGATACCAACACTTACCTTTAGGATCATATTTGACGGCAGCGAGCTTTGGACCCTGCCTTGGGCGCTGCGTGGTGTAGAAGAAACCTGTTTGCGCAGTGGAAATCAAGCGGACGATGATTGTTCTGGTAGTAAGACGTTGGCAAAAGGAGAATAGTGTTGGTTGACACAAGGCAATCGTCAAGTCGGGAAGAGTTCCTATGGCGAGAAGGCCACATACCGTGCTTTGGCTTTTCCTGCCATCTTCCCTGTGTTACCACACCCTCCTCGTATCGTTCAAACGCATCTGAAGTGGCAAAGAACAAAACTCCGTTGGGTCACGGGACCCCCTTCTTTGGGGGTCGTATGAATCCGAAACCAATATTCTAAAGCTTAAACATTGAATCACTCCTTGGCTTCAGAAAGGTATGTAGGTATAGTACTCGACATTCACTCATGGATTGTTCTATCTCACTAGTTTTAGCCAAGTGGTTACCACAGCAGAATCAAAATCTGTTTCTCTTGGGTTGTGCAGGTTCGAAACCTGTTGAATGACAGGTCTTTTTCTATTGGAATACACCTCTTGTCATTGACTCGTGGATGGTTTCCTCAGAGGTCTATCTAACTGGTATTAGCCAAGTGGTTACCGCAACAGAGTCAAAATCTGTTTCTCTTGGAGTTGGTTCGAAACCCAAAGACAACATTTTTGCGGTGTATAGATCCTCCAATGTCCATCTTAAGTATGCCCGCTGAGATCTCTTTTTTATGTGATAGTCTGTCCATGAAAAGGAATTCACTTTCATGCCCTGCGATGGCTTCAGCTCTTCCTCAAGAAAATTTTCCAGTTATCATCGATGGTTCACCCATAACGTGGCCACTGACAGGCATTCAAGAAGATGGTTCGACAAGAATGTGATGCCAAGAACTTAAGCACCACTCATACTGCTGTAGGTGCTGATTCTATGAAGCCTGTTCACTGATTATTCACTGAATTTATCACTTTATGCACTCACAATCTCATCTGACCAAGTGAAACCAACCCTCGCGAGTTGATTGTGTTGCAATCACCATTAAAGATATGTTGCCTAAGCTTTCTGATCACTAAAATGATGTGAACTTGGTGGTGGCCCTTCATCGGACAGACTTCTCAAAGGAAAGGAATGTCACGCTGCTCAAGCATCTTCCGACTACTGGTAAATCCAACCCTCTTAAGTTGTGCTTTCTGAAAGTTTTGTCTATCTTACAGAATCTGTCTACTGAAATATGCTTATTCTCACCACGCATGTAGCATATTGTCTGACAGCGAATTTTCTGCAGCTTCCCTCGATTGCCCTGGCTCGCTGCTTTCCAAAGGACACTGCTGATGGTGTATAATTAGTATATCTTTGATGCATTCTCCAATTAATAGTACACGACATTGGTACTTGTGGGACAAGGTTGCTGCTAGCAAAATTCACTCTTTATCTAGTGGGTTTCCTCCAGTGGCATAACATGGTACGCAGCGCCAGCTGTGTAAGGCAATATCTACCTTGGCAGCTGATCTTGATGCTGCTCCCGAACAACGAAGAATCACTTACCAAGATCTTTCAAGACGTCATGGACGAGAAAAACTACCAGTTGAGTGTTGATGATAGCTTATTGCGTCAAAGCGACCCGGATGTTTCTGAAGGTAGTTTCATAATCTTGAATGGTTGCATCGATGTTTGAGAACAACTTGGTGATGCTATTCCCTATCGGATAACTGTTATTTCGGCAACTGCACCATGCTCAATCTCGATAGCTTACATCCACTTTTATGAACGGCACAGTCACACATGAAGCACGCACACTCCATGGTTTGAGGAGGGAGTAATTTACGGTCTGATAAACGCTTGTCGTATATTTTGAAGCTCGAATCTCAGGCATGGCAGTTATTTTCAGTCAGTGAAAACACGAGGTAGTACCGGACAGGCCCAAAGGCGTTAAACTGAGTGGCGTTTCGTACCCTGGATTTGTGCAAATCAGGATTCGGATGGATCAACGGTGTAGGGGATTAATCAATAATGAGCTGCAGCCGCATGCGAGGGTCCAATGCGGTTGAGATTCTTGAGCCTCAGTAACTTCAGTCTTGCCAAAACATGCTGAGTAACGCGACAATTCTTGCACGGGCATCCACCTAGTTAGTGATCCCAGAACTCTGGACATTTGGTCCTCAAAGCTAGAGATTTTAGAGTCCTCTGGGCAGACCGATATGGAAGAAAGACAATAACTCCTTCTTAAGAGTACGTGTCACGGAACGTTGGCTAATCGAGAGCCGTAATGATGGTTATCAAAAACTTCGTCAGTTGCGCACGTCCTCGCACGTCACAGTGCAGTTGTGCTTCGTCCATTGCAAACGGATGTTGCCGCATCAGTTAACTGCCAGAACTTACTGTTTGACCGGCCCAATCGTGGAATGGCATCTTACCGTGACGGGTTTCCGGAATAGTGTAGACTATAGTACTAGAGTCTACACTATTCCGGAAATCCGTCGATCAGAGTCACGACTTGAGGGTGCTTGTGCTTAAGTTAAGGTTTGTTAATTCAAGCTTCAAGCCTCAGACCTCAAGCTCAAGCTCCAAGGCCTCAGGATCGTGGTCGATCTATTTAATCAAATAAGATAAATGCTGTCACAGGACTCGCGGCGCTTGCTGACAACTTTCCTTTCCAACTTCAATTTGAATACAGGAGACTAGAACGTTGCAAAGTAACAATCGTTTGACCATTGTACGTAGAGATCGCATGGTATAGTATCTGTGGTTAGAGTTTGTCGAGGAGTATTATATATAACATTATAGATGTCTACTTGAAGGTGGTATCACCGACATGCGAGATCATCAACCCGACCCAATATTTCTGCCCCATCCACATTCGTGGAGTGACGGATAATAGTCTTTGCCCGGACCTGTTTCTGGCGAGACTGTTTGGAAGGACGACTACTGTATCCAGACAGTCCAATCAATGGGGGTAAATCATTCGCCGGCTCTGCTGATGCGACGAATCCATTAAGTAGCAGACCACTTTGGGAGTGATCATGCGGCTTAACGGTCCAACTCTCGAGCTTCTCCGAGTTGGTTCTTCTGACGGTACGGTCACCAGTCTCGGAGATCTGCTCTACAGTGATAAACTCTTGACTCCTGCGTGTAACCTGCACAACGACCCCTCTTTTTGAAGGCTGTGGCTCCTCATCAACGGAGCTGGAACTGGAAGGAGGGGACTCGGTAGAATCACGGTCGTTGCCCCAGGTATCAAACACAGCAGAGACTGCTGAGCCTGAACCCGAGGTATCCGATATCGGAGTGGAGTCACTTGTCGACGAGTCAGCCCCAAGTAAAGGGTTGTGTCGCGTAAATTCAGGGATAGACAGAGGAGGGGTAGGAGGACGAAACCTGGGTCCGCTTGACCCGTTTTGCCTCGATATTGGTGGCGAAACAAAGAGTGGGTCCGCATGATGATTCAAATGCTTCTGTATAACATGAGATTTCCCTTTAAAAGCAGCGCAAATGTCCTCCTCTGGCCGGCAAGTGACCAGTAACTTGAAATTACGGGGGAGCCCTGCTCCTTTCTCTGCGAGCGCAGTCAGGAGGTCTCTACGATTTGACTCGCTACCGCTGTGTTCCAACCCGTCAATGATCACCAGTACAGGACCGATGCATGTCATTTGATTCGCAGGAATGAGGATAAAGCGTTCGAATTGAGTAAGTGGGTTTATCGTTTCACGTAATGCGCGCTTGTCTTTCACGGTGGCCCAGAGAGCCTTCATATAATGAGAGTCGTGATCAGCAAGGTCCCGTGCAATCGTGCTGAACAAATTCGTAGTATTTCGCTTGTCCCGAGCGGCGCGCGAAAAACAGTACGACGAACCGAGACGCATAATGACTTCGAATTGGCGTGCAATGGTATGGGCGATAGTGGATTTTCCGGATCCCTTTGGACCTAGCAAGAGGCAAATCTGCTGTTCATCGTCTTCATTGACCCACGAAGTTATTGATTCCACGATATCGGTTCGTGGGGGCGCTTCTCCGATCTTTTGTGATTCAATCGAAGCGCCAAAAGCATAGTGCATGCCGTCAAGGTCCGTTTTCGTGGCTAGTGATAATATGAACATATGCAAGGAAGAGAGATGGAAGATGGAGCACTACCATGGTCAAGTAACAGATCATGGATACGAAAGACGTAGAGTTGCGTGTTAATCGCGACCTGCTGTTGTATAGCATTCTTGAGTTCTTTGAAGGTTGCTTCATACGCTAAGATTTTATCATCTAGTGTGGACAACGCGTTCGCAAAGCTTTGTTTCCCTACATTCAAGAATTTTATTAAAGAAGCTAAGCTTTGGTAAGAAGCTGCGAGACTCACATCCGCTTCTGTTCTGCATGTAGTCACGGATAAAGTATGAGCACTCGATCGTCTGGCGAGCGAGGGAGTTGATAGTCTTTTCTTGCGATGCCACCCTCTTCAGTTCCTCTACGCCAGAGACAAGGCCGTAGGTTTCGTGCATAACGGTAATGAGCCGATTGATACTTCGGTCTCGGGCAAATTGTGCATCCACCAACTAATCAAAACAGATGAGCTCCTTGGGTCTGAACGTGCAACCATCCGACTTACATGATATACTGCAGTGAGAATCATGAACGCCATTTTGGTATAAGGATGGGCCTAGGAGAGCAGTATCAGACATATTCAATGGCAAAGTCAAGGGACCGTACCTCAGCGAACTTGCCAGCAAGCTGAACGAAAATGTTGATCTTGTCCAAGAGCGGAGTAAGGACTTCTGAGACAGCGACATCGAGGACCTGCTCAGTAGGCGCTTTCGATAGTGCGTTTGGAACATTGCCTCCCGTGGCTGGTTCATCTGGTATATCTTTAGAGGCACCAATTGTCCGGGCGACCTGGTCTTCAGCGTGCTGAGTGGTGTTATTTTCGATTGTATTATGAAGAGGCATGATCTTGAATTCTATGCTAGCACAAAGGAAATGTTTGTTGCCATGAGGGTCAAAAGACATGAGGTGGTAGATTTTAGCTAATGTTGTATTCAACGACGAGCGAGCCAATCAGGTAGTAACCAGAAACTCACTTCTGGAATGAGCGAGAAGCGTCTCGACACCTTCCTGTACCATACCGATGTACTGATCTTCATGGAAGCGACGTTTTGCGAAGACTTTGAGGGAAATTATGGACGACGCCTGTACATTTCTTGCTAGGAGTCAATGTCATGAACTCACAGGTACAATATATCTCACAGTTTTAGCTCAGTCACCCATGGCAAGGAATTCAGGTTCTCAGCAGTGGTGGACGTGTAGTCATGGTCATCTACAGAAGCATTGACATAGAAGCTGTCGTAAGTCGAAAACAAATGAATTTGCGGCAGATGGTGCAGGTCTATGTCTGATTGACGTCGCAAATTTTCAAGAGTAACCGTCATTCGAACTGATATCACGTACCGAAGATCTGCACTGCCAGGGGAAATGGTGTGTTGACCGTATCCCCATAGGGCTGACTCGCTATGGGCCCCTTCCAGATACCTTCTCTGTGACCAGTTTTGGTAGGCTGGGATCCATGAGCAGGTTTCCCAGCGCCCACAACGGGAGTAAGCTTGAACTCCAAGCTTGCTCTGAGGAGCTCTTCCTTGCCTTGGGGTTTTACGCACTTCAGTTGTTCAAGAATGGCTGAATTGAACTGTCAGAAAATACATTGCGCAAGGATGCAGTTACTCACCGCCAGGGTACCTTAAAAATTCCTCGACACAGCCCTGGACCATACCAATGTACTGATCATCATGAAGTTGGCGATGAGCAAATACTTTCAATGTGAGCGTGGTAGAGTTGCGAACATTGCTGTTGTTTGGATCAGCTTTTGAATCAGGCAGTACTCTCGGACGTACAAGAAATATTTACTACTCCATGGCATAGAGCTGGGTTTCTCCAGACTCGTACGACTGGTCGTGCCCGTATTGTCATCATGAATGGATATTTCGATGTAGAATTGATGATCCACATTTGACCACCCGATCTTGGGCAGGTGATGAAGATCGATATCTGGGATTTATCAGAACCGAGTAGTCATGACATGAGGTTGAACATGCCGGAAACTTGCACGCCATACGTCTCTGGTCCCAACTGGCTGGTCCTGTCATTGCATGTGAGTCCATCATTTCCGAACGATAGGTAAATCGCACATAATGACATTGACTTGTTGAAGGGTGATTGTGTTGAACGCTGTCTGAATGCAGGAGTTGGAGCTTGAATCCGTCTCTACATGGTGAGCATTATGAGAGCTGCGCCAATGAAACCCTTAGATGTCACGTCTTGCGGGCGTTGGAGGGACCCCACCTGATATGTTGATGACTTGAGTGTATTGACCTCATCTCGTCTGGAGAAACGGGGTAGAGGCTTGGATTTGTGTGATGCCTGCTCGCGACGGAAACTCTTGACGATGTGACAAAACTACAGATCCTTCAGTCTTCCAACCCTTCTGCTCGCTTTAATACAGATCGCAGTGGGGAGCGAGTAAATCAATGCGAAAGCGGTGAGATCAAATTAGAGGGCAGTGTACTGCATGCGACCTCCAGGGACCAGGGTAATCCCATGCGGTAAGCACGCGCTTGTGCTGTTCGGTTCTTGTCCCAGATCATAGCACCCATTCGAGTACAGGCGGTTTATCACTGAGCTAACTGGAAGCTCCGACTCGGAGCGCCGTGTACGCACTTGGGTTCAAACCGACACCTCGTGTACCATAGCCTTGATTACATGATGACCAAAGACTGAAGACTGATCACTGATAGCACATTGAAGGTCCTGTTGTCTGACCAGAGGATTACCGCGACATTGCTTGAGTAGTGGTAGGCGCTTACCGTGCCAGAAATTACTGCACGGCGCCTGCATCCAATGACGAGATCCACGGTATTAATAGTAGTCCCTGAAGCCTCATGCTGCCACCCTGGCTAAGAAAACCCTGACCAAAATCCAGATCCTTCAAACGGTAAGAATGGCCCGGGCTCGTAGGTTGAGATATAACAGATCATGCTCTGAGGAAGCCGCAAAGCGCCCCGCGGTACTATGTATAACGAAGTCAGTAGTACTATGGTGCCAGTGAGCGTGGGGACCGCAGCCAATATGGTACTCTGAGCAAAGATGCGTCTGCTGGTTGTGGCCTAGACGTCTATCTTTGATTTGTACTGAGTGGTCTAGTTTGCACATCAGCGCTCAGCGATGGGCATCACATTTTGAAATCCCAGACTGGTTCTTTGAACCATGCCACTGCCACACATGCGCAGGTACTAGTAGGCCTGAATCCAGCTCCGTGGGTTCGAGCCACACCCTAAGATGCTTGCCCGGTGGAGCCGGAGAGAAACGAAGCTAATGGCCTCGTGCTGCAGAACACCGTAAGGCATTTCAAGGTTTAAGTTCAACGTTCATAGTACGCACTGCCTTCTATTATATTTCCTTTTTCGTTCTTACTCCTTCTCTAACTTTCATCTCGTGACCACGGACAAGTCGAGTGGCGTGTGCAGGGTCGGGAAATACCCATGTGATGTGCGGCCGCCAATGCATACGATCAACCCAGGAAAGGTTTCGATAGTCGACACAGTACACTTCACGAAAATGTACTTTCGTAGATTGTTATCGAATTGGTGTCCGTTTTCTGTCAAGTTTACAAGACTCGAATGCTCTTATCCGGAAACCTTGGCGCCTCTGAGTCTCTTTCGCAACGTCTCTCTTCATCATTTGCTTCCCCGTTGAACTCATTATCTGCCTAACAACTTAAGTAAGGTTGTGTCGAGGTTTGTTGAATTAGAAAGTATGTAGACTGTTTCCTCATGAACAGATAATTTCGAATGTAGGCGGACAAAAATAACGATCGATCGGTTCTTCGGTGTCTGGATCTGAATCCACAGCGGGAACCGATATCATACGCAGCCCGCCATGTAAAAATTGCGCTGTAGAGTGTTTTCCCTCATCGACCTGTAGGATCGGGTTGTCATTCAACTACAGCGAGGACAAACGTCTGAAAGAACCTTGTTGCGGACCTGCTTAAAACCGGGTGCGAACACTTTAGCTAGATGTACCAATCAGACTACGGGTACATGAACGCCGTCATAATACATGCACGTTTCAAGGGTCTCTCCGCGCAACTTCTTGAGAAATGTAATAAGTTAATCTCATGGATGTGAAACATAATATACACACATGCCTCTAACCTTCCACCCGTAGAACCATCAAGGTGCACCAAGGGCGCACAGTGCTCTGGAGCTCACATCAGATGTTGAGATCGCGGACAAAGGTGCGATGTCAGAGGATATCATGTGCCAAGCGGCCGCAAAGCAAGCTAACCGCCCTCAGCAGCTTCTGCTTCCAGTATCTCCTTCTCTAAACGTGCACGCTCAGCTTCACGCATGCGGAGGAGCGTCAACGACTCGTAGTCCATCCCCGCCTTTGCAGTAGAAGGTGGTGGTGGTGCCACATCATCAAAACCAGGCTTATCAAACAGAAAAATCAATGATTTAAATAGACTGACCGAGTGGACCAGACTTACAAAACTCGAGGGAAACGAGCTGAACGTCGTCCCCTCCGGAGCAGTCTTTGTCGGGAGCGGTTCAGCCCGCTTTGCTGCGGAACCTCCGAGTTCTCCGCGTTCGCGAAGCCAGCTTAGTATTGGAGGCTCAGATCCGCCCGCCCAAGCCACGTCCATGCCCCGACCTTTCAGCGACTCGGCGCTCGATACCACAGCAAAAGCAGCGCCCAGCTGATTGAATGGCACCAGCGCGGTCACTATCATCTCACCATCTACAAGTCCCTTGGATTTTTTCGACTTCTTAGCTTTCTGCGACATCACCACCGTCCCTTCATCAATCTCGCCAAACCGTCGAAGGTGGGCTGCGAGTGCGAATGCCGTAGAAAGTGCAGGATATGATGACAGGGTATATTTGACACGGATCGTTGTATCCAAATCGCCAGGAGGCGGCGGAGCGAGGGAGTCTTCTTCAACAGTTCCGTTTGAATCAGGCTTCGACTTCGCACATTGACGTTCCAATTCCTGCAGCTCGAGCTCCTTCTCCCTCTGCTCCCGCATTCGTCGCCCCTCCTCGCGAATCCTCAAATTTTCGCTCTCCCTCGCAGTTCTCTCCTGCTCTTTGGCCATTCGCGCCTTTTGAACTCTTGCTCCCGCTCCTCCAACTCAGAGACCATCGCCTTACGCTTATTGTCGTAAGATGCGAAGCGCTGCTTCTTAGCAGCTTGCAAGCGGAGTTGTGCATCGAGCGCGAGACGACGGAGCGGATCGAGGAGGAGGGTGGAGGCGGTTGTCAATGCATGAAATTTCTGGGCTACATTCGTTCGTTAGCTACATTTTTAACGAAGCTAGGTACGCACCTGCATTAGGGTCATTTCTGTTCTGCAACGACAGTGTTAATTTAGTCTCGGGCTCTCGACCTTGGAATAAATAGACGTACTCTGTCTGGGTGGACTTTTAGTGAGCGGGTTCGATAGGCTGTCCTAATCTCAGCTTCGGTAGCCTCCTGTAAGATCCCAAGTAGTTCATATGGGTTTTGTTCTGGATCTTCCGGCGTTTTGGGTGGCATGGATGTTGAACGATGTTCTGCGCCCAATTACCTTGCTTGTCAATGTTTCTAGCACCCAGCACGTAGTGTTGCCGTTAAAATCGATGCCGGTTCGAAAATGACCAAAATCGTTTCAACTCGAAACTCCGATTTGAATCGAGTTGTGCGCAACTCATTGGGCTAATCAATTTGGTGTACATACATCGTAATCCCCTATGAATGGCCCCGGGTTCGGACTCGACATAGCTGCCAACATCAAAGAAATTTTCTATGTAGAACACAATCCAGTTGGACAATGTCGTGTAATAGTTTCAACTTGCCAATCGTCTAGTCAATGCCGCCGTCGTCTCTAGGCCGTGATTCAAGAAGGCAATGAAAATGGGTTCTGGAGAGGGAAGCTTCCTGATGGAAAGATCACACTACCAGCTGCTCCATGACCGCATAACTAGATGGTTGTCAACATTCAAGATGGTCGATAGAGTACTTATGCTAAATCCAGTATGTACTCACCGCCTTTGAAGTTCATGCTAATTCTCTGTTGAATCCTTCGTACTCGAGACACAGAATACTGATATTTCAGACCTCTCCATGGATGCGAAGGATACTGATGTTCTTCGCAACATACATTAAATCATTGTGGTCCCTCACGTAGCACAGGAACTCATCTCTTCCAAGTGGACACCAACCCTATCAATAGCTAGTAAACCCAATTATGAAGCACAATCAGGGAGTTATCCCACTATATTGATGTTGGTCTTGATAAACTGACGCAGTACATCGGTGAAGGAAGGAAACCGCGCATACATGCACTTTCGATGAGTGCGTTTCAAATTTTTTCATGTATTAAGTGATTTTTCATGGTCCGAAGCATAGTTGTTAACCCAAGCATCAAGCTTGAGTACTTGACCCCCAGAGCAGTTGACGAGTTAATGGCTGCTTGGAATCTTCGCGAGTTTGACGAGTTGCTCCAGAATGCAAGAGACACTGATTATAATTAGTATGTCTGCTAACCGTACTAGCCACGGGTCAGAAGGCGGATATCCTGGGATCGAAATATTCTGGTCCAATCTATGTCGATTTACCTGAATTTTCCACCTCGATTCGATTCGCCTCGGCGGCAACACTTCAGGCTCTCTGAGAGTCATAATTCTATCCGGCAACTTCCATGGCCAGGCAAGTATTCACAGAGATGCGATGCGACGTCTGCCTTTGGACTTGTCTGTTTCGGGCATTCGGACAGGGCCAAGCCTCTAGTGGTTGCGCAATCTGAAACAAGTACTTTAGCATCTGATTATTCCTATTATCCCTGACGAGCTTCGTATTCCCGTCGTTTGTATTTTGGCGTTCTTGAATTGACTTATATCTGGTTATTCGAGCGTCTGATTTATTCGTTGTGCCATATCTGGGTCTGAAAGCTTCTGCTTCTTGACCAGGCTCGCTGAGCATCTGTCACATGCGAGATACATCACCGTCAGCTTGAGGTAGTTATACCAGATTTGCATAACAAATGCGACTCGTTGTTCCTTTGTTCCACTAGATTTAATTACAACTTGAGGGTGAACAGAAGATCAGCAGTACTGTGTCAGAAATTTTAATGTGTATCCGTTCAAAGTGAACTTCAAACCTTTGTTCTCGTACGCATGGTACCCGTCTCCTTCACGATGATCAGGGTGAATCAGACACAACGAATTCGAGTGCGTAGCAGTGTTCTCCTACAATGTTACAACTAGTAGTACAAGTGAATCGGATTCAACATTAACTTCTTTTGTAATCTAAAAACATAACACTTCCTCCTACACCTCTGCTGGGGTTTCTGAAGAATACTGGTAATACACTAATGGTGGCGCTAGCAATACAACACGTTCTTTTGGTAGTACTCAGACTTGTTATTTTAAGGTTCGTGATCTTCTCGCCCTGATGGATGCAATAGAAAACTTGCGATCCGCCGGACTGCGCACAATGCGATAGGGGTGCAGACGTGCCCCCTTGGCTATCTGTCGTTGTGGCTGGCGCAGGCATTGCAAGGCAGGCCCAACCAGAAGAACGGGCTGCGCAGGTTGTTTGAGGTTTGTGACACCGGAGAGGGGGTGTACGTGTGGAGCATCGGGATCAGGAACGACAACGACTGCGTCGGCGTACTCGAAAGTGGTAGGTACAAGACACATTTTAGTGGATTGACCACCAGAAGTAGGAGAGCGCGAAGATGAGAGGGGCGAAGGGGTGGGGGAAGGAGTGCGAGAAGACGTTGAGGATGAGATAGAAACCTGACGGTTCTGGTGTGAATGTGAATATTGACTGCTGGGTATGTGGAGTCTTGGAACCTGGAAATTACTCTGCTGTCAGTAAAAGCCGTGTATATTATAGGTTCACTAACCTGGCGTTTCAATTCATACGAGTCATGGAGTGCATCGATGCGGGGGCGTTGTGTCTTGAGTGCACGAGGAAGATGAAGTGAATGAAGCGGGGGGAGTGTAGGACGAACAGATGCAGACGAGTCCATTATTGGAGAATACAAAGAATAACCACTTGGAGAGCGATATGATGAAATGTTCAGTTAGCTGAAGTGTCCACCAGGGTCCCCAAGGCCTGCCTTGAGTGTCGAATTTGAAGGTAGAAGAGCAAAGAGTATACAGTGTGAACTGAGACGAGACAGATGAGAAACGTCAAACATCTGGAGAAGGATGTCTGATCTTTATAGCGGGCAACATACATAAGCGATGCATTGTACTATAGACCTGACATCGTGCATTGTATTCCCCGACACGGAGACAAAAGCATTGAGATTAATGGATTTTCCGAACCAAGTACCACTTATTTGCATGTATTTGGGTTCAACCCCTTCAACGAACAATGCTCACTGACTTGCTCACGTGCTCATGAATAAACCTGAGCTCTCCGTGTAAAGCGTTAACAACCATCCCGACGTTTCACGGCGAATGATTATTAGTGGTTCATTCATTTGACTTCGTACTTCCTAGTTGACCGCTAAATTATTTTAACACTCGCCTTATCATTGGCATACCACAAACTTGGTCGAGGTCCCGAAGTATTAATATAACTAATAGTCTTAACAGGAAATTTGAGCAGATTCAGTATACACAACCTACCTCATTTATCTACCATTTACGATGGATGAAGTTGTACCAGGAGTTTGGATCGGAGATCTGCAGAGCGCTTTGGATGTCAAGGGGTTGAAGGAGAGAAACATCTTCAGCGTTTTAACAGCGATGCGGGGCAAAGTTACCATTCATGCGGTGCGTACCACTAGCGCTTCGAGTCCCAGGTTCCTGTGCCCAATTATCCTCTAGTACATGTATGATAAAGGATCCGAGGCAGACGCTGATGCAGATACCTCTAGATATTTAACAGATACCAAGTCAACGTTGACGATAGTGCAAATGAAGATGTCCTCGTGCACTTTTTACCATCAATATCATTTATCCAGAACGAGCTCGACAAGGGTCGTGGTGTACTCGTGCACTGCATGGCTGGAATCAGTACGTTCGAGCTTGGCCGACTAACGTCATCTTCTCTTCCGCTAGCCCGCTAGCATCAGTTTTGACATCTGATCACACAGGCAGAAGCGCAACGATTGTCGCAGCGTACCTCATGTACTCGTTGAAGCTCGACCCAGAAAGCGCTGTAGACATGATAAGGACAGTAAGGTCCATCGCTGAGTAAGTTACTTCACCTCGTTCCCATGCACCCAGATGAGGATGCTTCTGTAGGCCAAATGAAGGATTTATGGAACAACTTAAGGTGTTTCACCAATCGTCATACAAGTTCACGCGGCGTGATAAGGCAACCCGTATGTTTTACCTGGAACGGACGATGGAGGAAATTATGAGTAAGTCTACCTTCTACCTTGCCTATGATAATCGACGCTTCAGGCTCAAGATCAAGTGCTAATCAATTGAATCATAGATGGAGATGGGACGATTCCAGACAATGCAATGTTCGCCAAGCATCCACGAACACCATCTGATTCTGTACCCAACACACCGATGATCGTACCAAGCCGTCGAATACGATGCAAGATGTGCAGGTAAGTCATCAGATTATGTCATGCTCCCCAGTGCTAATTCATACACGCCACCTTTCGCAGGCAAGAACTAGCGACGCGCGAGCACATGCTCGATCATGGGCAACTAGGCCCACCAACGCCCGCTCTGCCCTCGCTATCGCCTGCCACGTCGAGGCGCCCGTCTGCAAACGACCGCGGCACGTCCTCGCGGCGACCGTCCATGAGCCTCGGCGCGCGGGCGCTGATGGAATCGCTTTCGATGTCATCACTCTCAATGTCAGCACTCGATACGGATGATGATCACTGAGCCAGATGAACCCAAGAACGGGCACACAGACGATTTGCCTCCCCTTAGAGTTGACGTGAAGTCCTCGCGATCATCCTCAATGTCAATGGAAGGCCTCGGAAAGGACTTATCGGACGCACTCGATGCATCTGTCGCCACCAATGACGGCCCATCAACAGGGACGACCACGCAATCCGAGACGGTGCGTGTGCTGTCGCCTGTACATGAGAGCCAGGATACATCGAAGACCGGTGGGCCGCTGCAGCCTCCAGTTGGACCTGGCAGCTGAGCTGCACTCTCATCCGAAACTCGCGGCGCTGCGCATGCCTCCGTCGTTGAGTATGACAGGGATAAGATCGTCGATCAGTCCACCGATCCTCATGAATCCCAAGTGTTCTGGGTATTTTGTCGAACCAGTAGGGGTTTATTTGTCTGTCGTCGATCTACAAATAATCATGACTTTTCAGATGAAATGGATGGAACCTTTTTTGGAGAGTGGCCAATTAGCAGGGAAGATTATTTGCCCGAAGTGCAGTGCCAAGCTCGGCAACTATGACTGGGCTGGCGTATGCTGTAGCTGCAACAGTGAATGGGTAACGCCAGTACGTTGCATTTACTCCCAGCTCTTCACTCTTCGTACATAAACTCACGCCATGCCAGGGTTTTTGCATACACCGATCTAAAGTCGATGAAGTAGTAATGGGTTGAGCAGCGACGGATCAAATATAACTTACTATGTACTAGATTTGATTGTTTGAACTTACTCAGTAGATGGCGAATCGAATGGAATTGAGCAAAGGAGTGTGGGTATGTTAGGTAGTATTCCAGTGAGATACAAGGAGCGGTTTGGTTCTCAAAAGTCTTGGGTAACTGCAAAAATTGAAATAATGCATACATGGAACGAAAAAAGTCACAGAATATAAGGGATTTATATCATGATATAGCGAAGACCATTATCAGGGAGGGTAGGCTGCGAGAAAGCGAGATATCGTGCGCGAAAAGCAAAAATAGGCAAGGCAAGAGAGGAAATGGGCGTTGTTCGCCTAACTACCGATCACCAGTAGCGTTAGGTACAGTCTTTGTAGATCGTCGAGAGCCAAAGCGAAGCTTCCCATCGTCCCCTCGGCCCCATGAAAACAAACCGCCTGTATCATGAGAGTGTGCACTCCCCGTTCGCGATCGAAGCGACCACGCAGGAGACACCGGCCGTGCAGGAGTGTTAACTTCAAGGTGGTCACCATTGTGGGAGTGATGGTGATGATGACCAGAATGACCGACAGTATGACGTCCATCACAACAGGCGCGCACATTTTCCAAGCCCTCGAACCCGTCGTCTGACTGGGATTGGCCATGGAGTTCAAACTCAAGGTCGTCGTCGTCTTGGCTGTGACCCATAACTCGTTCGAAGGACCTTGCGGGGCTGTACGGGCTCTCGGGCGCTGCCCATCGGAGGTATTCTGCGGCTGGCGTTCCAGACCTTTTGCCTACAGACCCTCGCATAGAGATTTGTGATCTACTCCGGCTGCCCCGCGGCGTGGTGCTGAAAGCGCCACCATTCCGGCTGCTTCGGCCACTTCGTTGACTTTTGGGGCTTGTATCAGTCAAATGACGGTGGTCATCGTCTGTGAGCTCTGCGCTTTGAGACATGGGACTCATGGGGGCCACATTTTCATTCTGACTGGTTGAGGGCGTCATTACAGGGCTGGGACGAGCAAGCAGGTATTTCAAAGCCTAGAAAGATGTAAGCGTCCACCCAAAAGTTAAACGAGAGCAACGGACATTGAGCCAAATGTCATGGCGCTCCTTGGTAGGAGCGGTAATCTTCATTTCTCTCTGGGCTGTGGATATCACTACGCTGTACTGGTATAAACCAGGAGGCATGGGATTGGGATCTAAAACAGAGCGAACACCTTCGATATAAGCTGTAGCCACACAAACCGTCAATTCAACATCATTCAGAGAAACATTACATCATTTCACTCACCGCTCTTGGCACTCGACTCTGAAACGTTTGATGATCCAGGGTCAGCAGAGCTCCAGTACAAAGTCTTGGTATACGGATGCACCCAGAAGAACCGCTTGTGTCTCTTCTCTCCATAGCCCTTGCCAATGGTGCGCCGGGTATATTTGTACAAGAACTCGCCGATCATAGTCTGGGTGATCGCATGGATGACTGCAGGGTCTGTTGACATACTATTTCTGTTGTCATTAAGTTGATCGACATTCTTGCCAGGGGTAACGGGCATGCTGGCGCCAGGAGTGCGGTTTAAGAAGACATTGTGGTCCGAAGATATGGACGACCGTGGTGAAAGTGCGCTTCTATCTGACGCCAGGGACGTGCTCGACATCTCCCTCCTCTGCTGCTCGCGTACACCCCATGATGGTAAGCCAGACGGTGGAGCCGAATTTTGTGCATACGCCGCAGCATTAGCAGCAGACCGGAAACTGCTTGTGGATGGCGGCTGCCGCAAATTTGATTGAGGCGGGGGCATACTCGAGCCATGCTGCCTTGGACCGTAAGCACCACCCCTGCCGTGTACGGAAAGCATTGTGCCAAAGGTCGGTGTGGTGGCACGCTGTATGAGTTCTGGAGGTGGGGGGGAGGACGGACGAGGTGGCGGCACGTCCGATGTCGAGGACGTAGTAGCTACTCTCCTGTCCGGGATGAAAGGGGGCGGTGCCATGGTGCTAGGCGGAGGCGGCTGGCGAGGTGGTGGTGGCAAGGCCATCATAGGGGGACGAGTCTTGTCTACAATGGAGGGTACAACAGAAGCAGTTCTTGAACGACGAATTCCATCGTCGGCGCCAGAGGAAACTGCAGACTCAACCGACCGTCGATGGTCTGCATTGGAGGTAACAGAACGAATGATGCCGAAGCTTGTGGTACTGACACTGGAGTCGCGAATAGTAGAGGGGGAAGGAGAAGCGGGCGCTGCAATGGCGGGTGCAGGGACGAACTGGAACTGCTGTACTGTCGTGCCCACTCGGAAGAGAGCGGGGGACGCAGGGAGGGAGGGTGCGGGAGTGGCAGTGGGGGTCATGGATGACGCAGAGGTGTCTTGCCAGCTTGCAATGACGGGCGAAGCAGTAAAAATATCCGTTTGGACGGACATCTCCTTTAGCTCTGGCTTGGAGGGCTCGCCAACCTTCTTGGTCACTTCGACTGCCTTCAAGACTTCAACTGGTTCTTGGACCTCCTCGATGACTTCCACAGGTACTTCTTTGATGATTTCGATTGGAACCTCCTTGATGATCTCGATCTCCTTGATGACCTCTACCGGGACCTCTTTGATAACCTCCACCTCCCTGATGACTTCAACAGGTACTTCGACTTCCTTGATAACTTCCACCTCCCTGATGACTTCAACAGGTACTTCGACTTCCTTGATGACTTCCACCTCTTTGATGACCTCCACCTCCCTGATGACCTCCACTTCCTTGATAACCTCGATGACCTTGGGCTCTTCAACGCTATCCATACCAACACCCCTCTCCTCGTAGGTAGTTGTGTCACGATGGCGTAACTCCCGATGTTGCGTCATAGACGTCATTGACGACCGCCTCGAGATTACCAGCGCCTTGATACTCTCATCATCGCTCTCCGAAAAGTCGTTGTCCGTCATCGTCAACACAGAGTGGAAGTCCTCCCGTGATTCTGTAGCAAGACTTCCCCGCGCGTCGTGGTAATCATCCACATCTGTGTCTGTTTCTATACCAGTCTCCGTCGCTCCGTCGTCAATATCAACGTCGATGTCGCTCTCCTCCTCAGAGGTGAAGCCACCTGGAATGGGTCGTCGGCTGTTAGCTTCACCAGGAATGCCACCACGTAAGGTGTTGTCGCCCTCCAACGAGCGAGAGAAATCAGACTGTGTGAGCGTCGTGCGCCTCATCGAGCTCCGTGCGATGAAAACGCGATCGGAGGGCTGCATTTGGTAGAAGCTTGTGCGGGCTGCAACGGGAGAAGTAGGTTCGTGTTGCACAGCTGTTTCCATGTGCACCACAGAGGACTCCTCGTCAGTCTGGCACGACATTTCAGAAGTGGTAGGAGATGCTGGCACGGGTTCAAGGGCTTGCTCGACTTGCACACCCATGTCGTTCGCTGGGGAAGAGGGCGAGGGGACAAGTCACCGTCACGTCCTCGAAGTCCGTCTGACACGCCATTTCAGTGGTGATCTTGACTTCAACATCTTCAGTGACAGACGTCATGCCAATGCCGAGCTCTGCAGCCAAAGCCTCAGGTTCCCCAACAAGGGACGCCGGTCTGGCCTCCTGGAAAGCAGCACCGCCACGAGCGCGTCTTTGTGGGGCTCCACCACGCCCAGTGCCGCGAGGCGAGGAGCGGGCCAGCAGGGAATGGCGAAGCGGGCTGGATTGACTTGGAAGCGAGCTGTAGGACGCAGACTTGCGGAGTACATTGGCAAACATAGGGTCCATACCCTCAACGCTCGTTCGCTTCGAGGAGGTAGAAGGTAAGGAGTCAAGGTTTTTGCTCTTCCGGCTCGCCCTCTGCGTTACCCTCGTCGGAAAGAATATCGTCAGCAAAGTCGGGGAGGGGCGGCACGGGTGGAGGAGGAGATGCATTGTAATCAGATGTAGGACTGGGACCTTTGTGCTGCCATGCCGAGCCTGGTAACAAGGGAGGACCTCCCCCTGCCTCTTCTGCCTCTGGCTCTGCCACCACCAGAACGGTATGGCGTCAGCCGGCGAGGATGCTTAGTCTCAGTCTCGTCATCGTCATTTGTCTCATCTTCTGGGGGCTCGTTTTCATCATGTACATACCCAGAGGAAGACTCCAGTTTGCGCCTATACTCCATTCGCATCTCCTTCTCGCGATGCAGACTGCCCTTTGAGTGTGCTAATCTGCCTCTGGGCGTGGACAAGCCGCTGCTGGAGGGCCTCAATCTCATTATTGGGATGGTTTGCTCGCATGGAATGGGCGTGATGGTGACGGGTCGGGGGAAATGTCTACAAGATCCTCGAATACATCAGGCTGGAACACGGCCGAACTGTCCATTTTTCGCCTGTTGTTGGTGCTGGCTGAGGTGAAGACATCATCATCCTCTGTAGCAGGGGTCGAGTACTCTTTGCCCTGGTTTGCGCCAGGCGTGAGTGGACTCCCGAATCGTGGACCGAGGCGACGGCTTGCTTTCTCTACTTCCGCCTTCAGCGTATCAAGCGCGGACTGCAAGTCTGATTTGTCGCGCTGTAGACCCGCAGCATGCTTACGCGCCTGTGCCACGTCTGTCTCGTGCTTAGCTTTCATATCATCGAATGCAGTTTGGACGCGCTGTGATTCGTTCTTGTGTTGGTCTGCTGCTTCTCGTGTGCTGTTGAGCACTTTCGTGATGCGCTTGTGCTCGCCTTCAAGGCGCACGATTGTCGACTGCGTGTCTGAAAGTTGGGTACGGACTTCTTGAAGAGTCACTTCGAGGTTCCAGTTTTCTTCTTTGAACTTGTCTGCGGCAAGTAAATTTCACGAGGCAAAGCAATATTATAAGACTAACCTGAACTCTGTTCTTGCGATCGAAGCGCGGTACGTAGAGATTCAACGGTCCTTTCGAGGTCGTCTTTCTCCTCCTTCATGTCTTGGATGGCCTTATCGCGCTCTCCGAGAAGGCTCTGGAGCCGTCGCACTTCGGTGAGGAGTCCACTTCCGATCTCGAACGCAAATTCTGGAAAAACGGTGAGCCGTGAAGGCAAAACCGAAAAGAGTGAAAGAAACTTGCCAACGTCGTCTGCTCGATGGGCAGCATTTTTTGGCACGACGAGACTGGGCAGCAGATGAAGCTGAAGCTTTGGAACGCTCGGGCTCCTCTCGAGGGAGATCATTGATTGGTAAGGCTGGAGATGATTGCTGTGTAGGAGGACGCTAGAAATAAGTAGATTACACGTTAGTGCAGATGCATTACGGATTTCGTAGGCGAGGCGTGGTGCATATGGCATTCACCAATAGCAGGCGCTTGCCTAAAATTTTTAAATGAAAGACTCACTTTTTGGCCAAAAGCACCAGATAGCTGCGCGTTCTCTGCGTCCCAAGCAGCAATAGTTTCTGCTAGTTCGCGATAACGTTCGCGCGCGTCAGTATCTAGTTCCTCATCCTCTGCATGTTCTGCATCAAATTCCTGGAGTTGTCTTATCTTCTCTTCGAGCTCTATCTGCTGTGCGAGAACCCGCTGACCGAGAGTTCCCGCCTGTTTGCAGCTGCCTTTCCTTGTTATCGAGAAGCTGTTGGAGGCGAAGCTTGCGTTGGCCTGCGGAGAAAAGGCTGGGGCAGAGAAATCTGGCATGTTTGATGGGACTTCTGCTAGACCGTCATCTGATGGACTGGCCATGCCTGCGCAGGCCGTCGACGATCAAAATTCTGCAACGTCTTGATGAATGGTTGGTCTCAAGAAACGCGACGCGGCCTTGGCCCCGAACCAACATGTGCTAACCGAACTAACTCGTATCAAATTAGAATATATTTCTCACGGTCCTTTACTTATTTTTCGGTTCAGAGAAGGTTCTGACTCTTTTTTGTCGTATTTTTCGGTTCAAGGCTTCACGATGTTCTGACTGGGTTTCAAGAGGCTTCTGGTCAACCTGCTAAGTGCTTGTGCTTCACCTGCGTTAACTGCTATCAATCCAAGTCTCTAATTCACCCACTTGAAGCTGCAACATTGACTTAATGGTTAGCTGTGATTGTCCCCTCTTAGTCCGCCGTTCATCCTAAAATGAATCCAGATGCTGACACCGTTATGTAGCTGAAAGTTCCTCGTCGCTGTTTGCACGTCTCCCGATTCCTCCCCTTCAAGTCCAATGCGAATCTTCCGCGCTCTTGGAGTTCTTTCACATTACGGACCAAGGCATTACTGCGGCTTAAGATAATTGCACCGAATGACAAGGACGCAGGTGGTATGAAACCGATTTATGCCGTGGCCTTCAGATCCAAATTTCGTGCGCTGCACCCGAAGGAACGTCCGAACCTGTGATACAAGACTGCTATATTACTACCAACAGTAGTTCAAGTCAAAGTACACCTACTTTTACTACTTTGGGCAAATATTCACGTGAACGTTTATCTTCAATTCCCAAGTTACCTATTTCTGTGTTGTTGGTGAGTTCCATTGTTTTTCTTTCTTCCGTGGCT